TTGTGTCAAATGCAGCACTAAGGTCCAGTAGGACCAGCACTGACACTTGTCCATTATCGGCAGCTAGTAGTAAGTCATTTGTGACTTTGACTAGTGCCGTTTCAGTGCTATGATGAGCTCTGAATCCTGATTGAAAGACTTCAAACATATCATTTTCCTGCAGGTGGCAGCGGAGCTGCTCAGCTATAAGTTTTTCCAGGATTTTAGATATAAAAGTGAGGTTCGAGATCGGTCTGTAGTTTGTAAGTATTTCTGGGTCCAGGTTTGTTTTCTTCAGAAGGGGTTTGATTACCGCGGTTTTAAAAGCTTGTGGGACATAGCCACATTGTATGGATGCGTTTATTATATTTACGATAGGCTCAATTATCAAAGGAAGTATGTCTTTGAAGAGCCATGTCGGGACTGCGTCTAACATGCAAGTTGAGGCTTTTGAGGATGTGACCACAGAGATCACCTCTGCTTGGCTCACAGCCATGAATTTATTAAGGCCCACTGAAGAGTCTAAGTGGGAAGTCACGTATGCCGCTTCAACCTGTCCACCACTAACAGCAGGAGCAACCTCCTCCAGCTTGTCACGGATGGATGTAATTTTATTATTAAAGAAGTGGAGAAAGTCGACACTGCTCAGTGAGCTTGGAATTTTAGGCTCGATTGCGCTATGGCAGTTTGTGAGTTTAGCGACGGTACCAAACAAAAATCTACTGTTGTTTTTATTCGCTTCTATTAAAGTTGAATAGTATTGAGTTCGAGCCCCGCGAAGGGCCTTCTTGTAGTTTCGGAGACCTGCTTTCCACTCCCTGTGGACAGGCTCCGAGTGGGAGTGGCGATATAGCCTCTCCAATTTTCTGACGTCCTGTTTTAAAGTGTGGAGTTGAACACTGTACCAGGGCGACGATGATCTAATCCTAATGGTTTTCTGTTTTAAAGGAGCTGCTGCATTTAATGCAGATTTTAAAGACTCCATAGTGTTGCCCACCGTTTGGTCGATGACTGAGGGACTGCAGCTGCTGTGAACAGGTTCACCTGCAGCAGTATTCAACATAGGCTGTATTAGTTCTTTGAACCTTGTGATAGATTTATCATTTAAGGTTCTTTTCATTATGGTTTTATCTTGCGGGACAGGAAAGTCCTCCAAAGCGAGATCAAACGTGATCAAGAAATGGTCAGACAGCAACGAGCTTTGACGCTGGATGTCAACATTGGAGACATCACAGCCGTAGGTCAGGACAAGGTCCAAGGTGTGGTTATGAATGTGAGTAGGTTCCTCGACATTCTGAGTAAAACCAACACCATCTAGTACGGCGCTGAAAGCTTTGTTTAAGCTGTCAGTGCTGTCGTCCACATGTATATTGAAGTCTCCAGCTATAACTATGTTTTCCCATTCCAAAACTAGGTTTGAAATGAAGTCAGAGAATTCTGTTAGGAACTCGCTGTAAGGACCAGGAGGTCGGTATAAAACTATAAATAGTACTGCTTTTTGTTTTCTCCACCCAGGACAGGTGATTGAAAGTGTTAAGTTTTCAAACGAGTGAAAAGCGTTGTTGGTTTTGGGACTAAGAACCAAGTTGGTGTGTGATATAATCGCAACACCACCGCCGCGACCTGTAGCTCTGGCTTTCTGGTAGTTAACATGCGTCGGAGGAGTGCACTCATTCAATCTAACGTACTCGTCCTGTTGGAGCCAAGTCTCCGAGAGCGCTAACAGATCCAAGCCCTTGTCTATAATAAGTTCGTTTATGAGAAGCGATTTAGACGAGATTGATCTGACGTTCATTAAACCACATTTAACAACCCTACTGTTAGAACTATTTCTGTCTGTCTGAACTTTTATTAAGTTACTGTGTCTGACACCTAGGTCAGATTTCCTCGCATATAGTGCTTTAGACTTCAAGCGGGGAACACACACAGTTTCAATCTGACTAGGTTCTGAGGCTAGTAACTGAGCACACACAGGCACACACACACATGCACACACAGTTTCAATCTGACTAGCTTCTGAGGCTAGTAACTGAACAGATGGGGGCTCAGAGGTTGTGGCAGAGCAGCTCTGCACCCGGGCCTCAGTTCTGCATCGTCATTTGAGCCGAGCAGAACAGTTTAGAGCCAGGGCCAAATTCTTAGCCAAAAGGGATGTACCCGCCAACGTTGGGTGGATATCATCCGAGCGGATGAGACCGGGCTTTCCCCAAAAGGCACTCCAATTGTCAACATGAACAACACCACTTCGAGGGCACCAGCCAGACAGCCAGCGGTTGAAAGCCGAGTGTCTGCTGAATGCTTCTGCACTGCTAGTGCTAGGTAGGGGCCCAGAGAAGATGACAGTGTCGGCCATTGTGCTAGCCAGCTTGCACACGGCGGCGACTTGCAGCTTCAACACCTCGGACTGTTTCCGCCGAACGTCATTACCACCCGCGTGAATAACAATTCGACGGAAACGCTGCTTGTGGGTCATCATGAGCCTCAGATTCAAAAGACATATTACAAGAAAAACATACACACCAGTGTGAATATTGGCAAAAACTACTATGGAAATATGATGTGATGAAAATGAGACAGACTGAGGAGGGGGACAAGAGCCGATCACAGCACGCTAATACAACTTCTGTTTTAGCTTTGCTGTAGTCCCTGCAACGGACATCCTCCTCGTTACATTGTTTGCAAACAGCCTACGAATGACACTTGATTCAAGTCCAGCTGTATCTTCTCATTTAATCCATCTCAGCAGTTTTTCCTCTGTGCAAAAAGTGGTTTCCAAACTCTGAACACCCCGATGACAACGGCTCCATATTGTTGCTCCTTTTGTGTATTTTTTTTTTCCTGCAAAGCCGAAGGGAACCTAACATTTTGTTTCATGAGTAACACGTTTGTCTCATCAAAAGATCTTATAATAATGTTTTTCACACCAGACCACAACATGCATCTTCATCTTTTAGAAAACATGTCATCTTTTGTATATTCATTAAAAAGAGCCTTGTGAGTCACTATTTGACTCTTTGAGCCGAGAGAAAGATGTTAGGCTTCAGGTTAGCCGAGGAGCTAACCTGAAGCCTATTACTACGGCTGCCAGTTCTTTCATTAAGTCTTTTAGACTAAACTTGTTTACATTTTTGTCATTTGAAACTCAATAAAAAAAGACACATCTGTGAAGGAAATGAAAATTTATTTTAATCAAAGAAACAAAAGTAAAACTAAGTTTTCTTGACAAAATTAACACTGGGAGACAACAGATCACACCCATAAACAAGGGTGTGGTGAGAGGGAGGGCCTTTTATTTCGTATCAAGAGTGTCCACATAGTATCAAAGGCTCCATTGATATGATGTCCCAGAAGTACCAGTCTCAATTTATCAGTTTACAGTCCGGCCCTTGCACAACGGGGTAAGGAGCCATACAGTTAGATACAAACAGTTAGATACAACTGATAACAGGACACCCAGGAGCCGTTAAAGTCAGTTAGTGCAGCTTTAATGTACTTTATTTTTGTATTCATTACGAAAATGCTATCCATGTCCATGTAGTGCATTGGAATATACGTCCTTTTGAAGAAAAAGTAGCGCAGGGTTGTGCTGGGGTGACATTATATTTTAGATCGAGTTTTGATGAAACAAGGAAGAGAATGTGTTTCGGGTCGCAGATTGTGACCAATCACAGCGGACCACTAGCCACCACTTTCGTGAGAAATCTACAGGTCCTTGCTAGCACAGACAGCTGGGTTAGCACAACAAGCCGAGGAGCTAACCTGAGGCTTCGTGTGTCTTCGTCACCGGTTACTGCTTACTCAGCGAAACAGCCATCCAAAAGAAAGTCCCATTCCTCCGCGCTTCCCGGTTTTATCGTTCTATGGTCACGCCATCCAAGTGCAAATCCATGTCCATGTATTATCCATATTGGGAGACGCTAGCTCCGTCCCAACAGTGGGTGTGTGTGGGGGGCGATAGCTTCGTGGGTGCGGGGAGGGGAGCAGAAAGAGCGAGGCCAGCGGGTCCGCGGCTTCAAAATCCCAAAGTCAGTTAGTGCAGCTTTAAAGGAATAGTTCACCGTTTTTACATACTGACATATGTTCTTACCTTACCTTAGACTAGTTAATATGTACCTGTCTGGTCTTAGTCCGTGCGCTCTGTCATGCAAACGGAGCAAAAACGGGAGCACAAACTAACTTCTCTCCGGAGACTTCTCTCCGGAGACTTCTCTCCGGAGACTTCTCTCCGGAGACTTCTCTCTCGCTCACTTCCGTCAATAGAAGCAGCGTGACTTGTAGTACGGAGAGAAGTTAGTGCGCGGACGTAGCGCTCCTCAGATTACTACGCCTCACAATATAGTACCCGTTTTATCCGCTGAGAAAATCGACAGTTACATTTCTGTGTTACTATACTTTGCAGTGTAACACGTCACGTAACTATATACATTTAATAGGGAACACTTGGAAGAGTTTGGTAGCTTCTAGCGGGAGCTACCTTTTGGGTACTATACAGTATACAGAGGAGGCTGCGTTTGTGCTCCCGTTTTTGCTCCGTTTGCATGACAGAGCGCACGGACTAAGACCAGACAGGTACATATTAACTAGTCTAAGGTAAGGTAAGAACATATGTCAGTATGTAAAAACGGTGAACTATTCCTTTAAGACGAACGCATACCAACACAAGTGAACTTTTCTTTGCTATGAGTGAGACTGCTTGTTTTCTATGGAATAATCCTCACATAAAATGTAAGTTCCCAATAAAGAATCCCATAGAAAGTGTGATTTAAGTTTAGGACACAATTTGAACACAGAGAATTCAAGTACAGACAACCACCCATAAGCAGCCAATTAAATCACTGCCCAAAGTCTCAGCGTGCTCTTTCTTACAACTTCAAGAGGAAAGTCTTGTTGTGGTCCAATTATTCTTTGCTGGTTTGCTATTTCAATTTCCATCGTTTTGTTTACTCAAAACGATCATTTTAAAGATTATCATGATATTTTTGTGACAGGTAATGTGTGTTACAGGGGAAGTGCTGGTCCAGATGGCAGACGCTCAAAAGAGGCTGACCACAGAGATGGAGGGAGTGGTGAGTTACTTCACTGCCAGTGAGTAAGGCATCATATCAGTATTGGATAATGGTTAAACTGATATTAGACATAAGTATAGTGGGAACCGGACGTTTACATACACCGTGTAAAAAGACATTACTACTTTTTATGATCCAACACACTCATTCATTTGGTTGATTCTGTTTTTGTTTGTTTGTTCTTGAATGGCTTTCCGCCATGACAGAAAGGTACAAACATAGATATCTTTTGTTTTTAAATCATTGAGAAGCTTCTGATTAGTTGTCAAAATTTGAGATCATTTGAGGAAAAGAATTGTGGATCTCCAAAAGACGGGTTAATCCTTTAGTATTGTTGTCATGGATTTTCCCCTTATCTGCTGTCCATGGCCCCCCTGCATGGGGACTGACTGGCTCCTGGCTGACCCCCCTCATGGTTAATATGGAGCTGGGATGGGGTGTTGGTGGTGGTCTGTGTATGCTCTCCATCAACAGCATATAGGTTATAAGAGAAAGCCTCCTGCTAAGGTCTAGAACTTTTCTATAGCCCTCTGTCTCCGACCATCTCTCCTCGGGTTATGATTTATTATCAGTTATGCCTGTTTGTATCTTGTAACTGTTTAGTGTCATTAAATGTCCTCGTTCATATCTATTCGGTTTGGGCCTAGTACGTAAATGATGGCCATGATTGCAAAAACGGCAAGTGCAATCTATATAGTGCAAAGATGCTACTTTGGCATTATTCATTCACTCCGGTTGTCCATCTCCAAACAGAGCTGGACTTCCTGATTTTCTGGACTTCCTGACTTTTCCAGCTTCTTCCTGTTCCTCTGTGCCATGCTGTTAATCCAGCAGACCACTGCGTACAAGATGGCTGATGCCACCCAGGTACTTGTAAGAGTCCACATTCTCCCTTCCCTGGATCTTCACAGTAGCAGCAATCATGATGTCATTTACACAGTGTATGTACATTTCGGTATCCTCTGTGTGTTGCACAGTTCAATAGTTTAGTTAAATCCCCAGAAATCAGATTATGGTGTCTAATCAATTTTGTTTTTTCCCCCTCGCATTCAGTTTCGATGGTTCCAGATTGAGGTCCTGCAAGCCATGCAAAAAAACGTCAAACTGGATGAAGAATATATTGCTGTAAGTTATAACATAGCCGGGCTTAAAGTGAAAAGAAAAAATCTGAGCAATTAATCACAAGCAGATGTTTATATAAGTATTTTATTGTCATCAAAAAGACAATGTGTTCCACAATTTGAGCCTCTTTAAGCATTCATGAGTATTCTAGACATTTACAAAGAATGGTTATGTTTCCTGTTTTAGATAAACACCATCCACAGACCGTGACTCTTCTATTATTGGGGGGGAAACTTTGGGTGTTCCTTCCATGTAGAATTTAATTGAGTGGAAAAACAGCAGGGTCTCATTGGACTTACGTCAGGCTGTGCGGCTGCGCCTCTGAACCAAATAGTCAATTTCAAACTCTGCTCACATGAATAGTAAATCCATCTCAAAAAAGATAAGTTAAAAGAAACCTTAATCGTCCCACACTGGGGAAATTTAGATGTTGCAGTGCACATGCTAGATCCTATAAACAAGATGTGATGCGTGTGCCACAACCGAGAAGTGCAAGATTTAAAATGTCTTTACTGATGTGCTAAGCAGGAAAATGGTAAGAAAACGGCCACTGTTGATGATTGTTCTGCTCAAATCAGTTTATTTGGGGAAATGTGAGTTTTGTAAAACCTTTTACACCAGATAGCGTTTTTCTACAATGACTGAGAGCACAGACACATGCGGCCAGCGGTTTGATGGGCAGTGATGGAGGACATGGTTGTGACATTGCCGCAATCATGACGGCCTCAACTGCTGCTAAATCAGACAATCAAACACAGATTGTCACTGCCACTGTTATCACTGCTTGTGATAAAGTCCTGGTCCTGGTTGCCTTCAGAAGGTTCAGGCTCAGATCTTGTTTTCACTTCAAGCCCATGTATACATAATTCAGACTCATTTTGAATGTCATGTTGTAACCGTGTTGTGAACAGTGCACATAGTAACGTGGCCTTTCCATTGGGGGCATTCAGAAAAGGTTGTCATACAAATGTTTATTATATACAGTATATTTACCTTCATGAAAGATTATTGTAAAATAAAGCAATATTTGATTCCAAAATTCTATATATATTTGTTTAGGTCAACTGTTTGGATCACAAAACATTAATGATATCCACTGTTGCAAGTATTTATTAATTAAATACCAATCAAGTATCTGATTGGTTGGTGAGATATGGTATGACCTAAGCTCTTACCAAATAAAATACAATATTTAAGAGTGAGACAGGATGAGTCTTTTCATTGTTTAGCCTCCTTCTCTCCAGCGCACCTGACTGAGAGTTTTTCTCTTCTGCTAATGATCCTATGAGGCATGGGGGTGGAAACATTGTGGTTTGGGGCAGCATTTCTGCAAAGAGGACTGGATGATTGATCCGCATTATGGAAAACAAAGAGATTTTGGGTGAAATCCTTCCTCCATCTGTGACATCATTCTTCTCGCATGACAATGATCCAAAACATGCTGCCCTCCCAAAAAGGTAGTATTTCAATGGCCTGAAGCGGCCTTGCCAGTCTGTAGACCTCAATCAAAAAAATAAATCTGTGGAGGGAGTTGAAAGTCCTTGTTTCCCAGCGAGAGCACCAACACATAAAAGCTCTAGAGAAGATCTACATAAAAGAATGAGTCAAAATAGCTATATAATGCTTAATAGCTATTTAGGTATGTGTAAACCTGCAGACCTACAGGAAATGTCCGATCTCTGGCATTGCCAAAAACGGTCACATTATAAAGCATTGAGTTGAACTTTTGTTATTAGTCAAATACTGATTATTTGCCTCAGATCCAGTGCCTCACATTTGAAGTTTACCGATGATGAAAATGAAGGACTTGTCTTGTTAAATGGGACAACTTGCACAATAGGCAACTGTCAAATATCTTTCGCCCACTGTATATGAAATACATTTAATTGAATTTGACATCTCTTTTGTGGAGTGTACAAGTAAGCTCTTGATTTTTTAAATATCATGCAAAATATCTGCAAAACCATTTTCAGAGAACAAAACTCTCTGAAGAAAATTACAAAAGAGGCAGAGCTCTGGGATTGTGTCCCTGCAGAAGACATTTTCTATTGTTGGTCATTGTTAAAAAAAAATACAACATCAAAAGAAAAGTTTGCTTCAACACCCGGAGAAACAAAAATATCAAGTGTAAAATCATTGCTTTCTACATACATTTGTGACGAGCTCAGTCTTTAACTAACAGCACAAAAAGTATTATAAAAGACTTTCATAAGATTTTTTGTGTATATCTCTACAATTCTATGCAGCAACTAGCGGCACCCAAGCCGTTTCAGTAAACACAAAACAAGGGATGCGGCATGTCAGCTAGTGCAAATGTAAACGACTGCTGTCGATTTTGTAAAAAAAACTTAAAGATACGAGGAGTTATTAGCAACTCAAAGGTGAAAGGAAGTCCCGCCTCTCGGTGCGTGATTGGACCGATGTGGGTAAAATCGTGAAATGATAGGCTAGGAAGAGGTGTCCAGACGGTTCTTCTTTTGAACAGAAAGGAGGAGTGTCTGGCAGGCCAGGCAAGTACAGTATTAGGCCATCCATACTTTTCTCCTACGGGGATCAATAAAGTGTCTGTCTGGATTTTCCCCATTATCTGATGTCCATGTTCCCCCTCCATGGGGGCTGGCTTGCTCCTGGCTGACCCCCCCTGACCAATCCAGTGGAACCTGGGACCTGGGTAACCTCACAGCTAGTATATAGAGAGCTGGGATGGAATAGTTTGGGCTCTTGGTCGGTGTCGACTCTCTAAGCAACATGTAGCAGCCTAATGCTGAGGCCCAGAGCCTCCAGGGTTCTCTCTCTCTCTCCAACCATCTCTCCTTGGGGTATGATATTTTCTGTTATGTCTGTATGTATTTTGTTATAATTCAGTGTCATTAAATGTCCTCTTTTATATCTATTGGTTTGGGCCTAGTATGTACAGCAACGATTACATTTTCTTGATAACACTATCTATCTATCTATCTGAATAAAGATAACTTACTTACTTGAGTGTTCTGTCTGTGTTCGTTGTTTGCAGGGCAGCCGCAGAGTCTATGAAGTTGAAGTGAGAAAGCAGGCGAATGCCCTGGAGAAGGAGCTGAGACGAGGCGCTTACAGAGATTCTCTGGTAATGTACTACTCTGCTCTTACACAGTTCCCTTCCACATAATTTCTGAACTATTTCACCCCATTGAGAAAATAACCTACAGTCGCATGTTGTGTGTCAGGGTATCATAGTTAGAATAATCCATGCTGAATTTTATATCTGCACAAGATGGGTGGCCCCCATGTAGAGGGATACATGGCTTTCCAGTACCAATATAATCCTCTTTGGAGGGCTGTCATCTTGTGTGTCAGGCTGTCAGGTGACATTCTTAATCCTATATCATAACGGGCACATGCATGACAATCATTAAATAAGGATAACCTCTCCATATAAACTGTATACAACTGTGTAGTATCTCAACTTTGAAACCTCAAGGATCATGGCAACACAATATACTGCCATCCTCAATGTTGTCCATGCACTAAAACAATAGAAAAGACCTCCACAGGCCCCATTTAAACTCAGTGTACATGAGGAAAATGAACTTTATGCCCGTTTGTATTTTCAATATCAATAAATAACGCACAAATCTTTTTAAGATTAGGTTTTATTGAACTTTATCTTCTCAGAAGGGATATGGAAGGTGTAGCTGTCCGTGAACATTTTTGTTTACATGTATCTTTATTCTGTATATAATCTGTTTATAATAGTGTATTTATTGTGTGTCGCTTCTGACCTCTTGTGGTGGAGTTGTGAACTTGTATTACCTGTGCAATATGCGCATGCGCGCATTGGAGCCATTACGTGAGAGACAGAGCGAGAGAATGGCGAAAAGGATGGACAAGGTAACCTTGTGCTGAACCGAAAGTAAGGATATGGACAGCGAAAAGTACTGACAACTCCAGAGTGTCTAGATAGAAGGCGCACACGGTAATTGTATATTGTTTTATTGTAAGTTTGTTGAATATGTGTGTATTTTGCTAACAATATGTTTTTTATGCACCGTAGTTTTTCACGGTGCTTTAGGTGGCTTTGTTAAATAAAAAATTGTTAAATAAATGTCAACTAAACATCAGTCAGAGCGTCGGCCTTTTATCCAAGCAATAATTTCTGGAGCCGTTATAGTGAAAAATGTTGCTTATCGCTACTGTAAAGAAGATAGACAAAGATACACGTGCGCTGTCGGAGTCACGTGCGCTCATCGCCAGAGAAGGTGACGTCGTTTGTAGCTGACGCTGAGAGGCCACAAGGGTGCAGTGTGTCATCAGCCAGCCATGCATCGAAGGACCGCTGTCATCAGCCAGCCTCCGCGTCTACGTTTCTGCATCAGCTGGGTCTTCGGAGGACGTTAACTTCACCACAGTTGGAAATGGACTGCTCAAGAATCGCCTCATCACAGCGTAAAGTGTAAAACACATTGGAAATCAGGTCAGACTGTATCATCGGAGTTTAAAAAAAAAAAAAAAAAAAAAAAGAATAAGAAGAGAACATAGTTTGTGTTATTTGTTTTATGCAATATCATAATCTATAATGTATTATAAGAATCCTCTGTAACAGTGTATTATTTTTTAGTTTTTGAAATAGTGGGTTACGAAGATTAGTTACCTGTCATTGCTAAATATATACATATAAGTAACAGTGAATATTGCTAATATTACTCTGAAAAATGGCTACTAGGAAATGTGATATTGAGGACACTATTCAAGCTTTACAAGCTGAGGAAGAGCAATCAGAGACCGTTTTACAGACTGAACTTGAAGAATCAGAGAGAGAGAGAGGTGCAGATCTTGAAATACAAAAAACAACTACTCTTGAACCACTAGCTATTGTTGAAACAGACGTTAGACGGTCGGAAAGAGAAAGACGTTTGACTGTAAAAATGCGTGACCTAAAAAGAAATGAGTTGATAAACAAGGAGAGAAAGTTTATGTCAACTTATGTGCAGTTTAAGGCAGAGATTCAGCTCATACGATCAAAACTTAAAGTAAAATGCACAGGAGAAGAGATAGATCACATGATTCAATCTATTGAAAAAATTGATTCAGATTTAAAACAGCTTTATGATGCCATTCGTGCTATTGAATCTCCCTCTCAAGACATAAGAAGGAAAATAGATAGTTCTACATCAGTCTGTGCTGAGATTCTTGTGCTGATGAAAGAGCATTGTGCAAATGTTGACCAAGAGTTTGATAGTGTAGCTGTGAAGGAATCACTTCACAAGTTATTACAAAGAGAAGATGCCAAATCAGTGTATGGATCTACAGTGTCGAGATCTAGTCGACGTCAGTGCAGTTTAAGTGAATCAGGGAGTCACGTATCTGCAAAAAGGGCAGATGCTGCTGCACGTTTAGCCTCTAAAAAAGCAGAAGTGAATAGAGAAATGGATATTTCTGTCCAAAGACAAGAGATTTTGGCTCAACAGGAAAGGCTTAAAATGTTGGAAAATCAAAGAGATCTTGAGGTATTAGAGGCAGAATACAATGTTTATACTGAAGAGGAATGTAAACTAAAAGCTGAAATAAAAGACAGTGTAGCAGATCTCTCATTGCTTAGTCAGCCCCAGAGACAGCAGTACATTAGACCGAATCCTCAGGTTCTTCAGAAGTCCACGCCACAAACCTTTTCTGCAGCAAATAAGAACGCCTCATTCACACCAACTAGTCACAGTAAGGTAATAGCCAAGAATAGTGAAGTGTCTCTAGTTGAAGCATTAAAAGAATCTTTGACAATGTCTAGACTTCCTTCTCCAGAGCCTTTTGTGTTCACCGGAGATCCTTTGAAGTTTATTGAGTGGAGTACATGTTTTAAGGCTCTTATTGAGACTAGTTGTGCGGATTCAGCCCATAGATTGTTCTATTTGAAGAAATACATAGGTGGAGAAGCGCTTAGTGTCTTAGAGGGAACATTCTATCGTAGTGACGCAGAAGCCTACTCTCAGGCTTGGGAAGCTTTGTTTAAACGTTACGGTCATCCTTTTGTTGTCCAGAGAGCTTTCAGAGGAAAACTAAGCAGTTGGCCAAAGATAGGGTCTAAAGAGTCACTCAGGTTAAGAGAGTTTAGTGATTTCCTTACTTCCTGTAAAAATGCTATGCCCCATGTACAAGGTCTTAGGGTATTAGACGATTGTGAAGAAAATCAGAAAGTACTCATGAAACTTCCTGACTGGACAACATCTCGATGGAACAGACATGTGACCAAAATGCTGGATCAAGGAAAGGAATATCCAGGATTTGCTGAGTTTGCTGAGTTTGTGGCTGAAGAGGCTCGCATAGCATGCAACCCAGTATCATCACTGTTTGCTTTGAAATCTTTTTAAAAGCCAGATAAGGAGCACAGACGTGTCAAAGTCAGTGTCCTAGCCACGACCAAGGAGTCGAAGAAGTCACAGAGCAACAAAAGTTCTAAAAGTAGCTCCTCCATGGTTAACAGCAAAAGACAGATTGAGTGTATTTGTTGTAAGCAAAACCACTTCATCTATAAGTGTGAAAAATTCACTTCAATGCAACTTGAAGAAAAGAAACAGTTTGTCATGGACAATAACATGTGTTTTGGCTGTCTGAGAGTTGGACACATATCTAAGAACTGTCGTCAAAGAGCAACTTGTAATATTTGCAGGAAAAACCATCCCACTCCACTGCATGAAGATACTCAAGCAGAAAAATCGGAAAGACCTCCACCAGAAGAAAACGCTTCTGCTGTGTCAAACAATGTGAGGGTAGACAAAAATGATCGAACCTCCATGATAGTACCAGTTTGGCTGTCTTGTACTGAAGGTAATGAACAAGAAACGTTAGTGTATGCACTGTTAGACACACAGAGCAGCAATACTTTCATTGTCCAAGATATTTGTGATAAAATCCAAGCAGTCACAGAACCAGTGAAGTTGAAACTGACTACCATAACAGAGAGAAGTTCAATCGTACCAAGTCATAGAGCTAAAGGGTTGAGAGTAAGAGGGTACAATTCTAGAGAGTATATTCAGTTACCACCAACATATATTCGTGAATACATTCCACATGAACAAGACAGTATTCCTACTTGTGAAACAGCAAAGATGTGGTCTCACCTGCGTTGCATCAAAAAGGAAATGCCACAGCTGTTAGAGTGTCCTGCAGCACTTAAAACCGCAAAAAGTAATTTCAGGCAAAGACTATGACCCCTATGCAGTGAAGACAGACTTAGGCTGGAGTATAGTGGGTTCCGCTAAGCCTTGGACATATTCGAATGATGTTGCCGGAGCATGCCATCGTATCACAGTTAAAGAGCTACCATCTATCACACCCTCTGCTATCATCAAAGCGTTGGAAACAGATTTCAAAGACACAAACTCCAACGAAGGAAACATCTCACAAGAGGACATTCAGTTCTTACAGCTTCTGAATGAAAACGTTCACTTCAATGAAGAAGGTCATTTGGAGATGCCCTTACCTTTCAAAGAACGTCCACAGCTTCCAAATAACAAGCAGCTCGCAGTAATACGCCTAAAACATTTGAAATCAAAAATGGAAAAGAATCCAAAGTACAAAGAGGATTATGTGAGATTCATGGATGGTGTGTTTAAAGATGGTGATGCAGAAGAAGCAAGCAACACATCTGAAGATGGTAACAAGTGGTATATACCTCACCACGGGGTGTATCACCCGAGAAAGCCAGAGAAGATAAGAGTTGTGTTTGACTGTTCTGCTCAAAGCGAGAGCACTTCTTTAAATGATCATCTCCTCACAGGTCCAGACTTGACCAACACTCTTTTAGGAGTGCTTTGTAGATTCCGCCAACATCAAATAGCCATCACTTGTGACGTGGAGAAAATGTTCCATCGCTTTCATGTCAACCCAGAAGACAGAGACTTCTTAAGGTTCTTGTGGTGGCAGGATGGAAAAACAGACACTGAGCCCAAGGAATATCGAATGCGAGTGCATATCTTTGGAGCAGCATCTTCGCCAGGATGTGCAAACTATGGCATAAAGTTTCTTGCTTGTGAGCATGAAAAAGACTTTCCAGAAGCAGCCAGCTTCATACACAATAATTTCTATGTGGATGACGGGTTGATCAGTGTTGATTCAGTTCAAAAGGCAAAACAGTTGGTCAGTAATGCAACAGAAATATGCGCTGAAGGGAAGTTGCGCTTACACAAGTTTGTCTGCAACAACAAAGATGTCTTGACTGTTTTACCAGAGTCAGAACGTGCCTGTGATGACAAAGATGTCAATCTTAACTATTCAGACCTTCCAATGCAAAGTGTTTTAGGAGTCAAATGGGATGTAGAAATGGATACATTCTCTTTCAATGTCACACCTAAAGAAAAACCCGCCACACGGAGAGGAATCTTGGCGACTGTCGCAAGTGTGTATGATCCTTTAGGATTTCTTTCTCCCTACATATTGACTGGAAAACAAGTTCTTCAAGAAATGTGTAAGCGTGGTGTTGGATGGGATGAACCTGTTCCACCTGCATTGGAAAATAAATGGAAGGCATGGCTCTGCGATTTGGAAAATCTTTCGAGGATACAAATACCAAGATGTTTCATTCCAGAAAACATTGGAACAATCCAAAAAATTGAGCTGCATCATTTCTCAGATGCTAGCACTTGTGGTTATGGCCAGTGTTCATACCTAAGAGTTGTAGCAACAGACAAAGTACACTGTTCATTAGTCATGGCAAAGGCCAGAGTAGCACCCACAAACGTAGCTACAATACCACGTCTTGAGCTCACTGCGGCTGCAGTCTCCGCAGGAGTAAGTCATTTTCTGAGATCAGAGTTGGATCTTAAGATAGATGAAGAGGTTTTCTGGACAGATTCCACAGTGGTGCTTGGATACATAAAAAATGAAGCCCGTCGCTTTCATGTGTTTGTAGCAAATAGAGTGCAGAAGATCAGGAATTTTACAGACCCAAAACAATGGTTCTACATCGAAACGGATCAAAATCCAGCAGATCACGCATCCAGAGGACTAAAGGTGGCAGAGCTTATTGATTCAAACTGGCTCACTGGACCGGAATTTCTATGGGAGCGAGAGCTTTTCACGAAAACCAACCCTTGCTTTCCAGAACTTTTAATTGGAGACCCTGAAGTGAAAGTTCTTCAAACAAATACCCAAGAAAAAGACTACTTCCTTAAAAGGTTCACAAGATTTTCTGACTGGAATACAGCCCTCAATGTTGTGGCGAAGATAAAGAGACTCACAAAAAGAGACAAAACAGGTCCTGTTAGTGTTGAAGAGAGGCTAGCAGCATCTGTAGTACTCATTAAAGCAGCTCAAAGGGAAGCTTTTGAACAAGAGTTGAAACATTTGAGTCAGGACTCAAACCAATTGCCCAAAAGTTCCAAGTTGTATCAACTTGACCCTATTCTTGATCAGGATGTACTGAGAGTAGGAGGCAGATTGAGAAAAAGTACTGTTTCATTTGAAGTGCGACACCCAGTTATTCTTCCTAAGGAAGGGGTTGTCACTCGGCTGATAGTTGACTATTATCACAAGAAAACTCAACATCAGGGTAGAAACCAGACTTTGAATACATTGAGAGCCAATGGTTATTGGATTGAAGGTGCCAGCAAGGTAGTGGCCAAACATATTAAGAGTTGTGTTACATGTAGGAAGGTGAGAGGATCAACAGAAGAACAGCGCATGGCAGATTTGCCATCAGACAGAATAGATCCGTCCCCGCCCTTTACGTACACCGGACTAGATTGTTTTGGTCCCTTCCACACGAAACAAGGCAGGAAAGAATGCAAACGTTATGGACTTTTGTTTACATGTTTAAGCTCAAGAGCCATACACGTAGAGATGTTAGAGGATCTTTCCACTGATTCGTTTATAAATGCACTGAGATGCTTTATTGCGATCAGAGGAGAAGTGAGGCAGATTAGGTCCGATCAAGGAACAAATTTTGTCGGAGCTAATAACGAATTCAAAAGATGTCTTTCCGAACTAGACAATGACAGGATTGCTACCTACTTAGCTAAAAAACAATGTGACTTTCAGATGAACGTTCCCGATGCCAGTCACCGAGGTGGTGTTTGGGAGCGCCAAATCAGAACAGTTAGGAGTGTTATGAGTTCTGTTCTGGCACAAGCCGCTGGAAGGCTTGACGATTCCTCCTTAAGAACTATATTTTACGAGGCAATGTCAATCGTAAATAGTCGTCCACTTACCACTGAGACAATCAATGATCCAACAGATGTCTTACCTTTAACGCCTAACCATTTACTCACCATGAAGGATGCAGTGCCCCTTCCACCTCCAGGTAGATTTGTCAGAGAAGATTTATATGCCAGGAAAAGATGGCGCAGAGTTCAGTATCTGACAGAGCAGTTTTGGCATAGGTGGCGCAAAGAGTACTTAAACAGTATCAGTTTAAGACAGCAGTGGCATACATCCAAAAGGAATGTACAGGTTGGAGATGTAGTTATACTCAAAGAAGACAACATCCCCAGAAATGAATGGAAACTTGCAAAGGTAGTTCAGGCTAACCCAGATGATGATGGTTTAGTGCGAAAGGTTAAGATCCAAATGGGACAGAGAGCGTTAGGAAAGAATGGTCAACGCTTAAAAGAATTGTCTTTTCTCGAACGACCAGTTCAGAAACTAGTGGTTCTAGTGCAAAACGAGTGAAATGTTCAATAGTAAATATAGAGTTCAGAGATTTTTTATGGTCAAAGTTTTGAAAATTACTACATTTTATTTTGTGTAAATACAAAGATTTTCTGTAATTTTGGTGGCAGTGTAGCTGTCCGTGAACATTTTTGTTTACATGTATCTTTATTCTGTATATAATCTGTTTATAATAGTGTATTTATTGTGTGTCGCTTCTGACCTCTTGTGGTGGAGTTGTGAACTTGTATTACCTGTGCAATATGCGCATGCGCGCATTGGAGCCATTACGTGAGAGACAGAGCGAGAGAATGGCGAAAAGGATGGACAAGGTAACCTTGTGCTGAACCGAAAGTAAGGATATGGACAGCGAAAAGTACTGACAACTCCAGAGTGTCTAGATAGAAGGCGCACACGGTAATTGTATATTGTTTTATTGTAAGTTTGTTGAATATGTGTGTATTTTGCTAACAATATGTTTTTTATGCACCGTAGTTTTTCACAGTGCTTTAGGTGGCTTTGTTGTAAATAAATGTCAACTAAACATCAGTCAGAGCGTCGGCCTTTTATCCATGCAATAATTTCTGGAGCCGTTAAAGAAGGTAATTTTAAGCTCTTAAATGACAGTATTAGATTGTGTGGATTAGGTTGAGGTTGAGAGTAGTTGAAGCATTAAAACATGTTAGTCAGTCGCTCAGTTGAACCTTTGAACCTAATAGTCTTGGGTTTGATCCCCCCGCGATCCATGTAATCTGCTCCCACTGATGTCTGCTGACACTTAACCCTGCTTTGCCTGAGTCCCCTGCTATGGAGAAGCTATCATCCTAACCCTGCAGAAGGATCAGCAAAGGACTAATGCTTTGAGACTTGGGTGGCAGCTCTGATTGCCACCCCCTCGACCCAGAAATGGACTAATAAAAGGGAAAGAAAATTATATGATGATGATGAGTTTTTAGTTGATACCCGACAACTGAAGATCTGGCCGCTGTGTCTCGTCATTAACCAAAACAACGGCTCAATGTAAACGCGTCATCAAGATGTATCCCATTAACCAATGTTGACAAGGTAGCTAGCTTGTCTACTACTTAGTGTGATTATTAATCAACCGCAACTAATCAAGGTATCAATACTTTGGTTTTACATAGGCGAGGGCGGAGCTTCTTCTGTGAACTGGTTGTGTATACGGTCTTGTTTTACAGTTGGGGTCTATAGCCCAATCCAAACTTGGTACAATAGCCTAATAAAATGCATTGGCTTTATATAACGCTATTCTGGACACACAAAAATGGCATTATTTATTAACTCGATAAACAGTGTCACATTTACCCTGGGGAAGACTGGCAGAAGCGGGGCTGCTATTCTGCTCCATCCGCCCCTTTGACAACCACCACTTACAAACTGGGTTATGGGTCGTGCCTAGGGCCATACACAACAATAGTTTGACTCCTCCATCGTCGCTGTTCGACACACCGTCTCAGATCCACAGAGTCCCACCTCCTTCGCCACAGCGGCCCCCACTTTCTGGAACCCTCTCCCACTACCCATGAGATACTCCTACTCAATACAGAACTTTAAATCACTTCTCAAAACCCACCTGTTGTGCTTGGCATTTTCTTCATTTTGTTCTTCACTGTTTATTTTTATATGTTTTGTAAAGCGTCTGTGAGTGTCCGTTAAAGCTCTATATACGTTTGTAGTATTATGACTATCATTATTATTATTATTATTGTTTCTCCTGGTTTTCTCAGAGGTCTCTTGTCACAGTACTAACCAGGCTCTTAGCTTCTAAGGTCCGATAGGATCAGGATTTCACATGCAGGTATACTCTGTTAAAATGACAGCTGACTATTATGTGCGTGTGTGTGTGTGCATGTGCGTGTGCGTGTGTGTGTGCGTGTGTGTGTGCGTGTGCGTGTGCGTGTGTGCAGGAAAACAGTGAGTACATGCAGTTCCTGAGGCAGAGTCAGCAGGACATCCTGAAGGAGGAGGAGCGGCGATACCGATTTGTGACCGAGAAGCACTGTGCCCTCACACAGTCCCTGCTCTTCTTCATGATGAAGGTGCCGAGAGAATCGCTCAAGGGCTCGCTGGTGTCATCACCAACAGCGATCCATAGCATTCCACACTTTCTGGTTTTATCATAATGAACATGGGTTGAGATGTTTCTAAATGTCCTATAATAACATATTATATAGGCTTTTTTATTTTTATTTTACAATATATGTATGTATTCATATTGTAAGTAGCGACAAAAGCCGTGTGAAATCTCAGAGTAATACATTTTTATTTAAAAAAAAGATTAAAATTAAAAGATCCTTTATTCGTCCCACAGTGGGGAAATTTCAGTGTTGCATCACAAGTTATACGAACAAGACCTCATCAGGTCGAAAGACAAGATTCAACCTCAGGACTTCTCAAAGCTAAAGAGTGTTTGCCGCTTTCACTGCTCTGGGCACAAAGGAGTTTTAAAAAATGTTTTTCTTGGCTGATATCACTCGATGTCTCTGTCCTGACGGCAGAAGTTCAAACTTTTTGTTATATAGTATAAAATCTCTATAACAAAAAGGCATCCGTTTTATGAAGCCACTTAAAGACACTGCATACAGCATTTTTCTTTAAATCCGTGCACATTGATGATAAACTTCTGTAGCCACAGCTTCCCTGGGGCAGACTGACAGAAGCAAGGCAACCAGTATTTGCCATCGGCCCTTCTGACCACTACCAACTTATTCATACACCAGACTCATTCTTGGCCATGCTGTGTGTGAAGAGTCACAAGTTATTAGTCATTAGTATGTCATTTTCACTTGTTTTGGTCTCTCTTTCATTCACTAAAATAAAGCCATTGTCTATGAAATATGTTTTATGTATGATCAGTACATGTATATTACCAGTGGGGGCGGGTCCTGGGCCAAAATGCGCTAACATGCTTGCAATACCACCCCGGGCCGATGGCGGTGGACCCGGAATAAGAATTATTCAATGCTAATGTAGAGCATCTTTTTACTTCTCAAAATTGGGTTTACAGGATGGTCCAAAAGTTGGTTCTTGACCCAATGCTACGTTCCAAATGTGAGCCAATGCTGAGGGGAGTGAATTTTTTTGGACCAGTCTAGTTTAGTTGCTGAGGAATTTTGAAGACACTCGACAAATGAATGGGTCTCATGCTGGCTGATGCATGCGCAGATACGTTTTTTCACATTTTCCAGCCCCCGCGGCCATTTTGAAACTGCCTATAGACAGCCGAAGTGGTGGCACATTAGTTTCAACAGCGAAGATAGGCGTGACTACGTCCATTAATATTAACAGTCTATGATTATTACGCACATGTTGGGACTGAGTCTGATTCTTTGCTCATTGCACTCTCTCAGACAGGCTCCGCCCTGCATCAGAAAGCAGACGGGTGGAAGCAGAAGGTGAACGACTCCAAAAACTCTCGGCCCAAGACTCCCATTATTGTGGATCAAGAAGCACAGGTAACCCGTATTATTTGGCTTAGGCTCTACTTGTATTAACAACTTACAGTATGTCCAACTTAATATTGTGAACATAAATGTGAATTATTTCCTTTCCTTCCTATTTGATCGTGGCAACCCCCAAAAACGTTGCTTTTTTTCTTTGTTAAATTTGAGAAACAGTTCACAGCTGGATGGGAGGCTGTACTTCACGCAGCATACAGTTTTAATATTTGTTTTATTTTACAAGGGTCAAAATGTGAAACCTCAATCTCGCAGAAGCACCATGTATTGATCTTGTGAATATAATTTTCCAGCTGCAGTCGTCAGTGAGCTCTTTGCTGCAGACTGTAGCCCGAGATGAGGACATGTCCTGGGCAAAGCGGGAACAGCAGGCCTTGGGGAGAGTGCCATCTAGAGGTAAAACATTTGCAACTGCAGCCTCCTTTTCAGATGTGTGCCAAAGCATTATCCAAGAATAACCATGACAGAAGTGAAAAGGACAAGGTTATGACGTTTTCATTTGTACATTTCACATATTCTGTCACCATGAAAGGTTTGATTTTTACTGTACGAAAACACTACATAATGCCATTCATTAGGGCCGGGAAACAAATAAATAAAAACATGAAACAAATAATAAAAAATATATAATTATTGCTAATAGACCCACATTGACTTGTTTACATTCACAAATTCACACTTGCCTTTTTTTCTATTGGATTTCTATGATCCAGTTCAAATTATTCAAGATCAAATCAGGAAAAAAAACCTGTATTTTTATAAAGATATATTTGTTTAAAGTTGTATTAGAGGGCACAAACACTGCTTAAACAACTAACATTATCTTGTTTCATTTTTTGGGGGGTGTCATGTGTTCTTTTATGTACCATGGATTTGTATGATTATTTTGTTGTTGAATGTATGATATAGAACATGACTAGGACCATAACCAGCAAAAGCAGCCCACAGGTTCTATTACCATTTTGGTTACTCTTACACCATTGGTGGAGTAGTAGTAGTGCTCCCACTGTAAAAAAGAAAAAGTTAGTTCAATTCAAAATTTCAGAGCAACCATTTGCGAAGGATTTTTGAGTTGAAGGCATTAACTTAATTCATCACGTTTTGAAGAACTACACTTAAGTTGTGTCAGTTTTCCAAGTTCTGCCCACTAAGTTTTTAAATTCAAGTTACTGGAACTTTCAAGTCTGTGAAAACTTACTTTTTAAAGTTCAGATTACTGTTCCCTACGATAACTTACTATTTTGAGTTAAAATTTGCCCCCACATTAAACCATCATGATGTTTATTTATATAGCGCATTTTACAGACCAAGGTCACTTGGGCAGGGGAAACCGGAGCACCCGGAGGAAACCTATGCAGACTCAGATAACATGCAAATTCCACTCAGAAAGGCCCTGTTCTGACCGGGATTCGAACCCAGGACCTTTGTGTCAAGAAGCGAGAGTGCTACCCACTCGCCACCGTGCCACACACACTGTAAACCCGATTAGTGGAAAACTAATGTTTCTAAGACTGACCCAGGGAATATATACAGGGCTACTTTGGCTTGGCCCTGTCGATTACGGTTGGTAAAAATAAATACAATGATTTTTTTGGTCAAATTAGTTTTTTCTAATGTTGAATGCAGCTGGTTGCCATGACAAATATTTAAATGAGCAAACGCAGATAAGTTGACCTCACTCTAGCTCGGTGCACTGTAAAAACGACAACTCAAAATTGTTCACCTTACTCAGATTTTTGCATTCACTGACAATAAAATTTCCAGTTGGAACTGGAACCGTCTGTTGTGAGCCACTTGAACTCACTTTCAGAAGTTCACTACAACTTCAAAGTAAAATCAACTTAAAATATCAAATAAGATGAACTTTTCATCAGAAACTTCTGAAAGTGAGTTCAAGAGGCTCACAACAGATAGTTGCAGTTCCAACTGGAAAATCAGTGAATGCAAAAATCTTAGTAAGGTGAACAATTTTGAGTTTTTACAGTGCCTCACACGTTCGCCTTAAACACCAGCCCAGTAACTTATAACACACAACAAAGACAATCATAGAAAAAGCATGTGTGACAGTAAACACAAGTCTACAATAGTGCGGGCGGGTTCCAGCTCAAAAGGATCCATGAGCACTTGCACTGATTTGCTTGTGATCTGACTCCTCACTGATGGTGGTGTACCCAGAAACAGAAGTATCCAATGCATTGAATGAATGAATGAATACTTTATTTCGAGCCATGGCAGAAAATAACAAAGAACAACAACAAAACAACAACAACATTGAAATAAAAACCAATACATAGACAGTATGTTTTGTTTTATTAACAAAAAGTCAGCTCGAAAAGGAATGGGAAGAAGTTAAGACTTTTAAACTCCCACCCCCATTTATTATTCTAATTTAATGATGTGTTTGCTACAGCTTAGCTTTGTCAGTGGTCTTTTTACAGTTATGCAACAGTGACATTCACAATAATATGCTCTTGATTATGAATATGTGTATACTATTGTTTCCTTAATACCTTATATGCCTTTAAGTATCACAGCCTTTACTAATCATAACATCATCATCATCACCAACCCTAACACTAACCCTAAGCCACATATTATTCATATTTATAATTTTCTCTATAATTTATTTTATATATATAGTAATTAAATAGAATTACACAATATTGTATATTTAATACTTACTACGATAATTACTTTTGCCATACATGAGTTAAATTTGATCGTTGGTGCGGATGGGAGCGATCTTTTATTTAGATGGTGTGTTATTTATGAAGGGCGTCTCTGCGTCCATATCTGCCTCTTACAAAGAATTATTTCCTCTTAAGAACGGCTTTACAGAACGGTCCAAAAGTCTTGGATCAACTTCCAGATGTTTGTCAATGCTGAGGGGATTTTTTGGACCAGCCTCGGGTAGCTGCTGTGGACTATGTACGGGGGCCCGGCCAGGTTCCCATCATTATCCCATGAAAAAAAGAACTGTGCATGTGTCGTCATGTGCGGATCGACAAACTAAGTTTTTTTGTTTTGTATCAAAGGCTCCATATCTGGCCCAGGATCGGGGTGCAGTGAATCATGGGGTCATAGACTGCCTACTGTTCAAATATAGGTAGAAGAGAATGTGATGTCAAGGTAACACTGTGGATTGGTGACGCAGTGGTTACCGTTTGTGTTTCACAGCAAGAAGGTCCTAGAATCGATTCCACTTTAAGGCCTCACTGTGTTGAGTTTACATGTTCTCCCCTGATCTGCATAGGTTTCCTCTGGGTGCTCCAGTTTCCTTAACCACTAAAAACATGTTAAATAGGTCTGACATGCGCCTCCCATAACCCGCTCCCCTCAGTGTTTGCCTCGTACTCCACATTGTAAAGCCCTAAATAAATTAAGATTGCTTACCCCAACCCTTACCCTTACGTTTGTGCTGTCTGCCCCTACAGCCCCTTCCCCTGTTCCGACCCGTGGCCGCTCAAGCTCAGTGGGGGAGTCTCTGGGGCTGGCCAGCGGCAGGATCATGAGGGCTGTGGTTTCACATCCGTCTTCGTCCAACCCCAAACTCCTCCCCTTCAACAAAGGAGAGCTCATCGTGGTCCTGGTGGAGGAGCCACGGAACGGATGGCTCTACGGACGCACTAACAGCAGCCTGGGGTGATTTATATCAAACAAGATTTGCCAGAGGGACAAGTATATCTCAAATATGGAATTCTCTCTAGGAATAAGAACAACATTGCTACTGTGCTTGAAAAAATACGTTATAGATTACTTTTTATGTAACTCTCCTATCGTCCCCGGGGTTGATTTGACCTCAATTCAATGTTTACGTTTCAAAAATGTATTCTTTTTTTTTTCTCTGGGGATGGGGACAACTGATCTCACATACATATTTTATAATAATATTTTTTCAATGTGCTGAACATATATTGCACTCAATTTGACCCCAAGCTGTTTTAGCTTTATAGATTGATAAATTCCAATAGTATGACTGACTTTTGTAATATCACACGCTGCGTCACAAACCATTAACCGCGTGTTTCTTTTTCCAGTCAGGGCTGGTTTCCTGCAGCTTATGTGACATCAGACGATCTATCCATTCTCAACAGGTAATTTGTGATACTTTTATTTATCTATTTATTTGATGTGGACACAACAGTTGCATTGGACAGACCAGATGCACTGCCTTTAGTGTCATAGCAAGACCATGCTAAATTTCAACACTTGTCCACAGACAGGGCAAAATAAAAAATTGAATAATGCAATTATGCAATTATGCCTATATAGTGGTAATCTATGACACCTATGGATGGGTTATAATAGCATATATATTTTGTATATGTAATATCTCTATATTGAGATAAAACATTGTCAACCTTGATCAAAGAATCAACAGTTAAGACAAAAAAATATATAGAACACTGAATGTCCGTACATGTTGTAGAATGTTAAAGTGTCCTGGATCATCACCACAGTCCTTCTTGTTAGACACTAACTGTCCTCTTGCATCGGCAAATAAAAACTCAGTGGGAAAAAAGTGAGAAACCTTGGGGTGATCCACAGAGAGGGCTCCGATTCCACGGACAGACGGGCTATAGATCCAGGACCTAAGCTACAGTGTGTAGCTTAAAATGTGCTACTTATGAAGCACATTTTATAAAGCAGGTTTCCAAAGTGCTGAACCCGACTAGAACCCAGTACATGTGAGTCTGCGTGTGATGTTGTGTGTTGCTGCAGAGGAGGGCAAAAGTCCTGATCAGATTCAGAGTCATTCTATAAACCACATTGGAATAAAAGTCCCCAGTGTGCACCAGACAACTATATAAATAAAACACTTAAAAGTAAAGGAATATGGTATGCAAAATAAAAAGTACAGGACACAAATGTCACGGTGAAATCGATCAACAAAAACAGCTTCAATAACAAGTGCAAGATCATTAAAGTGATGTGTTTAAACTGATAACAGGTTGTGGGAAAAAAGCTGTTAGCAAATCAAGATGTCCTGCAACTCTGCAAACGATAGCTTCTGCCAGAGGGAAGAAGCTGAAACATTTCTTTTCAAAAGAGCTTTGCACCGTTTGCTCTGCTCTGGAAGTGTAAAATCCTGACAACTGTACTGGGGTCAATTTTAAAGATGAAAAAAGCGAAACAATAATGATTGTGAAGCAAAACATGTTAACCAATCACTAATGTGACCTTTTTTAGAACATTCACCTCCACCAAGCTTTTGTCATAGATTGAATTATAATTGTCCGTTAGAGCAGAGTACTCTCCAGGTCAATGCACCATCTTGAAATATATTGGTTGATAAATGACAAAATGGAAAATTACATTTTTGTTTCACAGACGTTGTTAAGTGCCCCAAAAGAGGTGCCGATATTCTTTTTTATTTAATAATTATTTAGGTTAGTTTTAAATGCAAGAAAGTGCAACATAGAATATTGCAAATAGGTGGTGTTTTAGCGATTTACTTTTTATATGACCAGAGATGGAGTGGTATTTGATTGGTGATGTACTCCAACAGCCCAACTGCCAGAAGCCACAGTATGAACAACCTGCTGGAGCCTTCTGATGCCTCCGCCAACAACACACGCAGCCAGAGCCCAGAGGAGCGGCTCCAGGATCCCCCCGCCTCAGCTGACACCGAGCCCACTCCCAGCAAGATATCCAGCAAAACTCTTTCTGCTCCAACTGCGCAGCACCTCCAGCCGGTGTCACCGGAGCCCTGCAAGAAGAGTGAGACCATGCCTGAGACCCAGGTTTGTAAGGAATCATGTCATGTCAGTTTCAGATTTTTCAATGTGGTTTCACAGCAAATGGCAAATATTTATTAGGGCTGCATAATTTTGAACTCAAAATAGAAATTTAAACTGTTGTGCATCATGTGTTTTCATCTAGTGACATAGAAATGATATAGAAATTAATACTGTTAAGAAAAGAAAAGTTCTGTATTATGTGTTATCTTCGTAGTTTAATAATTATAAGTCTTATTGTAAGTCTTATAATTATGTATGCCTGATTTTGTACCAACAGAAAGGGTATTGTAGCATGTGAAAGATTTGTGTGAAGACATCTGATCCATTGCAAACTTGCAGGAAGTCCCGACTGGGTTGAGAACCAATTCACTTTTGTGTGTCTAAAGCTGCTCTCTGATAGGGAGAATAGAATGTGACAAATGGGAGAAAGTTCAATCCCTAAAATGAGGACGCCCCACTCACAGTCGAGTGCTTACAACCGATATGTGAGGAATGAGCTTCAATTGATGCACATGGGTTCAAATCTAGTAATTCTCAGTAGATATTTGATTTAGTTTTAAAGTCAACATGGCATTTTAAAAGACACATTTTGAATAAGAAAATTACTGGTGATGATTTGGATTTAAACACATGCTTTATATGAAATGTCTGCGTAAATGTTTATTTCTAAATGTTTTATTTTTCTAGACATTGTCCCCTCATGGACCTGAAAACCCACTGTTTCCCAGGTACTTAAAACACACTGGTATTTAATTACAGAATAAAATTTAAGGGCAGAAACAAAAACAAACCTAAATGACCCAAATGACAGTCGAACAACATACAAATTCAGACAGATTGTATACTCCAAAGAATACATGGAAAACCATGTTTAACCATTTTATAAAAAGAATGTAAGATTGGTTTGAGTATCATAGATGATGCTTTGACAGTTAAATCCAACACAAAGTCTATTAATATTTTATGTCATAGAAATAGTTTATATGTTGCAGTAATATTTTATACCTCAGATTGTATATGGAAAAGCATGTAGAGAAATTCAAGAAGAATTGTGTAAGGTTTGTTTGTATTTCATAACTGACAGTCGAGAGAAAACACAAGTCAAAATCTAGAGTTACATTTTCACATTAGGCCTAGGAGGGGGCTGAGGAGAGGAGAGGAGGGAGGTGAGGAGAGGAATAGGGCTGAGGAGAGGAGAGAGGTGAGGAGAGGGCTGTGGAGAGGAGAGGGCTGAGGAGAGGAGAGGGCTGAGGAGAGGAGAGAGGTGAGGCGAGGGCTGTGGAGAGGAGAGAGGTGAGGCGAGGGCTGTGGAGAGGAGAGGGCTGAGGAGAGGAGAGAGGTGAGGAGAGGAGGGAGGTGAGGAGAGGAGGGAGGTGAGGAGAGGAGAGGGCTGAGGAGAGGAGAGAGGTGAGGCGAGGGCTGTGGAGAGGAGAGAGGTGAGGAGAGGAGAGCGGTGAGGAGAGGAGAGAGGTGAGGAGAGGAGAGAGGTGAGGAGAGGAGAGGGCTGAGGAGAGAGTTGAGGAGAAGAGAGATCTGAGAAGAGGAGAGAGGTGAGTAGAGGAGAGAGTTGAGGAGAGGAGAGAGGTGAGTAGAGGAGAGAGTTGAGGAGAGGAGAGAGGTGAGGAGAGGAGAGAGGTGAGGCGAGGGCTGTGGAGAGGAGAGAGGTGAGGAGAGAGGTGAGGAGAGGAGAGAGGTGAGGCAAGGGCTGAGGAGAGAGGTGAGAAGAGGAGAGAGGTGAGGAGAGAGCTGAGGTGAGGAGAGGAGAGAGGTGAGGAGAGGAGAGGGCTGAGGAGAGAGTTGAGGAGAAGAGAGATCTGAGAAGAGGAGAGAGTTGAGGAGAGGAGAGAGGTGAGGAGAGGAGAGGGCTGAGGAGAGAGGTGAGGACAGGAGAGAGGTGAGGTGAGGCGAGGGCTGAGGAGAGGAGAGAGGTGAGGAGTGGGCTGAGGAGAGGAGAGAGGTGAGGAGAGGAGAGAGGTGAGGAGTGGGCTGAGGAGAGGAGAGAGGTGAGGAGAGGAGAGAGGTGAGGAGAGGGCTGTGGAGAGAGGAGAGAGGAAAGGAGAGATGTAAGGAGAGGGCTGAGGAGAAGAGAAAAGAGAGGTGAGGAGAGAGGAGATGGCCAAGATGAGAAGAGAGAGATGAGTCTAGGGCTGAGTGAGGAGAAAGAAGCTGGTTTGTATTGATTTTAATTGTGTGCATGAGACTTTATGATGACAACAGCCAAACAGAAAACACACAGATCAGAGAACTCCAGAGGAAGAGATTTCAAGAGGAAAAAAGTTCACACTGACAAAGGACACTAAAATCTGCATTTGAGTAAACTGCAGGTTCTATTCTAGATATAATACATCTACTGTATCCTAAAGCTGACTACAGACTATATAAGATTGAAAAATATGATATGATTTTAAGAAATGAGACACGGTATTCCGATAACAAACATCAGAATATTTTGAAACGATTGGTCTCACAGTCGCAGAAAACACACTTTCAGGAAAAGGACAAAAGAACAAATCCAGGTCTGTTTTTATTATAATAAGGAAAAACATGTACATGGCTAATGCTCAAAATGTAGATGATTCTTTGTGTTTTACAGTATATGTTAAATTCATATGTTAAAACTCAAGAACTTCTTCCACCACTGTTTCAGGGGTTCGAATCCATTTGCGACTGTGAAGCTCAAGCCCACCACCACAAACGACAGGTCTGCTCCGCGGATCCATTGACAGAAAATCAGTATATCTGGTATTTGATGTTGATTAAAATAATAATTATATAAAGTTATAATCTATATGAGTAATTTTATTTTCACGCATGTGTTCTAGAGTATTAAATGGCATGTGTTGCACAAAGGACGTTTTCTTATGTGGCTCTTGAAAAAGCTAATTTTGTGCATTGTTAAGTATTTAACAGTGCATTCCAACTCCAGGCATCACCTGCAATGAGATTTAAAGAATCTACCACTCCAATCACACATGGTCTATCAGTGGTGGGAAAACTCCGGCCTGTGGGTCAGATGCAGACATTTGTTTCTGTCAGGCCCCGGAGCCTCCTCAGTTTATATAGAAATAATCTAAAGACAAATTGTCAGTGCTGCATCCAGAGCTCTGGAACCACATTTTTTTATTTGAATAATAAATGTATGAGTAAAAAATAAAGCCTGAGAAAAAAATTGGACAATAGGTCTGGTCCCTGACAGCAGGCTGATTCCAATGTGGCCCTTAGGGTTTGAAGATTTGCCCATGTCTGGTCTAGGCCCCTCCCACGCCCCAGATTTCTCATCACTGAGATCAGATGCTTCGTATTTGTACATGTTTTATTGCCTTTAATCAAGTTAGTCAAGCTAGCTGTGCTGTTGCCGGGACCCTTGCCCTCGGTCTGAACCTAGAGACACCCACACAGTGTCGAGTGCTTGACCACGTCCTTTCCTTGTGAGCGCTGCCAGCAGCTACTGGCTGCTACTCCGCTCAGAGACAGTTTGTGTCACATTCACTATTTTGGGCATTCCAAATCCATGGTTTAGTGCTCCTTAGGATCCTAATGTTTATATTGGGGCCTCAACCTCACATGGTTGGAGTGGTACATTGATCTTTATGTTTATAATGTATATTTCCTTTATGTTTGTGGTTGTAAAGTGACAATTCAATGTGTATAAGTTCAAGCTGTTCTAATTCACAATCCATTCTACAAATAATTCATATTTAATGCAGGGGTGTTCCAACCATCATCAAAGAGCAATTAAGGAAGAGAGCCTCATACAATGATCCAGTGGCCCACGGGCCTAAGTTTGGACATCCCTGCTTTAATACCTCAGCTGTCAGACCTAACAAAATTCCTGTCCTGTTCCTCCACGCCCCTGCTATATTATCCATTACTCTAGGGATGTGATATTCTAATAATTCCCCATCCCTCTACAAACCACAGAATGCTGATCTCACCGTCTTTCATTCAGTCCTCTTTAATAAGTTATTGTACACCAAGCCAAGTGTTGTGTCAATGTCCCATTTAATGATCCCAGTGATTTATTCAAAATAATGTCTGATATCTCCTAATAATATATCTTGTATATGTAATATATGATTGCTGTGAAAAGTTATGTCCCGTCCCAATGCATGTTTTGTTCTTATGACGTGTTTGCTCTGTCAAATACTAAAAATAAACACCTGTATATCCTTTCAAGCTGTCTGAGTAAACTTCTGTAACTACTCAAGCATGTTATGTGTGAGAACTTTACACTTTGCTTGTTCTTTGATTTTTGTTCTCCTTAAGCCTTGGTTAGAATGACCAGTGCGATCTTGTCGCTCTCACTAACCTTGTTGCTCTTAAGTGACATTCCCACCGGACCATGTGGTACTACGGGTTTACGTGCAAATTCAATGGTGACGTGCAACTGTGCAGATATTCGCATATCTGGACTTTATGGACCAGAGTTTCCGATAGAAAATGAGATAAGACCAAAACTTTTTCAGAGTTCATGGGACTGTTGTGATTAAGGGCAATACAAAAATAAATGGAATTGAATTTAACACAGTCAATTGATATTGTCATTATGCATCTTCAACGTTAATTACTCATTAGGCAATTGCAAAATGCTAAAAATCACAAAATGTAAATCCATTTACAAAACGTCTCAAGAAAACAAGGAAATTCCACTATGTTGTATCACTCGGGGAATCAATATGCATCATACTTTTGCACACCACACCTATAAATTTTCATCATCACGTATCATTTTGCCCTTACTTTGCCTAACTACACAACATCTGTTGATTTGTGTTGATCTTTCACATACAGCACCAACACAATATCCCATGTGTCCCGTGACTAAATACGAAAGAGTTTAGTTTTGTAAGGAACCATATCCTTCCATACTCCTGACGACTGTTGTCTTATTGAGAACATTCCTGTGGAGCTTGACGCGCACACACACGCACACACACACACACGCACACTCACGCACACACACACTCTGCAGATGTTTGTTCAGGTGCAGGGGTCGGGGAGCGTTCTCCTTGGGGTGCACACTCTCTGGTTCTCTGGTACCTCCCTCCCCCACTCTGCTCTGAGTGGGAGTGGGATCACAACAGCACAGTGACCATGGAGCACACACTTGAACCACAGAACGCGCGCTGACTGTGGATAGATGCCAACTTATATTACGTTCAAAAGCTTTCTGATGTATGCTCTAGACAAAGCTTCTTCATGAAGGTAAGTTGAGCCTTATGTTTGCTATTGAGAATACATAGAACTAGTTCCTGACCCCAAGTTATCAGAGCAACAGTGGCTGAGGGTGTGTTTTCATTGGTCTAGTTCACTTGGGGCCAACAAGCTTCGTTTTGGGAATATACAGTTTATATACCGTTTATATTTTATGTCAAATCAATTTCTCATTTTGCTTTGGACTACGTAACTTCTCGTCTTTTGGTCACATTCACAGACTTTAGAGACATATTGCGTACCCCTTATACATGCATTTACATCCATTTTAATCTACAGTAAAATATAGTATAAAAATAGTCAGTTGTAGCCACTCTACAGCTGTGTTCACACTTGTTGGTCTGGTTCACTTTAACTAAACTAGGTTTTACAGTGTCAATCAAAAGTCTTGAACTTTTTCACATTTTGTCCCGTTAACCATTAACATAATGATTTATTTTGATTTGCTTACTGAAATTTCACACACAAGAAACAGACAACTGAGAAGTCAAATCAAAAAGAGACAGGATTGCAATATTATTTTAAGAGTATGAATGCAGAAATGTCCTTCCATTTTCATTTCCATTAACTGCTGAACGTTCACACCTTGCCCTAACAATGAATAAAATGTCAGCTTTTAAATGTTTCTTGACTCTTTTCAGTCCCAGAAACTAAATATTTAAGTCAGTTTAAGAGCACACGTTCAAAATACGCTAAAATGAAATGATACCACTAAATAAATGCATCAGGGTGATATTTGATATACACACATTACAACTGAGATGTACCATAACAGTAGAGGCATGGGGGTAGTCCAGGTATATGCTCTGGTTTCCTCCAGGTGCCCCGGTTTACTGTAAAAACATATACTGTATATAGTTACTATATGCTGAGTGAGTGGTGGTTACGGGGTCCTGCCTCTGTCATCAGTGTGGAAACAAAAATTGGAAAAGCTGTGCTGTGACCCTGGTCTACGAGAAGTGTATGTAATACCGGTGATCTGCACGTTTTCATGTGGTCTGGGTGCCCATCACTTGCCCCTCCAGCCTCTGTACAATAGCCCAGTCCATTTTGTTTTGTATTAATGTGTCCAATAATGTATTTCTTTGGATGCAGTGCTGTAAATAAACCAGATTGTAGTTGTGGGCTAATTTCCATTCTTAGTCCCACAGTTGCACTGAGAAACACATGTTTATTCACCCTGAACTATTGTACATGTTTTTACTGCCACAGAACCAGAGCAGCCTGAGGAAACCTACGTAAGTGTAGGGACAACATGAAACTTCAAACCGAAAGAACCCTTGAGCTGGACTTTCTTCTTGCTGTGAAGCAATTGAGACTAGCCTGCTGTGCTACTGTGCCGCCCATTTGGGAGGGTGCAGAGAGCTGGCACTGACGCACCGTTAGCCGTTTATTTTAGTGGATTAGGTTCTTCGTCACGACCATCCTACTTCCAGGGCCCAAGTGCCTGCCTTCTCTTGTGGACTGTTCTGCGACCTGGTGTAGACTCTGCTGGCCAGCGCAGTCATGGTGCCGGGCTTATTAGCCCCCGTTGAGAGACTGATCTTTAGAGTTTCCCTGGGGTGTTTCGGCAGGGCTGTGTGGGGTACATAAGGGCCATGTTGAGGCCTCTGGTGTGGTTCACTTTTTGACTGTTTATCATAAATGTTTTGGCAGAAAGAAAGAACGTAGAGTTTACATGATACAGTGGACAGCATTGTGCAACTGTGGGACTAGATACTCTTCGTATCTGGTCTCCACCCATTGAGTAGGGAATAAGACAAGATTTTATTTGCCAAAGTCCCCCATTCCCCACTTGGAGCCAACAATAACAAAGTAGGTTTTCAAGTGAGGGGTGGAAGAACTGAATTGTTAGGAGCAGAAACAAAAATTTACTCTTAAAAATCTAAAGTTAAGGATTGTGGTTGGTTAGAAGGCACAGACTGGTAATACCCCAGGGCAGTTGTGGCTATACACTAGTACCCTATCACCACTACGTGCTTGAAAGGGGCATAAAGGAGTGCATGTACAAGCACATGCCTGTCACTGACCATGATGCAGTAATGCGCTTGATTATGGAGTTAAAAAATGGGTAAACATTGTTTTTGTAATGGAAAAGGATTTTTCCTTCTTCGAGGCGGCAATAACAACTCACCCATCTTAAATAACATTTGAAATAAAAATCCAAATTCTAGCACTTTAAACTCTGGCCATTTATAATCTGAATAGTCCACAATCTTTAATTCAACATTTTCAACTTTGACTCACATCTCTTATCTTTCTATCTATCTCCACCGAGAAAGTTTCACTCAACATCATCTTAAGAATATTTTTATGAAATGAAAGTTGAAGACTTTTAAAAAGCACTTTTTTTTAATCAAAGTAAAAGGTCATTAATTATATAAATAAATACATTGAAACTTCGACTCCTCTTGTTTTAAATACTTTGATAACATGGGTCTTTGCTGTTGTGCATTTTGTATTCTTTATTATTTTGGCCTAAACTCAAAAAGATTCTGCAATACATTTCTTGCCTAAATGTTTGAATCTTGTGTTTTCTAATGTTTTCTCAGTTTCCATATCCTTACATTTGAACGCCGTCCTCTTCTATTGTACTAAAGTATCTTATATCTTACAATAATGCATTGGAGTTGTTTTTGTTTATTATTATTTTCAAATGTAGAAAAGTATTGAAATCCATTTTTTGTTTCTCTCCTTAACCACTGCTTCCCTACCCTGCCTCCTCCCTCCCTCTCGCTCCAAGGCACTGCAATGCATGATGGGTAAACAGATCCAGCTGCGCAGGAGGAATGTGCAGAGCTCACTTCAGGCCGAATTATCTCTGATGCACACACACTGGATAGCCTTGACTCTGGGATTTCCCCCTTTTTATATAAAACTCAGGTTAATTTAATACTTCAGGCCGTATAGGCTAGACAAAAGTTGGATTATAATGATATAATGGTTTTCACAAACAAAGGCAAGAGAGGTTTGTTATGATTGTTTAGACAAGAGACCTCACACTCACATTGTTACATTGTAGTGTGTTTCACTTTCTCGTTTTGGCAGATGTTTTCATATAGATTAATAACCCAGTCCGGGAAACAGTTCTGTTCCTCGTGGGTAGTGCAAGTGAACCCAACCCTATACTTGAGACAAATCCAAATGGACCTGGAAGTCACAGTTTAGCAAACAATAATGACAGAGAGAAGAGACTAGCTACCTGCAGGAGCTTAGTGTCAAATACACCCAGTCAACATACTGTATGTAAAATACACACTTGTTAGGGATAGCACCACTGCATGTGGGGAGACCAGTGGGGGCGGGTCCCGGCTCAAAAGTGGCCAAAATGACGTGTGCTGACATGCTTGCAATACCACCCCGGGCCGATGGGAGGTATTGCTAACATATAGAATCTTCTTACCTCTCGACCACTGTGTACCTACTGCTTGAGACCAGGAGAACAAGAGCTGGCCGAACTTGTCACTTCCACTCATTTTTGGAACGTCCATGGTGCAAGCATGCATCATATGAGCTAAGGCCATTGATTTGAACATGCAATTACATGTACATGTTGATACTACAATTGTAACAATTTGCCGATCTTTTCCAAGATACCAGAGCTACAACGCTTAAAAAAGGTCGTGAGAGGAGATAGTCACATTAGCGAGGTGAAATAAGCACAGGTACAGAACATGCGTTTGGCACACAACTGGCTGTTTATTACTGTTCCAGATCTCACTATGCTCGAGCGCAATCCTACCCAATATATCAAAACACATTCACAAACAACCCACAATGGTGCTCTCAATATGTGAGAACAAAAAAAGAGTCAGTGTCAGTGGTGAAGCCACGGTTCTACTCACGGCCCGCGCATGCACCATGGTCCACCAAAATAGGTCCTGGAGCCAAGCAGCGACCATGGAGGGATAATCCACAGAGTCTCGTAAAATCCCACAAATCACGATAATCCAAGAGTCACGATAATCCAAAATGAAATCACCCCACCAGGGATTATAATCCGCGGAAACAGGTCCTCCAGGTAAGGGTGCTGGCCCTGCTCCAAGTCGGTGTCTGACGTCAGACCATGCACGCCCCAGCCTGTGCCCGACACTCTTAAATAGAGTCTCTCCAAGGACACGGTGGCTTGTATAGGACAATGAAGAGTATTGGAGGAGATTGTTTTTGTTGTATTTTAAAAGACACATATTCAAATGACAAAAACTTCCCAAGAGGCATTCTATGGGAGACAAGTGGTCTCTGAAAATGGCAGCTATGCCTCCTCCCTTTTTGTTTTCCCGTATTTCCGATTCGAATTTGAAATTTGGTGGTGATGCTTCTATTAAAACTGCATTTCCTGTATTTTGGTCAAGCCAAGTTTCAGCCATGAACATAAGATCAAGATTATGAGAACAAATAAAATTATTGATTAAAAAAGACTTGTTACAAAGAAATCTGACATTAAGCATAGCAAGTTTCAAAGTGTCAGTGTCAGTGGTTGTGGTCGGCTGATTCTTACACGGAACAAGAATTAGATTTTCCAGATTAGACTGACTAACTCCAGATGTTTTTCTGTTACGTATTCTTTGTGTTATCACTAAGGGAATGGCACAGGTGGCTTCATGACAGGGCCCCAGCCGGGTCTCTCCTCTACCTACAGTAGACTGCCAGTGGCTGCGAAGCAGAGACCCTGTGCATCCTAGTGTTTAGAGATAAGAGGGGAAGGGGAAAGCGGGGGAGGAGGAAGAGGTTAGGGGTTAGGGGACGGGTGGGCTGCGGTGGAGGTATTGGGTGTTGAATGAGGGGGAATTGGGGGTGGATTGGTTATGAGGTTAGGGGAGGGACGGGCTGATGTGGTTTTTGTAGGTGAATCAGGAGAATTGGATACCCTAGGTGGCTTTGGAGGTACATATGGGGAGTGGTTTTGAATGCTGGATAGGACTCTAGATCAAGCTAATATGGGTGTGAGAGGAATAGAATAGAATTATTGTTTATACATGAAACTACAGAACATTGTAATTTCCATTAGTCAAATATTGTGTCTAACCAATATATTACCATCCTAATATGTGTGTCCTCCCACAGAAGCCGTCTCACCATGCCGCCCTGTGCCCTGCTCCTCCTGCTGCTGTGTGTCCAGGAGGCAGTGTCCTCTGAGTGCCCCACAGACTGTTCATGTACATCACATGAGTCTGTGTTCTGCGTCACGCGCCGCTCCAGCACTGTTCCTCATGTGCCCTCCGACACTGAGCAGCTCTACATTTTCCACAACGGCATCTCCACCCTGGGCCCTGACGACTTCAAACACCTAGGGCAGCTGCAGATGTTGGACCTGAGTCAGAACCAATTGTCCCATATTCCCGACAAAGCTTTTGAGATGCTGGGGAAGCTCAAGAACTTGGACCTGTCCACCAACCAGATCCGACACATCTTCAAAGACAGCTTCTCAGGGCTTGTCCAGCTCGAGCGTCTGTACCTCTATGCAAATCAGATCCAGAGCATCCAGATGGGAGCCTTTGAAAGTTTACAAAACCTGTTGGAACTTAAACTCCATGAAAACCTGCTCACGTCTCTCCCTGTGCTGTCCTTCCCACGACTCCTGCTTCTGGACCTCAGTAACAACAACATTCCAATGTTAGGACCATCTGATCTCCAAATACCTCACCTGGAAGCTCTTAAGGTCTCCTCTTTGGGGCTAACCTCGTTGGATGCAAACCTGATGGCTTCACTGCTTAACTTGCATTATTTGGACATTTCGATGAACCAGTTTGTGGAGGTTCCTTTGGCCTTAAGGCAGGACAATCTCAACGGGCTGATTAGACTAAACCTGGCTGGCAATCCTCTCAGAGAGTTGAAGTTGGTTGACTTCCACAAACTCCGCGGACTTCATGAACTGGACCTAAGCGGATTGAACCTTCAGAGCATCCCTCAAGGGCTCCTGGACAACTTTCCGCGGTTGGTACAACTCACAGCTGCAGAGAACCCCTTCAACTGCCTCTGTCCATTGGCCTGGTTTTCTGTGTGGCTCAAGGAAAAGGGGTTGAATATTGGGAGGCCTGAGGAGACCAGGTGCCACTTCCCTCTAGTGAATGCCGGGAAAATGCTTTCCGAACTAGAATACAAGGACTTTGGGTGCCTGGATACAACAACAGCATTGGCTAGTACATCTTCTCAAAGCATGTCAGATCTAACTACAGACAAACTGCAGACAAACGGAACCTCCAACACCATATTTCCGTCTTCTATGGCCCCATCTTTGTCCCCTCACAGCACAGAACAGCACTGCCTTTTGCCCTGCCAGAATGGTGGGAGGTGTCACATGGATCAACTGGGTCAAAGGTCCTGCCAGTGTCCGATGGGTGCTACTGGTCTCAACTGTGAAACCAAAGAAGAAACTCTCAAGCCTTGGACGACAGATATACCCATGGTAGTCTCCATTAGCTCGCGTCACGTCACTGCCACATCCATCCTGTTAGATCTACACAGCTTTATCCAGACGCAGCCTCATATCCGTGGCATCAGGCTGACCTACCGCAATCTGTCCGGGCCTGATCACCGACCCATAATCCTGCGCGTCCCAGCCTCCTACCCTGAATACACGCTGAGAGGTCTGCGACCCAACTGCACCTACTCTGTGTGTGCCAGTCCACTTGTAGAGAAGGCCCAGCAGCGTTACAATGGGTCGCTGGAGATAGTGTCGTGCACAGAGGCACGTACTGCTGGAGCCCCTCTTAACCCTCTGGAACCCCCTCTGAACACGCCAGGACCAAAGTCAGGGAAAATAGAGCCAGGGCTGACAGCACTGGCCCTGCTTTTTGGATTAGCATTACTGCTTGGGACAGTGGTTTGTGTGAGGCAGAAGATAAAGAGGAGGAGAAGCAAAGCAGAGCCAGAGATGGAGGGAGTTTCTTCATGCTCCTCAGAACCTAATACTCAAGCTGGTCCAGAGGCAGGGGATACAGCTCCTCACTTACAGTCTGACACTGATCCTGCAGATTCACAACAGATCCATGCCCTTCCAGAACTGTCTTGGTCAGAAGAAATTTCTTTACCAAATAACAATGTGGGTTTGAAAGGTGCACACCTCTGATGTGTCTTGATTGATAAGTATTCTGACCCCGAGGGATGGGACTAGATCTTGTGCCACAAGATATCCAGAAACATTTCCACATGAAGAAGTGTGTGTGGGTTGTGATCTCTAGTGAGATTTTTTTTATTTTTCTTGGAGAAAAATGATTTAAATTGTGACTGAGTTTTGGATGAAGTATGTTACAATTAAATGAAAATAAAAAGTATTGAAGTACCCTTCTTTGAACATACTTCTAGAGTGTACACAGATTTTAAGGTGTATCCAAGCAGTACATCATCTTGATTAAGAACTGCACAAATTTGATTATACATTCCTGATCGGATAGATTAAAAGATGCATTGTGCAATATTTCTGCCATGCTCCTTTACCCGCTGATGTAAAGAATATGTAAAGATGGAACTTTAAATTACACATTTAGGGACAAAGTTACTTTATGAGTGCAGAAGAAAACCATTATCTCCCTTCATATGAGTGTGTGTTTTCAATATGAGTAAAGGCTAAGTTAAAGCTGAAAAAGAGAGAACCATCCTCACTCAGCCCAAAGAGTCAAATAGTGATATTTATGCAAAAAAGCCAAGTGAAAGTATGCAAACAATATTTGCAAGTGTATGTTTTCTATTTATACTACACTACTACTAAGTTATGAACAAGGTCACAACAGCAGAGGTGAAGCAGGCGCTGGAGATGAGCTGCTCCTATCCTCTGGTTGATGTCAGCAAAGTCTGCTTCGTTTGGAACATTTTCTATGCTCTGGTCCAGAGTGAAATTCCTCCTGTGGATTACAAATCATCTGCTTGGTTCGGACCGTGAATCCCCTTTGCTCTGCTCTACAGTGTAACCAGTGTAAGAACACTGTACTGCAGTAACATTTACAGCTAGAAAAAACAAGAAAAATAAAGATTGTAAAGCGCAAAACAACAACCACTAAACCACTCAGGATTTGCTACCGTTTCCAGCACATTCAAAAGTAAACCACCCACGCCAGCCTCCCCCCACCCGGTTGGTGAGGTTGCCTCACACTGACAGGAGGTAAACACAGCGTGGGACACCATCACATAATCATTTCAGACCTGAAAATAAACTTTTTCCATCAATGGAAATCCGTCACATAGAGCGCTATGTCCTCGCTTCAGAATCTGACCCTAATTATTGAATTATGTAGTATACAGTGAGTAAGTAACACTGTACTTACAGATCTATGCTCCTTGTTAACGTCTTTTCATTGCGGGAATAAAACCAGGTCTCTAGATCAGCTTTTCAAGGGAACTGGAAGTAGTTTAGGTTCTGGTCTTTGGTGAAGTGTCGCTCACAGAAAAAGGACGTGTTGCGGATTACCGAGGCAGATCCCCATGAACAAAGTTGAGCTACATTATCCTCTTTCTTCGTGTGTGCGACAAATAGTAGCACCCAAAAACACATTTTCTCCATGTTGACATGATACTTTTAGTCGGCGACAATAGCAGAAAAACAGTATAGTATTAGCTGGACTCGGGAGAAAAGCTGCATATTCGGCTTTCGAGTATGCAGCAATGATTCTATGTTTAATTTCTTCCCCTGTCAATCATCTCCTGAAGGCGGCTCAGGAGATGATTGACAGGGGAAGATATAATATATATATATATACATATATATATACATACATACAGTGCCTTGTGAAAGTACTTGGCCCCCTTGAACCTTTCGCCACATTTCAGGCTTCAAACATAAAGATATAAAAAATATTTTTTTTGTCAAGTATCAACAACAAGTGGGACACAATCGTGAAGTGGAACGAAATTTATTGGAAATGTTAAACTTTTTTAACAAATAAAAAACTGAAAAGTGGGGCGTGCAATATTATTCGGCCCCCTTGCGATAATACTTTGTAGCGCCACCTTTTGCTGCAATTACAGCTGCAAGTCGCTTGGGGTATGGCTCTATCAGTTTTGCACATTGAGAGACTGGAATTCTTGCCCATTCTTCCTTGCAAAACAGCTCGACCTCAGTGAGGTTGGATGGAGAGCGTTTGTGAACAGCAGTCTTCAGCTCTTTCCACAGATTCTCGATTGGATTCAGGTCTGGACTTTGACTTGGCCATTCTAACACCTGGATACGTCTATTTGTGAACCATTCCATTGTAGATTTGGCTTTATGTTTTGGATCATTGTCCTGTTGGAAGATAAATCTCCGTCCCAGTCTCAGGTCTTTTGCAGACTCCAACAGGTTTTCTTCCAGAATGGTCCTGTATTTGGCTCCATCCATCTTCCCATCAATTTTAGCCATCTTCCCTGTCCCTGCTGAAGAAAAGCAGGCCCAAAGCATGATGCTGCCACCACCATGTTTGACAGTGGGGATGGTGTGTTCAGGGTGATGAGCTGTGTTGCTTTTACGCCAAACATATCAAGTAAGTAAGTAAGCTTTATTTATATACCGCCTTTCACAGACCAGAGTCACAAAGCGGTTTACAATTGTAATTTTTGGGCATTTGTCCTCTCACTCCACACAGAGATGGGAGCGGGGTCGCCGAACAGGAGGCGCATGCCAGACCTATTGTACATATTTTTAGTGGTAAGGGAAACCGGAGTACCCGGAGGAAACCTACGCAGACACGGGGAGAACATGCAAACTCCACTCAGAAAGGCCCTGGTCCGACCGGGATTCGAACCCAGGACCTTCTTGCTGAGAGGCGAGAGTGCTATCCACTCAGCCACCGTGCCGCCCAATGCATATCGTTTTGCATTGTGGCCAAAAAGTTTGATTTTGGTTTGATCTGACCAGAGCACCTTCTTCCACATGTTTGGTGTGTCTCCCAGGTGGCTTGTGGCAAACTTTGAACGAGACTTTTTATAGATATCTTTGAGAAATGGTTTTCTTCTTGCCACTCTCACTCTTCCATAAAGAGTGGCAAGTACAGTACAGTTCAGTAGTTCAGTACAACACGCTGTATTTCTCAGTTCTGGGAACACTGGTACAAGTATCTTTGTAAATGAGTCCTTAGACTTTGCTATTTATTTTTTATGTTTCTGTGTCTTGTGGTGTCCTTGTGTTGTCTCTTGTATGGACCTTGAGTCCGGAATAAAGATTATTATAAAGGCCATATTTGTGCAGTGCACGACTGATTGTTGTCCTATGGACAGACTTTCCCACCTCAGCTGTAGTTATCTGCAGTTCATCCAGAGTGATCATGGGCCTCTTGGCTGCATCTCTGATCAGTCTTCTCCTTGTTTGAGATGAAAGTTTGGAGGGACGGCCGGGTCTTGGTAGATTTGCAGTGGTCTGATACTCCTTCCATTTCAATATAATTGCTTGCACAGTGCTCCTTGAGATGTTTAAAGCTTGGGAAATCTTTTTGTATCGAAATCCGGCTTTAAACTTCTCCACAACAGTATCTCGGACCTGCCTGGTGTGTTCCTTTGTCTTCATGGTTCTCTCTGCGCTTTACAGAACCCTGAGACTATCAAAGAGCAAGTGCATTTTGGTCGGCACGGTGGCTGAGTGGATAGCACTCTCGCCTCTCAGCAAGAAGGTTCTGGGTTCGAATCCCGGCCGGACCAGGGCCTTTCTGAGTGGAGTTTGCATGTTCTACCCGTGTCTGCGTAGGTTTCCTCCGGGTCCTCCGGTTTCCCCTACCACTAAAAACATGCACAATAGGTCTGGCATGCGCCTCCTGTTCGGCGACCCCGCTCCCATCTCTGTGTGGAGTGAGTGGACCAATGCCCAAAAATAATAACAATTCTAAACCGCTTTGTGACTCTGGTCTGTGAAAGGCGGTATATAAATAAAGATTACTTACTTACTTACTTACATTTATACGGAGACTTGATTACACACAGGTGCATTCTATTTATCATCATGAGTCATTTAGGACAACATTGGATCATTCAAAGATCCTCACTGAACTTCTGGAGTGAGTTTGCTGCACTGAAAGTAAAGGGGCCGAATAATATTTCACGCCCCAATTTTCAGTTTTTTATTTGTTAAAAAAGTTTAAATTATCCAATAAATGTCGTTTCACTTCACGATTGTGTCCCACTTGTTGCTGATTCATGACAAAAAATTTAAATTTTATATCTTTATGTTTGAAGCCTGAAATGTGGCGAAATGTTGAAAGGTTCAAGGGGGCCGAATACTTTCGCAAGGCACTGTATATGCCTATATACGTAAGGGACCCGAGCTTAGAGAGGGATAACTGCCCGCGGAGGGCCAAAGGTAAGTGGACAACTTTTTTTTTATATATATAAACGCTTCTTTTATTTTCAAAGCAAAGCATAAATTATATAGTAAAGATCTTTGTGAGCCGTTTGCATTCAATCCCAAATAAACCAAATTTCATCCATCATCCATGAAACCTGTAAATTAAAAACTTGCTCTTCCTAACATCCTAGACAATTAACCTTGTGTTTAGTTGAGTTGAGTGAGTTTCTTTGTGAAAGAGTGAGAACCAGAGCGAGGGACACCCATGGGGACACCCCGTTGTGCTCGCTGTGGGGGTCATGGACTATGGCCTCAGGGTCCGGCAAAGCGGCTTCTCTACTGACTCTGCCGTGGATCTCTGCCATGGATGTATTATAATAACTGGATAGGGTATTACTAGCTTGTAGCTGAATAACTCATGTGCTCGGGGGATTCTCGCGGTACTGCAGACTGAACCAGACTAAATTCACGTGGGCTACCCAGAAATTTTCCCCATAGGACTCAATGCATATTAAAACAGCTCAACCTCAGCTGACAGAAAACCTACAGCTTTAATAAATGTCGGATTTTGTGGGGATTTTAGTGTCCCTTGTCATCCTGAACTTTTTTTCTTCTTAAATCCTTCGGTTTTGTTTAAATCCACACTTTAGTGCCACAAACTCTGCTTGTCTGGCTCTGGCTCTAACTCCCGCTCTGATGAACTGCTCTGATTGGTCAGAGCGCGGCCGAGCCCCTGTGTGCACGTGCGTGAGACCCGGTGTGAGACCCACACACGCGTGTTTGGCGCAACGCATTATGGGAGATCATCCACTGCACAGAACCGGGAGGACCAGACGATGCCCAAATACAGGCGAGTTTCCCATAGATCTTTGCGAGTTTCAGGCAACTTCCGCTAATCTTTCAGCCCCCATGCCGTCACAAAGCGCCACTGAGCACAACCATTCATTTGAACAGGGCGCCATCTTGGATCGCCGGGGCTTGATCTCTGCAGACTGGAGGATCATGGATCGTTATGTTTACGCGTTCTTTGCCCGCCTCCTAACACGAATGCCCGGAGTATCGGCATATGATTGGAGGTCTGTCATGCCACTCAAGGCGGGCCTGTTTGCTTCTTGAACCTGATTGGAGGAGTCGGCTCCGCTCTACTGCTTCAGCAGCTTTGGTTGCACTGGCTCGACTTCAGCTGTCAAAAGTCATACGCTACGCTAACCAAGGTAAATACAATTATCGCTTTAATACAACCTTTTGGAGCAGGACAGCAGTGGGCTTGAATTCTTGATTACCTTCAGTGCATGCTTTTGATACGGTTAGTCTTTAAACATAATGGGAATCCTGTGAGAGCCAGACTCTAGCGGATGCTGGCTGGGAGACATTAGCATCTCAAAGTGAGCAGACTCAGACTAATCATGACTTTACACTTTGCCTACTGAACACAATAGTTGTTTGGTTCCAGGTGACAACACAACACTCTATCTCCATTCGTCTAAAATACATATTTGGCATATGTAACATTCTGCAGGTGCCATGTTTATGGAAATGGAAAGTTAAGAAGTACAAAAGTATGGCTTTAACAGCTTTTACACTGGTCTAAATCCTCTTCGTCACGTGATGGACGAAGAGTAGTTTTTAGGGAATATCCTCAGTCTAATGGCATTCGTTACAAACTGTGTTTATTTGAGAGTGTTGCTCATTCATGTCATGTTTAAGGGTTGCTGTATGTACTTTAAACATTCATCTTTTCAAAGGACTAAAAGATGTTTCTTGAAGTAACTTTTAGTGGTGTTCATGTGACCATCAGAAAGTCTGATGCTAAGGCTTTTCTCAAAGATGCAGTTTCTGGGCCGGCTGCTGGACACTGTGTCCTCTGTGTCCACGATGTTCACCAACCCGTACAGGGTGAAGGATGTGCCCCTGGCAGACTACAGTGGGACGGGACGGCTTCAGCTCAAACAGGAGGGCCGCCTGGTCCTGTACAAGAACAGCAGCAGCCAATCATGGGACTGTATACTGCAGTGTCCGGACATGGCCACAGTTGCACTCAGGTCTGTACTTTGAATTAACTCTTGTTCTTGAGGTTTACAGAAGGCGTTTGTGTCACATTGGGACGTTTCCAACCAGCCCCAGGTTCTTCCACTCTCAGCAACCCGGGCTGGTGTGGACAACTGAATTTCTAATCCGCCTCATGACGCAGTCTTTTTGGAAAAGCTTGTTAAGTGGGAATTCTGTGGCCAAATGTAGCTGATCTTTAGACAACAAAAATGTGGGTAGGTGAAGACATCTATAAAACTACACACAAGTCATGAGGGACATTATTTTACAATTGGCTTTTCTAAACTGTTACTTTTGTTTTGTTCTGGCAGTACTCACATGTCATTGAGAGCATTCTGACAGCAGCCCTTCTTTAGTCATAGATATAACAATGTTATCACCTGCATATAGTAATATGTTTCATGTATGTATATATTGTCGGAACATCAATACAACAAATCCAACAAATACTCCTCAAGGTTATTTATAAATAAATAAATAACAATTAGGACAGGTTCCCTCCCTATGTAATCCCTTTAAGAGTCACAAAAGTCTCAGATCTGGCACCCTGCAGAAGAACACATGATTTGAAATGACTGTACATATTTCTTACTGCAGCCGAGAATCTTTTGTTGATCCCTAATTAAATCGGTTTGTGCCTTCAGAGCTTCTCTCCAGATCATATCAAACGCTCTCTAGTCAATAAAGGCACAGCACAGGGCCTTTTTGTTAGAGACAATAAATACACTAAAAACATGTGCAATAGTTCAGGATGTAAAGAATATGTAAAGATGGAACTTTAAATTACACATTTAGGGACATAATTACTTTATATGTGGGTGTGCAGACAGCCCTTGTGCAGAAGAAAACCATTATCTCCCTTCATATGAGTGTGTGTTTTCAATATGAGTAAAGGCTAAGTTAAAGCTGAAAAAATTGTGAGTGCTATTGTGTGACAGCAGAGAGAAATTAGATCGCAGCTACATTCTGGTGTATTTATAGCACTGCTGTTCATTAATACTCACTGTCCCATTCAAATAAAACAAATAACATGATTAATGTAAGGAGCAGTGACCGTGTTCTGATGGCAGTGCAAACATGGTGTTTTTAACAGGGAATGGTGAAAACGTTTTATTAAAACATCTTCTGTTTAACTGTATCCACAAAGGGTGACTTTCCCCCTCTCCCACTAAAAAGGAATAGTTAAAGTGGCAACTTTTGGCTTTGACCTTTTAAGCAGTTGAATATGTTTAAGGGTGGATTGCCTGCTCATCCTGAGATATACATGTGTTTCTGTCCACAGGTTGTTCCAGGTGTCTAGTGAGCAGGAGGCTGTCTCCTGCTTCTCTCAATACTGTCTGAAGCTCCGTCCCTTCTATGAGACTGTGACGCTGAAGGCCGAGAACACGCAGCTTATTGTTGACTGCATCCGGAGCCACCCCGACTGGAGCACAGCACACATCGCTGTGGAGACTGGTCAGAGGGAGTGTCTCAAACACAACTACGTCCAGAGGTGCCACAGCCTTTCGCGCGTCACATGTTCTTCTGCCAATTGATTCAAATTGCACTTTAGGTCAAAATCTGAATATTTTAGTATTTAACCCAGATTAAGCCTCAGGGTTTCAACCTGTGTCCTCATCAACAGTATTGCAGATGTGTAAGTAAGACTAATCAGCCAGATAATCAATTATCTAAAATAATTGTTATTATTTAATTGTTCATTACAGCCCTCATGGAGATCCATTTTCTTTTTCTACCACTAGAGGGAAGTGTTGCACTCTCTCAAAATGATTTCACATAAAGATTATGTTTAAGGGTCAAAATGAGCACAGATAATGCATAAAGAATTGTTCTTTATTGGTAAAAATTACACATGTTTATTTAATAGGGATACTGAATGTTGCCATTTATTTCCTCTTGGTGTTACTTTACATCACATTCCCTTGGTTGGAAGAGAACAACTTGCATACATCGAAACGTGCTATAATTGGTTGAAAGTACACAGTACTTAAAGTTCACCTAGATACTCACATGCACAATCATGCATGTATAGGTGTCAAATTTTGATTCGGTTCCTTCTTAAAACCTTCCAAAGTGGCATATGACTTTATAACGTTTGTGAGAGCAGTTTTGTGACCCTCACTGAGAAAACAGCTTAACGGATTCAGGATCATATTTCTGGACCAGTTTTTGTTTCATATGAAAAGTTCCTTGGCTCTAACAGAACTGGGGCGCATGCACAGACCCAGACCTCTCCAGAGCTTGTACTGCACTACAGGTCTGATCCAGAGACTCTAAAGCCTGGTTCACACGAGACGATTTTAAAATTGTCGGCCGTTTTTTCTCCGTGTTAGACCCCACACGGGAAGATTAAAAATCCTGCGTCTAACCACTTTGGTCGTGCAGTGTGTGGTGCGTAGCCACACGGCAAGATCACGCAAGCCACAAACATCACACACGAACCGACACCCCCCCCCCCGAGCATTCCCAGGTCAGACGGAAATCTCACAAAATCTCTCGAGATCAAGCGTGACTTCAGAGTAAACAGTCATGGCGGACGAAGAGGATGCAGTGGCGATAGTGTGCAGTTTGTTAACAGAGAAGACACGTAATCCAAAGAAAAGGCAATGGTCAAAGCCATGCTGCTATGTTTTGGTTTTTTTCCGGTGTTTCCTCACCGGCTTGTCACCTCGTCTTCTTATTGGCTACACGCCGTAGTCATGGCAACGCGCTCGCTTGTCCTCGGAGGACACCACACACGACAAGAAATCGGGCCAAAACAATCCAACATGTTGGATATCCCCGATTTGAGATCGGGAGCAGTCCCGATGTCCTTCCGAGCGACGAGTGCAGTCTTAACACACCACACACGGCAGGATAATCTGTAAGATTTTGTTACGGAAATCGGAGCGTTTCTTAAGATTGTCGTAAGGGGTAAATCGGGTCTAAATCGGCCTAAATAGCCTGCCTTGTGAACCAGGCTTAAAAGTGTTTTTTCCAAGTATGAAATAAATATGACAGGTTTGTGGAGCAAATTAACAGCAAATAATGAGAAGGTTCCACCTTTTGTAGATCACTTGCAGTAACAATTTGTTGTATTGGATCCTTCCTGCCATCTGAAATTACATCAACTTAAAGCACATGCACACGTAGTTCCACAATATGAAGACTGTAGATTGTATTTGTGTTTGCAGTGAGATAAACTCCCAGGACAGGTGTGGACGCACCCCGCTGCACCTGGCGTGTGCGCGAGAGGATGCAGGCTGTGTGCGCGAACTGCTGGAGGAGAGCCAGGCCCGGACAGACCTCAAAGACCACAGCGGGGACACCGCCATGCACTACGCAGCCAAGCAAGACTCTCCTGGAGTCATTCAGGTACACCACCGAGGAAGACTGGGGCAGGATCATCATATCCATCAGGATTCGGCAGACTGTATGAGGAGATTACGTACATTCTTCAGGAGATTCAGATACATTATTACAGCGAAATAAATCTTTTATTCTGTCACTGTTCAGGAAAATGCATGACCCTGAATAAATAGTAAGACTTAGATTTTCATTAGAAAGCAGCACAGCAATGCTAATCAGCATTACAAGATCGAACACCGTGGCTGTAGATGGATAGATGATGGATAGATCTTTATGAATCCACGTAGGAGAAATCATATCATTGTCAACAACAACGTAGTTCCACTGGGGAAGTCTTATTCTGTTTAATGAGAAATCTCAGGTCCCTGAACTCTCATCAATTGTGCCAAAGCCTACACTTCACTGCGTTTCGGGGTGTCTAAACATATTATCCAGGTGTGATTTAAACACACTGCAGAGTCCATTCAGTGCTGTTTTCTGAACTTCACCCAATGTTTTGCTTCATCTAAAATCTAAATGAAGCATTGTTGGCTGCAGAACACAGGACTAGCCGTGCACAGGGGCTGCTCACTTCTTATCGACATGTTTTTCCCCTCAGGCGCTCTGCTCTCAGCTGTGCCCAGGGGTGAACGAGCTGAACTCTAACGGAGAGTCTCCACTGCATGTGGCCTGTCGCCTGGGCAGGCTGCAAGCTGTCAAAGGCTTGTTGGAGGGAGGGGCCCGGTGTGACATCATCGGAGGCTCTGGATACCCCATTCACACTGCAATGAAGTATAGTGAGAAAGAGTACGAGTTTTTCTTCAAATTCAGGCCATGACCATAGTTTTGAAACTGAATTGCATACAGACTGAACCATGTTTCAGTCCAAATGTAGCAGAAGCCATTCTTTATGGACTTGACAGCTGTGTAATGAATTTACAAATTGGCGGGTGCTCATTTTTGCAAGTTTTCACTATAAAGAATTATTAGGGGTTCACACTGTACCATATTTAAACATTTTGCAATGATGAAGGTCAAAAGCTTCATGTTTTACACACGCTTAAATTGAGTAATTATTGACCATTTGAATACTAAACTAGTATAAGTATCCAATCTACAAAAAACTAAATGTGAGTGTTAAAGATCCGACCTGCTCTGTGCCAGGTGTGTGATGGAGATCCTGAAGGCAGATGCGGGCCAGTTGCAGGCGGAAGACCCAGTGTACGGAGGGATCCCGATCCACTGGTCTAAGAACGCAGAGGTGAGCGCTAATTTATACATCTAAACTTTTACTATCCACTCATTTTTAGATTGAGTTTAAGTCTGTTTAGTCAGAGTCACTTAGGCTCATCCAGTCCAAAACCATAAAAGAACAAAAATCTACCATGTGGAAACTAATGATAATCTATTAAATCCTGATTAACAAAATCCCAGAGGAATTTATAGATACTGTCCTGGGTGTGTATCCACTGTGATGAACCCGACTAGAATCACACCACACTGTGCAATATATTCTGGAAAATTCTAGACGTTTTAACATAACTGGAGGCCTGTCAGTAAAGTGATCATGTGTGAGTGTTCATGATATAAACTGCAAAATAAACAAAACTGTTAAAAAGTGACTTATAGGAGAGTTGTAACAGAACGATAAAGGCTGTGAAAAGCGACTGTTTGAAAAATTGGGAATGTATTCATCAAATATCTTAATTTCTCTGCATTTCTGTTACACTTGCCTTGCAAATTATTTCAATAAATGTAATGTAATATGTAAACAAGACATTTCTAGGTGTAGAACTAGAGAGACTGAACAAAACTACATATATGAAAATAGAAATAAATGAATGAAAACTTAATTCATTTGTGTCTGAGCCAGCTGTGCCGTTTGCTGTTGGAGAATGGAAGCTCTGTGAACTACCTGAGTAAAACCGGGGAAAGCCCACTGCACATCCTGACAAAGAAAGGGCGATTTGAGGCCTCCATGGTGCTGCTTACCCACGGGGCCAACCCAAACATCAAGGGCCAGAATGGAGACACAGCCCTGCACCTGGCCATGAAGGTAAACGCCTCTCATTACATTGTGGTACTGTTGGTGCTGCTGCAGATACCAATTGATAAGACCGTATTGTGAACCCTTTGCAAAGGGCAAAATATCCCATATATAAAATGATATAGGATAGTTTGTGTTTACTTGTTAGTTTCAAAAACATGCTTCTAAAGCTGGGGACACACTTTCCTAAGATGGAATATGGGACCCCTTTTTCTGCCGGCGCTGTGAGATTAATCTCATAATGCTGTTTTTTTAAAGTCATAATTTTATGAGAATAAACTCTATACTATAATAATCAGTAATAATATAATGAGATCAATAGATTTGTATTAAGAGAATTAAAACATATTAAGAAGAAGAACTTCACATATCGATTGCTGGAGCAGGTGTGTAGGAGAGGGGGAAAGAGTCCCGGTTCGTAAGAAAAAAGTAATAGTTCCCATACACTGCAAAAAATATTTTTATTGGAAAATGTTATGTTTGGTTCTGAGACCTTCATCAGAAAAAATGCTAATAAGAGAATAAAATAATGGCACCAAGACATGGCGCCACGGCACAGTTATTCCAATGTGGTTTTACTGCAAATAAACTGAATCTGATTCTAATAACATAGAATTGATTTAATGAGAAAAATATTAAAATGCATATTAAAATGATATGTATTCGGCTTTTCTTCAAATTTGGAAAGTTACGAGAAGAGCCACTGATGTGTACCTACAGGGGCTTTAAAGTAAAAATAAATAGTAAAGTGAAGTAAAAAAAAAGATTGGTCCTATTTCCCATCGTAGTTTAGATTTTAGCTCAATTTAGCAAACATTTTCTTTGAAAAAGCTGTGGACAATGTTGTGTGCTTTGTGCAGATGGACCATATGGAGCTGATCAAAGCTCTGATTGTGTTTGGAGCTGATGTGGAGATACACAATGACCTGGGAGAGACACCAGGGCTTATCGCTGCACGCTCCAGCAAAGGTAACGCAAGATTTAAAGTAGGGATGTAAAAAACTATGAATTTTCATGACCGACCACCGAGCCTCATTAACCGGTTAAAACCGGTTAACCGCGTAGTTAAAATATCTCAAGTTTTTTTAAATAACAGCCATTTCGAGACGCGTACTTTTCATAAGTGCAGCTCTGCGTTCTACTGGAGCCGCGTCTCGCAGGTCTCCGCTAAAGTTTAAATAAAGTGATGTGTGTGGAGCTGATCTAATGCCAAGGACCAGCAGCACAAACATGTTTTCCCATATGGTTTGACTGGAGCCGCGTATTTGGATCCTTTGGGCACCGTAACACAGAGGAGCGCGACAGACCGGTATGTGTGTGTGTACAATACTGTACATGTATGTGTGTGTAAATAAAAGCTCCAATGTAGTTCTGACCCGCACCAGTGTGCAACTAGCAGGCGGTAACAGAGGGGAGAAATGATGCGTGTGGATGTCACGTATCAATGAAGGGGGGGAAGTGTGTGCATATGTGGCGCGTGCGGCGTGAGAGTCGGCCCGGAGTTTACTGATACATTAGCGCACACAGCTGGATACGGACACGCTCGTCACATCGTGCAAATAGGGCTTAAAATAGCGTTATGAAGAGACCTCCCCTCTCTCCTTTTTCTTTTTTTAACCGACAGCTTTGACCGGTTAACACTGTGACGGTCAACCACCGGTTAAACGGTCACCGATTTACATCCCTACTTTAAAGTACTCCGATGACCAGTTTTAGAGAATTGTCCTACATACTCAATATCAGCATTGCTTTCTACTATTACTGCCGACCATACTGTCTTATTTGCCCTGAATGAACTAAATCTCCTCTTTATATAATCAATCATTAAATATGTTTCACTTGCATGCTGTTCTAGATAATGGCGGTGCACCAGCAATCTCTAAAATGAGCTCATAACGGTGAGAAATGCGGGAATTAAAACACGAGACTCCAAAGACAGAGTTGGCACAAGATAAAGTCCAGTGTCAAAGTCACAGACATGAACACTGACACAACTCTACACAAAGCTCAATACGTCTCCACTCTTTTGTCCCATATTAGTAGTTAACTAAGTCCTGAGGATGTTGCCGTCTTGTGCGTGTGTATTTTGACTGTTGTGCACTAACCTCACACTGCTCTGCTCTGCTGCTTGTGAACGCATGACAGGTGCCAACCGAAAGATCTTGCTGGACATGCTGTGTAATGTAGGGGTGCAGAGGTGCCACCCCCCTGCACAAGCTCCGCCCCCCTCCAAGCCTCCGTCGGCCATCGGTAAAGTGTGCAGTTCTTAAAGTGGTTCTCACCCCCGCTCCTCGGAGCTTACGTCACTCACATTTCCTGTTCAAATCTTCCTCTAAATGGGCGTAGCCTGGAGGACTAAAGGGGGCGTGAACGAGACAGGGCCGTTTACATTGCTCTGGGCAGGGGGCTGCTGACTTCAGGTCCAACTTGCAGACGTCAGGTCCAACTTCTGTGCCAGTGTTGGCGCCAGATTCAAAATTCAAATGTAGTAATACAGGTCGCCAGCAGATGGCGCCTCACAGACGGTTTTAGGCAGAAAGTTTAACTTTCAACTAATTTGCACCAAAGTGAAAAAACTATGACCAGGATATGTAGACAACACTATTGGACACTCATTTAAATCGTTTATCAGCAAAAAAAGTGGATTTGAGAGTGAGTTGTCCTTTAAAGACCTATGTTTATGTAATCAACTTGGTTATTTGTATTTAGGGTTTTTCCCCTTTTTCTGGCTCTATCCATTCCCTAATATGGAGTTTTAAAAAAATGTTTGTGTTAGAACGTTATGAAATACTGTACACTTTTGTTACCTAGTAGATATTTTCTTCAATTGATTGAGTAATCTATTTATAGCCTTTTACTTTCAAAACAACTTTCTCACTTTTTGCAGTTCAAAAAGAGTTTGATGTGACTTTGGAAAAAATAACACGTGATATACTTTAGTGTCACAAGTGAGTGGGAGGGTACGTATAGGACAATTATATTTGGCCCAAAATAAATGCGTAAAAAATGTTCTACTGCGATTGTGTAATTATGTATTGTGATTTAAATAAACAAATTGATACTTTCTAACACCTCTGTAACCTATACAATATAGACAAATGTAGCTGTCATTGTTAAAATAAATGATAAAATTTAGTGAAATTAAATGTTTGAGCAGAGTTGTGTTCCGTGCACATGCAGACAGCTTCGTTCTGTGCTCTTCCCTGCCACTTCTGTCTTTTATTATCAAATTGAGCCTATTCGAATGATAAGTCATTTTTGTACAAATCATTTCAGAATATTGCAGAACAAAACCTAAAGGAAGAGCAACTGTTGGGCAATTACCTTGTGTGTGGAAACGTCTTTACGGTTTTTTTTGCCAGTTTGCATGTGTATACTAATGCTGTGCCTGTTAGTAAATGAGGTACCCCAGCTTCAATAACTTGTAAGACTCAAGGTTGGTACTAAGGAAAGCTGTAGATGACAATTACAATACCTTACACATATCATATATACAAGACCAATCCAGTTAACTGTGCGTATCCTATAATATGGAGGTAGTACAGTTGTGTATGCCTCTCCAATAAGTATGGAGTTTCAATCGCATCCATGTGTGTGTGTGAGTGCTCTTCTGCGACTGATCTGAGTCCGTGTTTGCTTTTGCAGGGTTTGAGACCATGTTTCAGGAGAAGCGCACTGGTAATCACAACCTGCATCGAGTGGACACGGGCAAAGCCGGCAAAAGAAAGTAAGCACCGGTTAAAGTGATTGTCTGGAGTTTGTCAGATTAAGCGAGAGAGTGGTTCTTGATTTGAAAAAAACGACGCAAGCTCCCTCCCCTTCCTTTCTGATTGGTCTACGCCTACGTTTCCAGAACACATTATACATATACATTATTAATGCCCCTGCGCACCAGATTTGATATTGTTTTGTTTGATGGCTGGAACAAAACTATTATTACTGTACACAATCTCCTACTCTGATACAATACTAAATGCAGACAAACACAATACCAGGGCGGGAGAGGTGACCCATGCCTAGGCAGATGATGAACTTTGGATTCAGGAGAAAGTTTGTTGTTGCAAAAGGTCCAGTGTCCCATTTTGTGTCTGTATCAGGCTCGAGCGGCTGCTATCTCTGGATGGAGGTGGGATCAAGGGCCTGGTGTTGATCCAGATACTCATCGCTTTGGAGAAGGAGACGGGACGCCCCACCCGGGAACTCTTCGATTGGGTGGCTGGTACCAGTACTGGGGGCATCTTAGCCCTGGCCATAATACATGGTAAACACTGGTTAATACATCTTACACTGGTTTATTGTTCCGATAAACCAGTGTAAGATGCATAGAGAAGATTACTTACTTTCTTATGATAATGGCTTTTATGGAATATGCAGTGTGTTTTAGCTTTTGTAGCTTCCTTTTCTGTGTCAAAGACTTGTGTATGATAAATATAGGTCATTATATGACTGTCATTACCCTGGATTGGAATACAGAACAGCTCTTCTGTTGTGTTCCAGGGAAGTCCATGGAGTATCTCCGCTGCCTGTACTTTAGAATGAAAGAGCAGGTCTTTAAGGGGTCGCGACCATATGAGTCTACACCGCTGGAGGACTTCCTCAAGAAAGAGTTTGGAGAAGAAACAAAGATGACAGATGTCAAGTTCCCCAGGTTTAAACACTTTTATTTTGCTCTCTACTTTTATAGACTGTTTTTAATGTTCACACAGTGGCCTGAAGAAGTATTCATTCCAGATGTTGTCACTTCATGACTCCAAAAAATAGCTTTTGTGGTTTTGCTTATGCTTTGTTTGTGAGAGACAACCAAAAAGTGAAACAAATGTGAAGTGATAGAACAAAGAAAATTTAAGGTAAATAGAAATCATACTGTAGATCAATGCAGCAAAAAAAGTTAATTCAATAAATAAATCTAAATCATGTATCATTTTTATCACTTCACAATTTTACAGATAAAAACGTTGTTCGTGGCTCTGTCATGGCAAAGCGTGGAAAAGTTTATTGGGGATTTGTTGTTTTTCTAACTATACGGTACACAAGTCCAGTCCTTCAAGGGAATACGCCACACATTAAAGTGCAAGGTGTCTCGAGTACAATCTGATTTGCTTAATTTAATTTAATTTACTTACAAAAGAAAAAATGGAAAAATAATGTCATACTTTATTTTTTGTTCAGAACAGGCTAGACCAAAACGGGGGCATTGTAATCAAATAATGTTTACAAACTAATTAAAAAATGTTTTACAGAAACAACATATTTCCTTATTTTTGTTTATTATAATTATTACATCAACGTTCAATATTGTTTACATTTTTATTTTAGTTCTTTTTTCCACCACCAAAATCTCTGTGTGTTTGTTCATCTTTATCTTCACCTAATTCATCTGCAATGGTCTTCATGGGTGTCTGCAGAGCTCTCCTAACCCTGTGCTCCTCCTCTGGGCAGAGTGATGGTGACCAGTGTTCTCGCGGACAGACATCCAGGAGAGCTGCACATGTTCCGGAACTACGATCCACCGTCTGTACCCAAAGAATCTCCATACGCCACGACTGCCTCCTTCAAACCCCTGACGGTCCCACAGGGTATCCCCCCAACACTCTGCGGTTTTAGGCTCAATATTTACTTTTGATTACTTCAGAAAGAAACAAGATGTAGACATTGTAAACACAAGTCCACACAGTCATCCAGCCAACTTCAGCCCTGCTAACAAACCATATATAATTTTAATCAATCAATTTTCCAGCTGAATTAGACTAATTTTGATGCTCTGAGTCCGAAAATGACCTTGGTTTTGCTCAATCAGGTCAGGATTTTTTGCTACAGAAATAATTTTTTTAATCGGTTTTGCGTAAAAAACAAATTTCTGCGGATCATCAGCGGAGAAACCCTTGACGTTTTTTCCGTTTTCCTCAAGAAATAAAAGTCAACGTATCCAAAGTTATTCAGTTTTTATTTACTCCATCAAATTTGATAAGCAGAATTCATAATAACGTAGACGTACATAATCCGTAACACTATGGCTGTATCTCACAAAGTTGACCTGATAGAGCAAAATGCATGTGATATTCGGACTCAGAACATCAAAATGAGTCTAAATCAGTTGAGAAACCCCAGACCATTTTTTGGCTGTCAACTTGTGTTATGTGTATAGCACAGATGTCATTATTTGGTTTACAGGTCACAGGTGGTTATTATCAATCCATCAATGTTTTTTTCCCGCTCAACAGATCCGCCCCAAACACGTTGATCAGTCTCTGTCATGCATCCGTTCTGCAGAGTTCATATTTGTCTGTCTCCACTCGTGCCACTTGCGGCTAAATCTGAATTTGGATATGGAAGTTCTCGAAGGTAGAAGGAAGTTAGAGAGGATTTTACTTTTACATAGATAACAGACCCAGTATTTGTCTCGTGATGAATTGTGACAGAGACGACAGACATTACAAAATCTGAAACACTTTTCTCTCTCAGCGTCAGAGACCACTGTAGTAAGGACATGGCTGCCCATAAATTAAACAAATTCAACACACACAGATGCTCCATTTGGTAGATTGAGCCATAGGTCTTTGCAATAGTGTTTGTGTGACTTTGAGGATATTTACCTTGATATGTGGTGTTTTTAGAATGTGAAAGGATGTAATCTAATCCAGTACATGTATAGATCAATATGAAGTGGGGAAGGACTTTCTGCTAGATCCATTAGAGTGTTTCCTTGTTGGTAAAGAACTGGTGTGAATCAGTAGTAGTGTAAATTTGACCAAAAATATTGCCATTATTGGTTTAAAAGGGACAAAACCACATGTCTACGACGCTCATTCATCGTGGATTATCAAATTGGAAAAGGAAGCATTTGGACAGATGTAGGTGTTAGTGCCAGTTTCCTGATATTAGGGTTAGTTGGCTGGCGCTATAAACTCCAGGTATATTTTGAATACAGAAAAGTGGTTAAAGACTCCATATACAATTTTGTCATTTTAAAGGCAACATTTAAATTACACACTGTAAGCCTACTATGTCCACATCTGGTGATCTGATAATATTTCCCTTCCATTTTGTGCACAATGTTTGTGTGTTCCAGGATGGGAGGATGAGGATGTGTTGATAGTAGGATATACTGAGGAACCTGCAAGAAAGCGTAGAAAGGTAGAGGATTACGGTGTGTGTAAGTTTATCAAAATAAATCTCAAATAGTTCTGTCACGTCATGTTTGCTTTGAGCTTTATAAATCATAAAATGGGCATTGTTATTTTTGTCTGGTCTTAACTGAAAGCAATACAAAGTGGCCTAACTGCCTGTGCAGCAACAGTAATTTTAGATTGCATAGAATGATTGTAGGAGGACATGCATAATTTTTGGTTTTACTGCAGCAGGGGAGCTCACACTGTACTATCATCCTCAGAACAACTCGTATGGAGAGCGGCCCGGTCCAGTGGTGCGGCTCCCACCTACTTTCGGCCAATGGGGCGCTTTCTGGATGGAGGGCTACTGGCCAATAATCCTACACTGGATGCGCTGGTCGAAATTCATCAGTACAACAAGTCTCTGAAGGTGGCTGTAAGTGCACTCTGTTTCCCCTTAAGCTGGACTAAATTCTAGTGGGGTTGTGTGAAATGGTGGTTTCAAGTATCCCTTAACTCAGGCACTTTAGTTTTCAATTGAAATATTACTTATTGTGGCTCTATTGAATGTAAATCAATGATAAATCCACAGAAAAAACAAGTTTTCATCAAATTATATTCAGCTAAGGCTGCATCAGTGTCTTTTATTGCAAAGGTAATTGGTTTGACTCTAGGCCTTGGGCCATTTTGTATGAAGTTTGGATGTTCTTCTTTGTCAGGCCCTGGTTTCCCCTGCCACTATAAACGTATGTTTTGGGTATGGATGTGCTAATTGAGTGAACAAGGGGTTTGTCGCAGCATGTACAATAGGAAAAATCCTCCAGCTGTGGTAAATGTCTTTATGTCTAAATATCTAAATGTCTTTATAGCAGAATAAATTATCTGCAACTAATTTTTTTTTTTTTTTAAGTTTAAAAAATATATATAATGTTTACTCATTCTACTTTCAGGGGGAGGGTGACGAGGTCAAGAAGGTGGGCCTGGTTGTGTCCCTTGGCACAGGTAAGATTGTTTTCACTCAGTCATTGTTAAGTCTCTTGATTGTAACAAAGATTACTTTGTGAGACAGTTTTCTCCAGTAAAACTTCATGACAATGACAAAGTACATTTGCTGACAGTTCAATGAAGGGAAACATGTTGTGTTGATATTGTATCTGTGTTTTTATGGGTGCTTGTGTGTGTGTGTTACAGGCAAGCCTCCACAGGTGAGTGTGAGCTCTGTGGATGTCTTCAGACCATCCAACCCTTTGGAACTGGCAAAGAGCATCGTGGGAGCCAAGGAGCTAGGCAAAATGCTGGTTGACTGTGTGAGTAGCGCCCCTTACAGTGTGGAGAGTGCTGCTGACAGTAACGAGTTCTTGACCTCACGCTCATGTGTTTTCAGTGCACGGATTCAGACGGCTGCGCGGTGGACAGGGCCAGAGCCTGGTGTGAGATGACCGACACACTATATAACAGGTTTGTGCGTATTCTCACATGTACAATAGTTACAATAGTTGAGAGGGATGATTGCTATTGTGAGTCATTTTTTGTCAGGATCAAGATCCGCAGTGAAAAAACCCACTGGTAACATTGGAGAAAGGAGGTTTTTTCAAGGGCCTTTACATGCCCTGAAGAAAGCATTCTGTGGTCAAACCGCGTTGCTCCCTCCCTATTATTTTTTTGCTGTCAAGAGTGCCTTAGATTTCCTCCTTTCTCCAATGTATAATTGATATTATTCTGAAAGATATGAGCACATTATTAACAGTCTACCTTCTGTTCTGACCCTCGCTCTCAGTGTGGTGCTGTTGCAAAAATACTGCAGGCATTCAAGAATCAGTCTTTATTTAACCGCCAGAACACACACTTGTATCCTGCCTGACTCCAGTCGCTCTGCTCATACGCCACACTTTTCATTCATTCATTTCTCAGCGCTCTTACGCTCGTTACTCCAAAGCGCGCACCTGTGTCCGCGGCGCGCACACGCACACACACGTGTCCCACTGAGCTGCTGCACTTTGGGGAAAGACAGGTCACACACTTGTTCACATTGCTCTGACACAAACAACGCGTTCCATGCTCTTTCTGTTTGTGCTACAGTAGCAGAATGTAAACAGGAAGAGAAACGGAAACTTGCTGAAGTTAGTATTAGCGCCACCAGCTGGACTGAGCGTTGTACTACAGCACAGTTGCTCTGGCACGGTTAAAAGAACAAGCATGAAAACCCAAGGAGGAGGCGTTCTTTGTTATAACAATTGAATTTAGAGTAATCATTAGTTTAAAAAATTTGATTTCATGCAAATAATGCATGTGTTTAACAGGATTGATCTTTGCTATGGCCCTCGTTTGTGCGATTTAAGTTATTTTGAAGGTGCATTGTGTAACTGTAAGTGAAGTTATTAGAAAACTGTTAAGCTGCATTTTCACTGTTTTACATTGTGATAATGCTGTTTCAGCTACAGTTGAACCTGATGAAATCTCGCACAACAAAGAGACAAAGTTAATCTTTTATTTGTTACATTTTACAAGGAGAAAGTCTTGACAGAGGCAAGGCACAGACCCCAGCCTCTCTCAGGACAAGTCTGATGATTCACAGATGGCAAGCCCCTTTTGGTTGAACAAGACACACCTTCGTATGCAGATGGGAAAGGAAGAACCCACACAACAAAAGACACTCTGTATTAGCGTAAACAAAGAATGCTGTGTTTAACATATGAGCTCCCCAGACCTCGTGGAGTTTTGCTGGAGCTGAAGTGAATTACAGAATAGCGCATTCAGCATATAGCCACATATGATTTACCAAAATGATAACTTAAATTACATTCCAATATCATATTCCCTCCTTTTTATCCTTTTGATAAATCAAACAATCTATGTTTAAACATGGAGAACATGGAGAACTGAAAATGAAAAAACACACATCCAAACTGAAAAAGAAAAAATGTCATAGTATAATTTCACATTGTTGTTCCATAAACTATTCCCCCTGTTGAGACATAACATGGCTCAAAACTGAACAATGTATTAACTCTGAAATGTATTAACTCTGAAATGTATTAACTTTAAATGTATTAACTTTGGTTATCAAATTCAACACCACGCACACGCCCAAAAGCCCGAAAACCCAAAGTCCATTTTCACAGTCCATAGTCAGTCCATTTGACACGTCCTCTCGACCCCTCCTCATGTTTGGTTATGACCAGAAATGTCCACTCTGTTCCTGTTTCGAAACTCTTCTCTGTCTGCGTTTCCGACGCAAGACTAGCAGCAAGCCGTTCCCCAACAGCGACACAAAGCTGAACTTTCAAGTCGCAAATGTACCAAGATGTCACCTTCAATTCTCACGTCCATTTAACTTGAACAAACGGCCAGCGCCCTCCGTGGGCCTGCGCGCTTTGATCCTTGCAAATCGGCCCGTGATTATTCGTCAGCAGCTTCCGGTGCAGGGGGGGGTTTGTGTGGAGAGTCGTTTCGTAGGTGTCGATGGCTGTATGGAGATGGGGATGGGGGGTGGGTTTTCTGTCCCACAATGGAAATAGGTGGATTTTGTTGCTTTGAAGCTTTGGCAGGGATGTGGCATTTTTCTCAAAAACAAGAAGCACATTTGTTAACACATTTCAGAATCAAAACATAAGGTGAAGGGTAATTCTAAACCAAGAAAACTTTGACAAAGGAAAACGAAGAGGACACACAGAACAAAGGACACAGACAAACAAAGAAACACATGGACAGAGGACAAAGGACCACATGGCCACAAAATGGCCGCCCTACACAATGCTTGCAATTTAACTATTTTTTAGGTCTTTTTACAATGTCCAATTCCAAATTTTGAGTAATTTAAAGGTCTTTAAACATCCAATTTCAATGTAGCTTATTTAGATGTCTATAAATGTCCAATTTCAGTTTAGAAGTAATGTAGAAGTTCAGTCTGAAGTAATTCAATTCTCCTAAATGAAACCCGGTTCATTCGAGCTCCACACTACTCTCTTGAATTAGTCCTGGACATAATTCGTAGTGTAATAAATTCATAGACTAAGGCACAATTTCTGCGTTTTCCTAAATGAATGTGTTCATGTGAACTTCACACTACTTCCTGGATTACTTTTGGACATAATTTAGTGTTTAGAACTTGCCTTTGTTGCGATTTCATCAGGAAAAAACTGTAGTTCTCCCGTCGACTCCAACCCAGGGCTGTCCTGCCTCAAACCTGGAGTTCCAATGCAGTTCCGAATGCAGAAGGCCTTGTTGTTGCTCCTGGAAGTCCATGTTTGAGCTCAGCTCCTGTAAGAAGTGTTGGGATCCGGCTCGAAGGACCAAGTGATAATGCTGTTTCAGCTACAGTTGAACCTGATGAAATCTCGCACAACAAAGAGACAAAGTTAATCTTTTATTTGTTACATTTTACAAGGAGAAAGTCTTGACAGAGGCAAGGCACAGACCCTAGCCTCTCTCAGGACAAGTCTGATGATTCACAGATGCAAGCCCCTTTTGGTTGAACAAGACACACCTTCGTATGCAGATGGGAAAGGAAGAACCCACACAACAAAAGACACTCTGTATTAGCGTAAACAAAGAATGCTGTGTTTAACATATGAGCTCCCCAGACCTCGTGGAGTTTTGCTGGAGCTGAAGTGAATTACAGAATAGCGCATTCAGCATATAGCCACATATGATTTACCAAAATGATAACTTAAATTACATTCCAATATCACATTGGCAGGGTCATCTCGTTTACACGCATGTTTAAAGGCTTCCTTCCTGTCACACTTATGCTCCGTGGGGATTTAGATTAAACTGCATAAAGGAAAATCTGTTTCTTTGTCAGTTGTAGTTTGTTTTTAAATAGAAAAATATAATCGATTAAAATCGGATTTGGTGTGGATATATTTTTTTTTTTGCCATATCACCCAGCCCTTTTATTTATACATAATTTCTACTTATAATTATCTTCTAATTATTTGTTATAGTTTTAAAGTCATATCCCACAGTAAATGGTCTCATGTTGAGGGGCCAAATATAACACTTCTATTCTTTACAATAGAACCAGAATTGAATGCAGTGTGCAGATTAGTGTTAATAATAGTAGTGTATTCCTTTTTATATACATTTATTCTTTTATTTTTTTAAAGGAATAGGCCACCGTTTTTACATACTGACATACAGTGGGGCAAAAAAGTATTTAGTCAGCCACCAATTGTGCAAGTTCTCCCACTTAAAATAATGACAGAGGTCTGTAATTTTCATCATAGGTACACTTCAACTGTGAGAGACAGAATGTGAAAAAAATCCAGGAATTCACATTGTAGGATTTTTAAAGAATTTATTTGTAAATTAACCCTTGTGTAATGTAGGATACACAAGGGTTAAGTTCTAAGGTCTTCCGCACTCAGGCTTTCCCATCATGTAACGTTTGGTTAATGTGTATAAAGGTACAATACTTTAATTATGTTTAAACCAGAGAAGGGTCTAAAGGTGTGGGACCTTTTTTAAGATGCCAAATATTTCCAACACTTTGAGCATAACTAAGAACACTATCTAATTCATCATCTGGAAATGGGAAGAATATGGCACAACTGCAAATCTACCAAGACTCGAACTCACAGACGCTGTACATGTATTAAATGTCATATCTCAGACAGAATTTCTCAGAGCGCATTAGAGGCTTTGAAAACCAATATCCTAATGACTGCTAAATGTTGCTAAACTGCTAAACACCTCGCCCGAATGATAATCTTCTCTCGGTATAATTACAGCTGTTCGGCGAGGGCCTTTGTGATGTTCAGAGTATTTAGGAAAGGACAGAGGCACTCAGGGGATCTGAAAATAAATCGCAGACTATATATGCAAATGCTAAGGGCCCCATCCACACGCCAGTCTCGGAAATGAATACAATAATAATCTTGTGAATTTAAATGCAAAGCCTATTTAGTAGAACATTACATTGTGCCACCTCCCTTCCTTTACCACTGTAATGGGGTCTGCACATTAAAAGCAGGTGGCCCCTTTTGGCTGTTACTTACGGTAAAAGTGGGTTTTTGTCGCCAAAATGCACTTGATAAAATTCTTTTTGACGACTTTCACTGCATACTTAATCACTTTGACGCCCTCTACAAGTTTGCAAGGGGTACCATGATCACCTAGGGCTGGTACAAAGAACACATTTACTAATGAGCTTATGTTAATTCATCATTCATGGATCTTGAACAATTGTACAGTGCCTTGCGAAAGTATTTGGCCCCCTTGAACCTTTCAACATTTTGCCACATTTCAGGCTTCAAACATAAAGATATAAAATTTAAATGTTTTGTCATGAATCAACAACAAGTGGGACACAATCGTGAAGTGGAACAAAATTTATTGGATAATTTAAACTTTTTTTAACAAACAAAAAACTGAAAAGTGGGGCGTGCAATATTCTTCGGCCCCTTTACTTTCAGTGCAGCAAACTCACTCCAGAAGTTCAGTGAGGATCTTTGAATGATCCAATGTTGTCCTAAATGACTGATGATGATAAATAGAATGCACCTGTGTGTAATCAAGTCTCTGTATAAATGCACCTGCTCTTTGATAGTCTCAGGGTTCTGTTTAAAGCGCAGAGAGAACCATGAAGACAAAGGAACACACCAGGCAGGTCCGAGATACTGTTGTGGAGAAGTTTAAAGCCGGATTTGGATACAAAAAGATTTCCCAAGCTTTAACCTCTTAACAACCGCCTCATTTTGGCTCGTGCACAATGGTTGGGCATACCCAAATGTCTTTGCTTATTTAAAAACACATCTTACATCTCACATGCTTGTGTGATGCATCATTTTAAAGCTAGAGCCTTCTAGTTTATGTAAAAAAACACTAAAATAATGTTTGTCATTCCTATTTTCCTCTGCATCCTTTGAAGTTTGGGAAAAAAAACCCAATTTTTTTAGCCTCGCCTAACATTTTCAATGTCTAAAGGCCCTAAAAAAGGCATACTTCATTGTAAGTTCACAATATTCAAACCCTCTGTTCATTGTGTTGTTGACAACAACTGTCTAAAGTTTCAGACTTGTAAGTTTTATAGTTTTTATGCAGTTTCTCCTTTTCATCAAGTAGTGCACATTTGGCACAATTTGGCACAAGTGTGCCAAATTGTGTCAAATATCTTTACTTACATTTAATCATCATAAAAACAATATTTTTTATTATTGGTACTTATAAGTTACTAATCTATGTGTGTTTTTCTTTTTTAAATGTCAAAGTTATTTTTTTATGAGTGTAAATTCATTGCAGCTTCGAGAGCGTCTTTTGGCTTCCATTACGCACAATTGTCCAGGCACAACATAAGACAGGACACCATTGTCCCACCCCTTGTTCGAAAGCTTTCCTCATTGGCTACAAGGACATGTCAATCGTAAATCCCGGAAGTAAAAGCAAACAAGTTGGGAGCACAACAAAGATCAGTCCTCCATGCGCAAACAGCAGCACGAGCGGTACTTGCGGGCGGCACGGTGGCTGAGTGGATAGCACTCTCGCCTCTCAGCAAGAAGGTCCTGGGTTCGAATCCTGGCCGGACCAGGGCCTTTCTGAGTGGAGTTTGCATGTTCTCCCCGTGCCTGCGTAGGTTTCCTCCGGGTACTCCGGTTTCCCCTACCACTAAAAATATGTACAATAGGTCTGGCATGCGCCTCCTGTTCGGCGACCCCGCTCCCATCTCTGTGTGGAGTGAGAGGACAAGTGCCCAAAAAATAACAATTGTAAACCGCTTTGTGACTCTGGTCTGTGAAAGGCGGTATATAAATAAAGCTTACTTACATACTTACTTACTATTGCAGACCCAAAAATTGGTCTAGCTTTTCGGGAGTAGTCTCATTTGAAAGATAAGGAGCTAAGGAACACGTAGATACCAGATGTTTGGGTGAAAAACAAAGCTAAAAGTCCGTTAAAAGTGAAAGAGTAACATCTGTGCTCTTTTTTTTCGTTTTTTTCGCTAAAGATAAATGCACATTTTTGGATTATTTCTGCAGAATGGATTTTACTTTGGGAAATACAAGTGGATATAATTTTCCTTTGGACTGTTCCAGAGAGAATGATGTATTGCAAGCTGGGAGGAGAGCTGATTTATTTGTACAGCACAAGCCCAAAGGTAAAAAACTATTTCGGAATTGATTTATTTTGTCCCCACATTATGTGTTATATCTTTTGAATGCAAAGTCTGATGTAGTTTACACTTGTATATAAATGTAGATAAGAAAATAAGCTTTAAAATGATATACAGCTTTTGGGGTTTGGTGTTCAAAATACATCTGCTATTGCCAGCAGAACATTTAAAAACATAAAAACGGCCGCCGGCGCGCCGGTTGTTGCAAAGTGGTTAAACATGTCAAGGAGCACTGTGCAAGCAATTATATTGAAATGGAAGGAGTATCAGACCACTGCAAATCTACCAAGACCCGGCCGTCCCTCCAAACTTTCATCTCAAACAAGGAGAAGACTGATCAGAGATGCAGCCAAGAGGCCCATGATCACTCTGGATGAACTGCAGATAACTACAGCTGAGGTGGGAGAGTCTGTCCATAGGACAACAATCTGTCGTGCACTGCACAAATCGGGCCTTTATGGAAGAGTGGCAAGAAGAAAGCCATTTCTCAAAGATATCCATAAAAAGTCTTGTTTAAAGTTTGCCACAAGCCACCTGGGAGACACACCAAACATGTGGAAGAAGGTGCTCTGGTCAGATGAAACCAAAATCGAACTTTTTGGCCACAATGCAAAACGATATGTTTGGCGTAAAAGCAACACAGCTCATCACCCTGAACACACCATCCCCACTGTCAAACGTGGTGGTGGCAGCGTCATGGTTTGGGCCTGCTTTTCTTCAGCAGGGACAGGGAAGATGGATGGAGCCAAATACAGGACCATTCTGGAAGAAAACCTGTTGGCGCCTGCAAAAGACCTGAGACTGGGACGGAGATTTATCTTCCAACAGGACATTGATCCAAAACATAAAGCCAAATCTACAATGGAATGGTTCACAAATAGACGTATCCAGGTGTTAGAATGGCCAAGTCAAAGTCCAGACCTGAATCCAACCGAGAATCTGTGGAAAGAGCTGAAGACTGCTGTTCAAACGCTCTCCATCCAACCTCACTGAGCTCGAGCTGTTTTGCAAGGAAGAATGGGCAAGAATTCCAGTCTCTCGATGTGGAAAACTGATAGAGACATGCCCCAAGCGACTTGCTGCTGTAATTGCAGCAAAAGGTGGCGCTACAAAGTATTAGCGCAAGGGGGCCGAATAATATTGCACGCCCCACTTTTCAGTTTTTTATTTGTTAAAAAAGTTTAAATTATTCAATACATTTCGTTCCACTTCACGATTGTGTCCCACTTGTTGTTGATTCTTGACAAAAAATGTAGTTTTTATATCTTTATGTTTGAAGCCTGAAATGTGGCGAAATGTTGAAAGGTTCAAGGAGGGCAAATACTTTCGCAAGGCACTGTATGTGGTCATCAAAGGGGCTACAATAGAGACTGACTAAAGGGATTCTTTCAAAACCACTATTATGTTGCAACGTCGTGCGTTCCCGCAGACTTGTTTCAAATAGACAAAGTTGATTGTGCAACATTTTTGGAATTTTCCATCTTAGAATACACATTTTCAATCTGTCTGATCTTTCTGCCATATACAGTGATTGAGAGGTCTTTTCTACCGTTTTTAAACCTCTTTATAGTCTCCAGTAAACTATCACTGATTCTTGAGTTTGAAGTTGCTCTCTATTGTGTGTGGTTGGCAGGTTGAGTCCCCAGCTGTCCCAGGAGGTGATGCTGGACGAGGTGGGGGACGGGGTGCTGGTGGACATGCTCTGGGACACACAGATGTACCTCTATGAGAAACGCGACGTCCTGCAAGCCCTGGCCATGGAGCTGCTCGGCCACTGACCACAACACTGACCCAAGCTGCACAACCAACAACAAACATCTACCGCACACCAACGTATTTGACTCACAAATACAGTATGGCTGGCTGACACCACACACCATGCGCTCAGTGACTCACAACAGCTGCCATGGCGCTGCGGTCTTTGCTGCATTCACAAGACCGCATATTGTCGCCGTAATCATATGAATAAACGGCGACAATCCGTGGTGCTGCGTGGGAACACCTCGTGACCTGTGGTTGTTCAGGTTCGGCTTCACCTCATCAAAGTCACCATTGTGTCAATTGATTATTTCAACACCTCTTTTAAGATAACATATTGACAATCTTATTATGCCGTTATCTTACATAATAAGTTAGTATGTTTTCTAAGGTCTGTACAGTGCAGGTAATTATCAAGATCAAAATTGGGTTAAAATTACCCTTTATTTGTGAACTAGGCACAGGTTGATTAAGGCAGACCTATTATCCATATCATATTTCTTTATTTATACAATTAATACATATTTATTGAATATATTTTGAAGACTCCTATTCTGTGATAAAATGTGTTTGAAAATCGTTTCTAAATAAATGCTCGACTACTAAAACTGGGTAGAGCCCCTTTAATCTTGTGTAGTCCTGAGTATTTCTGCACTTGGTATACTTGAAATACAAAATGCTTTAATTGTCCTTTTGGTTTAAAAAAAAGTTGAAGGCGCCTTTTTTTGTATTTATTTTGCTCTGGGCACTATTGAACTGTGTCCATGTATTGTAGTTTTGTTTGCTCTGTATATTTTCATGTTTCACACGTTCACATTTCTACCTGTTTCTATTTATGAAGTGTATTTCTAATGTTTTTAATGCTGCTACTGTGAAGCTATATGCAACAATGTAATGTTCTGTCACTCAAAGCTGTCCCTGAAGCAGCATATAGGAGATGTGGTTGCCCCAGACACTCAGGCAATGGATAAAGGGGAAGAAAACCTAAACACTGGGTCACCAACTAGAATATCGAATCTGGTAATTATTAGGTTTATGGTTTTAGAGTTTTCTTGTCTTGTATTATCTTATTAATGGCACATTTTGTTTTGGCCAAATAAAATAAAAAGATCTGTACATTCTATTGTATTTTGTTCATGCCTACATGGCAGTATGTGTTTGTTTTGTAACCAGATAGATCAATATCATTAGAACACTATCAGAAACAATGGCCTTTTCCATTTTGACTGTGGCCAAATTTAGATATTTTGGTATTAACCGTCTCCCCTAATAACAACACATGCATTTTGATCATTTAATTTTTATCACAAAATGTTATAAACATGATTCTGGCTGCAGTAGGGTTATTGTGTTCTTATAAACCACTGTATCCAATTCCACACTTAAAAAAACCCACTGACACACACTGGTTCCAAAGCATTACCTTTAAAATACTTTTTTTAATTTCTCAATTCACATAAAACACACTCAAGTCCAGGGGAGAAGAAATAAGATCTGTACCAAGGAAAAAAAAATGTTTTAATGCGATTTGAGATGGTCAACACATGGAAGCGCTGGCCATCGTAAATCTTATGGAGCTCCTAGGCTGACGTCACTCTTTTATGGAGGCCTGGGTTGTCAAACCGATCCTTAAAGGGGAGCTGGAGCTGCAGGTTTTCATTCCAACCACATTAGAAGAGTTCAGTCTGAACCTAAAGACTTAAGTTGAGGAAATAGATAGAGCCTGGTGTTTTCCTGCTTTGTTGGAATGAGAAGCTGCAGCCCACCAATTTAATACCTCTGCCCCAGGCTGACGTCACACGTGCATGCGTGAGACAGGTGAGTTTTAACCTACTGATGTGTTGTTGCAATGTCCCCTCGCTGTAGACACACGAAATTAACACAAAAGTCCTCACCTACTACTAGAGCAAAGGGCCCGCAGTAAATCCAGACGGCAGCACTAAAGAGAATGGTGACCCCTGTTGACTGATTTGTGCCATGATTGAAATAAACTTTAGTCTCCACATTGTGACTCCCAATTGAGTTAATCTGGATCAGGGACAATACTAGCTGCGGTTACCTCGGTTGAATCCCCTCCCCCCATTCAGCGAGCAGGGAATTTATAGATCCATGGTGGGGAGGCGGGTGTTGTAGGTAGGTGTCAGTGATGTCAAGAGTTTGCATCAAATTTGGTTATAGTTTGGCATTGGCTGCTAATGCGATAGTAACGGAAACTCTTCAGTCTGTTCTGGTTTGGTTGGCTCCCAGATATCAAGAAATTGAAACAGGAGCAAATAATGTTTAGCATATGTCATTGCTGGCAAATATGTTGTGGCTCTAACCCCCACGGGCTCCATAAGACCAGGCTGGGACAATGCACTATGAGCTTTTTGAATTGTGCATCACCCTCCACTGAATATGTCTGGAATATATTACCAATGTTGTCCTGGCTTTTAGAATATGTTGCTTTTTTAGAACATAATATTAACTACTTTTGTGATACTCCAAACACCTATGCATGTGTAAGTGTCCTTTAACACTAGGACCCCAGAATTCTGAAACTACTGGAACTCCCAGTAATTTTGACTGCTCCCATTCAAAACAATAGAATTCCTAGAAAGTTAGTGAGTTTCCCATCAGTTTTTTTCAAAGCAGGTAATTTATAAGGGGTTCATCTTTTCTCACTTTTGATAAATGCTAACCAAAATACAATAAGTATTTGTGTGAGAGCCAGGGACTGATCTGAGGGTCTGATCTGCATTGTGGGAGCTCACCAGGGGACCGTCCTTGCTCTTCATCCTCTAGACTGCAGACTTCAGACACAACACAGACTATTGTGTCCTACAGACGTTTTCTGGCAACTCCGCCATCATTGGACTCATCACTGAGGATGACAACGCAGAGTACAGAGGACTAACACAGGACTTTATTAATAATAATAATAATAATAATAATGCAGCGGTTTCATATAGCGCTTTTTGTGGGACGCTTCACATGTCATTCTTTCACTCCATACACACGGTGGTGATAAACAACTGTTGTAATTACAGCTGCCCTGGGACACACTGACAAAAGTGAGGCAACCAGTATGTGCTATTGGCCCCTCTGACCACCACCTACCATCAACACACACCAAACTCATTCTAGGCCATTCTAGGTGAAGTGTCTTGCCTAAAGACACAACGACAATTTGGCACTTTACAGCCACAGCCCCATTGTGACACCTGGTGTTCCTATAGGTCTCCCATCACAGTACTAACCAGGCCCTGCCCCGCAAAGCTTCAGAGAACTGAAGGAATCTGGCTTTCGCATGCAAGTAAGGACACATATCTTAGTACTACATTTGTGGACTAGTGTCAGTGGAACCACCTCCTCATCAACCCGGGGAAGACTAAGGAGACGATGGTGGATTTCTGCAGACGTCACTCTGCCGCTCCAGCCCCAGTGAACATCCAGGGCAGGGATATTGGCCCTCATTTATGAAACTTGTGTACGGCCATCAGGGTATAACTGAGGAGTACACAATAAATATACGCTTTTCGGCATTTATCAATCTGGAAGTACAATACAATACAATACAAGTTATTCTTATATAGCCCTAAATCACAACAGAAGTCATCTCAGAGACTTAACAAAACCATTGAAATCACCAACACAGATCAGAGAATCAACAGTTAAAACACATAAAGAATATAGAGAACATGTTGAAAAATGTCCATGTTGTAGAATGTTAAAGTGTCATGGATCATCACCACAGTCCTTTTTGTTAGACACTAACTGTCCAACAGACCCTGCTGCATCGGCAAGGAAAAGCTTGTGGCGTGAAGCAAGAAACTGTGAGTCTTGAAAGTATCTTTTTATTCACAAGCCAACTTGTGAATAAAAAACCAACGGGGGGAACTTAGTTCACGATTCACGAACATCTTTGCGTAAACCAGGTCAAACAAGGGCTGTTTGACCAAGAAGGAGAGTGATGGGTGCTGGGCCAGATGACCCGGCCTCCACAGTCACCGGACCTGAACCCAATCCAGATGGTTTTGGGGTGAGCTGGACCACAGAGTGAAGGCGAAAGAGCCAACAAGTGTTAAGCATCTCTGGGAACACCTTCAAGACTGTTGGAACACGTTTCAGGTCACCAGCTCTTGAAGCTCATCAAGAGAATGCCAAGAGTGTGCGAAGCAGTAATCAGAGCAAAAGGTGCTACTTTGAAGAACCTAGAATACAAGACCTACTTTCAGTTTTTTCATACTTTTTTTAGTACAGACATGATTCCACATGAGTTATTTCATAGTTTTGATGCCTTCAGTGTGAATCTACAATTTTCATAATCGTGAAAATAAAAAAAACTCTTTGAATGAGAAGGTATGTCCAAACTTTTGGTCTGTACTGTACAACGCCAGGCTGCCCAGCAGCCAGAATGGAGAAATCGGTCCTGAGGAGAACCGGGCAAACCAAGATGCAAGAGAGACAGTCCACGGCCGTGTTGGACTTTCCAGCAGTCTGTTGTGAACTCAGTGATAGCCGCCAGATGGCTCTGTTACCGCGCTGACCAGGGTTCGGTTACTTTAACCATGTCAAATGTCAGCGGTTTATGGTCCACATAAGCTTCGACAGGACGACCCTCCAACAAAAAACAAAAACGCAGAGCAGCCAAGAACAACGGCAACAACTCGCGGTCAAAAACGCTGTACTTACGCTCGCAATCCCGCATTTTATGGCTGAAAAACGCCAGTGGCTGCCAAGCTCCATGCACCTGCTGTTCCACCACAGATCCAACCGCCAAGTCTGAAGCGTCTGTCGTCAGGGCAATGGGGGCATCAGGGTCGAGAAGAGCTGCATTAGCTAATGCAGACTTAGCTCCGTCAAAAGCCACAATTCGGTCCGGGGTCCAGACCACGGCGTCAGCGGCCTTTCTAGAACACAGAGTATCATAAAGCGGAACGAGGAGATGGGCAGCACGGGAAATGAACCTATTGTCGAAGTTCACCATGCCCAAAAACTCCTGCAATGCCTTGATCACAACCAGACGCGGAAAATCTTCCACCACCTGTACTTTAGCAGGCAACAGAACCGCGCTGCACGCTGAGATGCAATAACCCAAAAAAATCAATCATAGGCATCCCGAACAGACACGAAGCCGGGTTGACAATCAGGCCATGAGCATCCAAGGGCTGAAAAACTTCCTTGAGATGTTTGTGGTGCTCTTCAGCCGATGCGCTGGCCACCAAAACGTCTTCGACATACACAAAGTCCAAACCGCGCAACATCGAATCCATCAACAGGTGATAACAGGCACGTGATTAGGCACGTGGTCGGCGTTCACTGGAACCTGGTGATAGCCACGCTCCAGGTCCATCATAGAGACGATAGAGGCACCATACAACCAAGCAGAGAAATCCTGAATATGCGGAAAAGGGAAACGGGTGGTCACACTGTTTAATCGCCTAAAGTCACCACATGGGCGCCACGACCCATCCGCTTTAGGTACCATGTGAGGGGCGATGCCCATGGGCTGTTAGAGCACCTCACTATCCCTAAATGCTCCTGGGTCACAAACTCTTCTTTAGCAATGGCTAACTTGACTGTGTCGAGGCGCCGCGCGCGTGCAAATACAGGCATACCGCGGCAGAAAAACAACGAGTGGACAAGGACGGGTATTCAGCCAACAAACACTGAAAACATTATAGCTCACAGAGGCAGCTATAAAGTCCCGGTCAAACTTGCGGCCGCAAAAACAAACAGTTTTTTGTCTAGTTCCAACAGGTCCAATCAGAGAGCCATTTTCTTCCTTTAGAGAAGGACCTTCTCCGTGGGTCGATGCATCCGTGCCAGCAGGAGGAACCAAGCTCTTCTCAGAGCCTGGCGGTCCATGTGTGGACAGCGGCATAGAGAGCTCGCTGGGCCCGTTATGGAAGACACAACTACTACCTCCGGCTCTGACATGTCACAAATCGGGGTCACCAATGTGGCGTGAAGGAGGAAACTGTGAGTCTTGAAAGTATCTTTTTATTCACAAGCCAACTAACTCCAAACAAAATAGTTTTCACTTCCCTCATTCCTGGATGATCATCCCCGTAGCATCTGCCACAAGCTCAAATACACACCGAGTCAGAAGGTGGTGTACATTTGTAAAACTCTGTTTTTTATTATTTTGTGTTTATTCATATTACTTTGTCGATCACATACATATGTTCATCACATCTTGTATACAACGTTGTTTCTCTTCTTTTACACATTATTTTTTTTCCCTTTCCCTTCTCCCTGTGTGTCCCTTGTGCACCAAAATGATCCAAATACATGAAAATAAAAATGATGAAGGAAATGGTCGTGGGGTTTCAGGCTTTCTTTGAGTGCCAAATGGCTATTTTTTGCAAGCTGGGATATAGGCTCCATCTTCAGGTACTTTTCAGGTAGGACAACAGCAGAGATGGTGTCCCCCCTGTTTTTGTCTATGTCTCTGCCACTGCTTGTAATCGTTGGCAAAAGCCATTTCCATCTATTCCCTGACAATTGACCTTTTTTTTTCCTTTAGATCAGTGTCTCCCAAAGTGGGGTCCGCGGCCCCCTGGTGGGCCGCGAGGGTACTGCAGGGGGGCCGCGGGAGGTCATAAAAAAAATAAAAAAAATAATATAATTATTTAATGTTAAATTTATAATGTTTTGTTTGTAATATTAAAATATTTGTGTTCATTATTTGACTTGAATAATCCACTGTAATCATTTTTGTATTACAATGTTTGTAGCACAGGCTATTTCCCCAAAATAAAATGACCAGAAGAGCCTATTCTTAATGTTGTCTTCTTGGTATTATTTTGGGGGGCCACGCAGACCCGTCAGATTTTTAAGGGGGCCTCGGTGTTACTGAGTTTGGGAATGGCTGCTTTAGATTACTATTCTTATATTGACGAGTTACTGCAGTGACATGGACAAAGATCCTTCATTCCATGCTCTTGTGAATGTTCCCCCTGTTTCCATTTATCCCGTATTATTGATATTACACTTCTATTGTCTCTGGCATGGTAGACCAGGTGGTGTAAATTTTACACCCATCTCAACCTTCATCACAACACACAAAAACATGCATGAAATGCAAGATTTGGACAACAATAAACATATTCCCACTCTGGCAAAATTATAAGCTGTGTTTTCATTGAGCGTCATGTTTCTAAATTTGAATTTGCACATCAGAAAATGTCTAATGGAAACACCAAACTTCTAATGAATCACAGTTCATGATGAGGACCCTCTATGTTTCTTTGATTTTAAATCTGACTTGTATATGTATTTGTTTCATCTGTATGTTTTTTTAAATGTGAAGCACTTTGTGATCCTGGTCTGTGAAAGGCGCTATACAAAAACATTTGACTTACTCATTTACTTAATGTGTGACCATCTATTGCTTCGTAAATCTTTGGCAGGCCTGCCCTGCGTAATTACGCATGGCTATTTGCTTTGCCTCATTCACCTCTGGCAAAGCAATGTATTTTTTCATTATGGAGCAATAAAGCCCCATAAACGCACCCAGTGGCGTTCCAAGGATACCCTGGGCCCCAGGCAACAGAGTCCTTGGGACCCCGATACCAACCACGTAATCCTTTAAAATCTAATCTTTCATTTGGCCCTCAGTGTTTATATGGTCCATTTAAACACAGAGGGCCAAATGAAAGAATAAGCTCTAAGCTTCAATCTGCGAAAAACGGCTTGTCTTTAACTTTTACCGTTCTTGAGCAATCTGTCATAGAATATAATATATGTAGTTTAATCCAATTATAGGTCTCCCTAGGATTCAAACCCAGGTCGTCACGGCGCAAGCGCTGCAATTTAACCACTAGACCACTGTGTCATACCACACTTCTTTGACTCCAGGCAGGAAATTTGTGTCAAATCAGTCGGCCTTCGGGGGGCCCCTGCCGGTTTGGGGGCCCGAGGCAGCTGCCTGCCTTGCCTAATGGCAAGGGACACCTCTGAACGCACCAATGGTCTTGCTCACTCTTAACTGTCACAGCCACTGCCCTGTACTCCCGTTATTATTATAGATCCATGTGTACCCCGCAAAACCCACACATAACTCCTCAGATGTGGTGCATGTCATTCAAAAGTTTTAGATCCAGAGTTCCTCTGTGAAATCACGGACACTTCCCAAACGCTTCTCATCTTCTTTCTCTCTCAGAGATCGCTCCATTGCATTCATAAGAAGATGCTGCAGCCGTTTCACCCGGTTAATGATGAGAGCCACCGCTGAGGCCGAGATATTAATATATTTTTATTAATGGACGCCTCCCTGGGGAGGTTTTCCGGGCACGTCCCATCGGGAGGAGGCCCCGGGGAAGACCCAGGACACGCTGGAGGGACTATTGCCGTTTTTCCACAGTGTCAGTTCAGTTCATTTCGGTACGGTACGGCGCACCTATTTTGTTTTTCCACTAGCGGATGGAATGGGAGATTTGAGTACTTTTCCGTACTGCCTCAGCCGTGGTTCCATCCCCATAGTACCCGTGCCATGACGTCACGTCGGCCCACTGCCTTACACTGATTGGTCAACGAGTGTCGTCACTGGAAGCGGCATCTGACCCTTTGGGAAAAACAACTCAACCACCATCTTTAAGACCGGCTGCTCTGCTCGGCTCTGCTTCGGCTACATTACGTCCTCCTCACTCCAGAGAAATGGAATTGCACAGAAAGCCCCAAAAGTCCTGGTCCTGGTCGGTGGAAGAGGTCCACACGTTCCTCTCTTCAGGCCAAAGAAAGAATTCAAAGGCAGCTCGAGGCTCAACACAGTTTTCAGGAGATCACCCAGCTCTGGATTTGTGACTAGTCTGTGGTAATCCTGAAATAACTGGTTAGCTACGAACCCCCTAAAGCTCTCACTGAAATGTATTTACTGTGTAAATGTTCGATTGTCTGTTGTACACAGTGAGCTAGCTACATTTAGCTTCATTTAGCTATCGATAGCAAGCTAAGCTAACGTCCTCCCTGTGCTACTGTGCTTTATCTCGTATTATCTGCAGTATTCATGTGTTGTCATTCTGTTTTGTGCTTGTATTTAAGTTGTTGTGTGTATATTTGTATGAGAATCTCTTCCCATAAGTGTGGAGATTACTAACAAGTAATGAGTGACCGGAGTATTCTCATCTGGACTTGACCGGAGTATTCTCATCTGGACCTGGTCTCTGACATACGTACTTTTGACTTTGTAAACTGTTGGTTTTGCACTTTACTTTTGTTTTCAATAAATCTGTGATTGTATCCCAAGACTGTGTTTCATTCATTTATTATTATTGTAGCTGAGGTTTGGGTATCGATTGTTTGTCTGGTCTCGGAGTCTGCTGTAGTCCGGACCCGAGTCCGGACTAGCCTAGCTTAGCCGCTTAGCCGCTAACTCGCTACCCCTATGGCTGCCGCTGTCTCTCCCTCGGTCCTTTACTGCTCGAGTTGCCATATGACGAGTTTAAACCCTGGATCCTCCTCTGATGGCAGTGATAGATGTGTTAAGTGTAGTACAGTAGTAGCTTTGGAATCCAGGGTTAGTGAGTGAGCAGAGTCTCGAGCTAGCGCTAGCATTAGCTATAGCCTAGCAGTATCCTCGGACATGCAGCCCTCCTCCTCTGCTACACAGGCTGCTGTTGCTACAGGTATGTCCCATTCAGATTGTACAGAGCAGTCAGCACCATTGACTTCACAGTGTCTGAGTCATTCTTTTAAGACATAAGCATTTTCAAAAACTACTCGTACTGTGCTGAATTTTCTATTAAACACTTGCTCTGGTATTATAATAAATCCATGCACCGCACCAGTACTAGTTACGCGTCACACGTAAATGACGTGGTCTGACAACGCTGAGGACATACTAAGGGATAGTATTTTTGATGGAAAAGCACGCAAACTGGGCCATGGCGCGCCGTGCAGAGTCAAAACGTACCGTACTCGGACCGTGGAAAAACGGCATATGTCTCAACTGGCCTGGGAGCGCCTTGGGGTCCCCCCAGACGAGCTGGAGGAAGTGTGTGTGGATAGGGATGTCTGGGCGTCTCTGCTTAGACTGCTGCCCCCGCGACCCGGCAACGGATGAAGCGGAAGAAGATGGAACGGAATGAAATGTATTTATTTATTTACTTCTTAAGTTCAAGAGAGATGAGTACTGCAGTGAGTCTAGACACTCGGGGAAAAATGTGTATATATAAATACAGCATTAATTTATTTTTAAACAAACGTGAATAAACTCAGGATTGCGTGTCAGAGGCCTTTTGAGGCTTCCAAACAATCTTCCTGGCCGACTTCCATTCTTACCTGCTGTATAAACAGGGCGTGAAACAGGCGGTTTCTGAATATTTAAAGGCGTGACTTTCATAAATACTTTTGTATTCAGCTGTGGCAATTATCAACAGCCGCAGGTGCGTACGCTCAGAACCGGGGGGATCTCACATGTTCATAAATCCTACGTTGGATCTTGCGTATTTGGAATATACACCCAAAATGTAGACCCTTTTCTGTGCAAGTTTCATAAAGGAGGGCCAATGAGTCCTATAAGTACCCATGGGTTCACTTGAACCACAAACTGAACTGGACTCATAACACAGACGCCTTCTCCACTCCTGAAGACCTTCTATGACTCTGTGGTGCCATCAGCCTCTTGTACGTGTGGTCTGCTGGAGCAGCAGCATCACAGAGACAGGAAGAAGCTTAGTGCACAGATGAGTAAAGCATACTAAAGATATAGATAATAACTGCGTATTTAGGCTAAAATTAGAGATTTCAACTCATTTGCTTTAGTATAGAGCTATTGTTCATTTATCTTTTACTGTGTGTTGCACATTCCAAGTGTCTGCAACTGGTGATGCAACACTGACATTTTCCCACTGTGGAACGAATGAAGGACCTCTTCATCTTAATCTGTTGCTAACGATCACTCAATCTTCTCTGGAGGAAAATGATTGCTCTGAGAGTAAAAGGTACTCGTCATGTTTCAAAAATAAAACATTATTATCTGAAAATAATAGATACAGAAAAAGAACATCCAAAACTAAATCCGTCAAATTGACTGCTCTGGGAGTTACCGTAGATTTGTAGCAATAACCGTTTGTTGTTGTTCAAGTTTTACAGTCTATGATCACGTGACCCTCTCCAGAGCGAAGGAAGCCCCACGGTTACCAGGGCGACACGTGACCAGTGGGCTCGTGTGGCGCGCTGTCCTGTCCATAGACCCATACCGCCCACCGTTACGCACACGGGACTCCAGTTGAGCGTGTGGACTGACGCCATCTCCGCGCTGCTACATCTTCTCCGGCGGTGGGGGCAAAACAGACGCTAGAGCTCGGTGCAAGTCGTGACATGAGAGATGGAGCTCTCCGCGGCGGGGGACCGTATTTTCGCCGCAGAGGCAATCCTCAAGCGGCGCATCCGGAAGGTGAGCTCCTGCAGTGGGGAGCTAGTTTGACAAGCGGTGTCTCGGGTTCCGTGTGCGCGTGCATCCAGGGGCCTCTGTCCGGGGCCCTGGCCTAGCTAGTTCTGCTCGGTTAGCTTTGCGTTTAGCCGCTACAGGCTACAAGAGCAGGCTCATAAAACTGGCACAAAGACACAGGCCGCGCTCCAACCTTCCCCCTGCACCAGGAGACTAGTGACCTCATGGAAGTACTGGTTCATTCACCAGTAAGGTTTGTGTAGAACTATGGGCTGGAATGGGACCCCCTTTGACAACCTGCTGGTGTATATTGTGGTACCTGTAAGAACCACACGTATGTTCAGAAGAATGATGCAGAAGTCCGTGATAAACACTCTGCAGAATCAACAAGTGTGTTCCTGTAGGAGGGCAGTCTTTTAAAAGTGCCGTCAAGTTCAATCTAAGACCAAGTTTCCCATAGTTCCAATCCTGATTTATTATACCTAGATATGGTTAAGATGGTGTAATTGTAAGATTTATTCAACCCACACTGGGAAAATGTTAGCGTTGCATCACAAAGTATGCAAATGTACTCTGCAAAAAATGCATTCGTGCACCTGTAGTTACATCTGCAATACACCAATGCAAGAATATTTGTGGAATCATTAGCTCTGAGGGTCGATGTTCACAGTGATGAAACTACTGTACATGTTATCAGCATGTGATACTACTGTACATGTTATCAGCATGTGATACTACTGTACATGTTATTAGCATGTGATACTACTGTACATGTTATTAGCATGTGATACTACTGTACATGTTATCAGCATGTGATACTACTGTACATGTTATCAGCATGTGATACTACTGTACATGTTATTAGCATGTGATACTACTGTACATGTTATTAGCATGTGATACTACTGTACATGTTATCAGCATGTGATACTACTGTACATGTTATCAGCATGTGATACTACTGTACATGTTATCTGCATGTAACACTACATGTTTTCAACATGTGACACTACTTTATTATCTGCATGTAACACTACTGTACATGTTATCAGCATGTGACACTACTGTACTTACTGTACATGTTAGCAACATGTTATACTACAGTATATGTTAGCAGCATGTGATACTACAGTACCGTGTACAGTACATGGTAGCAGCATGAGGCTTATGGATAAGAATGACTTAATGTAGACTACATATCCAGATATCGTGGATATTACATGATACAAAGTTTGACAATATTGTAACAGTTGTGCTTGGTCCACAGGGGAGACAGGAGTACCTGGTCAAATGGAAAGGCTGGGCAATGAAGTAAGTGTTGGACTCAGTCTCAGGAAGTTTCACAATAAAGAATAGGCCGTGGTAACACCTCACACAGTTAACACAATACAGATCTGTACAGTTTGAATGAGAAGAAATGATTTTTTTTGCAACACTTTTAATCCTGGACAATCATGCAGGAATAAAAGTGTTGCATAAAAACTTTATCCAAGTGCCACACTGCTGTTGTGTCCTTAAACAAGAAACCCACATTGCCTTGTGAGTCTGGTGTGTGCTTTAATGATTGGTGGCATGACTCATGCGTGGCAGTCAGCCAACTAGATACTGTATGTTATGTCATGTCAGAAAATGTAGTGTATGATTCATATTCCATCTCAAAACCCATACATCGTTAGAGTGTGTTGATTATGATGAACAAAGTTGGGATAGAACTTGTATTTGTAATGTGCAGTGAGTGAATGTGTGCTTGTGTTCAGACACTGCACATGGGAGCCAGAGGAGAACATCCTTGACGACCGACTCATCCTGGGCTTTGAGCAAAAGTAAGTATGTTTTGCCCACAGTGTACATATGACTTTTGAATACTGGCACATGTACTATCATACTATCACACTATCACCAGTGTAATAGAGCACACTGGTGACTTTTGGTTTTGTCTAATGACATTTACAACCATTTAATTGCCACTTGGATACACATTTAATAAACAGGTTAAGGAATCTTGCGGAAGAAGGCATTATGTTATTATCGTAATAGATGTATAATATTTTTGTAGTAGTTGTACTACTAATATCAGCAAATTGGATCAATCCGTCAAATATGAGTTTGTCCTATTCTCTGTGCTTTGTTGTTTTGTAGGGAACGAGAGCGAGATTTGAATGGCCCAAAAAAACGTGGCCCAAAACCCAAGAATCTGGTTGTGAAGGTAATTATTTCTCTCCAACTTGAGTCTGAGTGAACGTGTGTACTGACCTGGTTTCTGCTGTTAGAGTCGAGCTCCCCGAGCCGAGGCGAGTGGGGCCTCGGCCTCTGTGGCCTCCCCCTCTCCCAAACTGCACTCTTTGGCTGCAACTCACAAGCTGAAGAAGGACATCCACCGCTGCCACCGTATGTCCCGCCGCCCACTGCCCTCCATGTCAACCGTCCTGTCCTCTGGGGGTGTCCACTCGCGGCCTCATGTCTCCCCCTTTTCTGAGACTGTCCGTATCCTTAACCGCAGAGTTAAGCCACGTGAGGTCAAAAGAAGCCGTATTATTCTCAACCTGAAAGTCATTGACAAGGCTGGCCGGGCTGGTGGAGCTGCAGGTGGCAGGGGTCTCTCCACAGGACGTCACAATATTCCTTCCCGCAATCGGATCATCAAAAAAGGAGAAGCTCCCTACAAGCCTTTCCAGTCACCATTAAGGATGCTTGGCTTCCCCATGTACGGCAAGCCTTTTGGGCTGCAGTGTGGAGGCCCATTCCCTTCTCAGCCTGGACCCATCTCAAGCTCTGCTGCTCCATCAAAAACCCATGCCCCACAGGGTTCGGCGGAGCCGGTTGACCTTGTGTCCTTATCAGCGGGACTTATGCCAACTGAAGGAGCCATGTCACAGCAAGAGGGTGAGGGCCCACCCAAAGGGGGTTCCGGATGGCATCCTAAGCTGACTCCAAGCTGCAAAGATGTGGTAGTCACAGATGTGACAACCAACCTTGTCACTGTGACCATCAAAGAGTTCCCGTCTCCTTCAGACAGCCCCAATAGTAGCACTGACGCCCCACCGCCCAAGCAACAGAACTGAAGAATCAGTCCTTGACTTATCGAGTATTTTAGCTTGATGTTCATATTGTGTTTAAGAACAGTACTTGTTGTGTCTGCTCTCAAATCAAAGCAAGGACACTATACCGTAGGGCAGCACAGTATGACCACTATAAAGAGGTTGTGCAGTTTATAGACCTGAAGCCAGTTGGAAGGACAAAATATCCTTAGAGATCAAATTCAAAAGTGGGGTACCTACTTATTTATGTATGAACGAATAAAGCTATGTGCCAAAGATTCAGAGTTAGGAACAATTTAAGTTGGTCTAAATAACAAGGGCACAATTCTGGACTGGAGAAAGCCCTCTCCGTCCTCAAGTGCAGGAGTTTAGTCCCAATTCTGAGGGCACTTGAGTTACTGTATGAGTGCCCTCAACAGAAAAGGGCACTTGTTCATATTCTCTCTAAGAAATGGTACACCCGTATGTATAAAAATCGATGCAGCAAACGTGTTCCATGTCACATGCAAAATTGACGTGTCTGATTTCACGACAGATAAGATGGACTTTATGAAACAAAGGTTTTATTAAACTGACTGTCAAAGCAATGCACTCTGAACTACATCCATGCATGGATCTATAATGATAACATATATCATGTCTTGTCATGAAGCGCCTCAGGCAACCGTCAAATGCTGCGGCCGCTTGAAGAGGCTTTGAAAACGTAACCATATACAGCACCAACACACGCGAAAAAAAAAGAAAAGGTCTGAATGCCTTGCACATGCTGGTTCGACGCTTCCACACGTTCAGCAGATACTTGTGCCCGTGTGTTTCATTTATGTTGTTTTCTTTCATTGGGACGCGCCTTTACCCGACAGCTACTTTACAAACTATGGTAAAGCATCATGACATACTCCCTTGGCCTTTTTAAGGGTGTGAAGCATTCGCTGTTGCTCCCTGAGTGCGCATGCAAAATCTAGGGTAAAGGTACAAATTAAGGGTGTGAATTGGGACGGGGCTAAAGTACCTCAGGTCTTGGTCTCAATGAGAGAATGGCTGGAGCGCTGAGTGGCTCAACACTCTCATAGGGCTTCATAGTGCTTTGATAATTGGGTACCCCCCTTTTTAAGCAGATGAAATAATGTCTTTAATGTTTTTCATTCTCTGCTGGCAGTTTATTCTGAATTAGATGCTGCTCTAAAATAATGAAGGCAACTTCCTAGAATGTTTGGTGCCTGTATATTTGTATGTTAAACTGGTTTTATATATATGTTGTCTTTGCTCCGCGAGACTAATGCACTGACATTTAAATAATGAATGTCTCCTTAAATATATTTTTTGAAGCTAATCTGTAATATAAAATTGTGCAGCTTCCTGTTTACAGAATTGTGTTGGCTGATATGAACTCTGAATATCCAGGGCCTGATAACATTGAGACAGGCCAAATACAAGCCACTTTAATACAATTTTATTTTACAATGGTGTAATTCCTTAGTAACTTAAGCCCTAGTTGCTTATCTATTAAGAATGTATAAACTGCATCAGAAGATGATGCATGTATTGTAACTGCAGTGCTTGGTGTGTGCCTCCTGTGGCTTTCATGTTAAAGCTGAATACATGACAGCACAACGTCTCATGTATGAATTTTCACAAAATAAATGAATAATGAAGTGTACACAATAAGCCTGTTGCTTGGTATTCATGTTGAACTTTTGTATCCAGAGCTAATATGAGTGATTGGTTTATATTTCATAGATAGATAGATACTTTATTGATCCCATAGGAGAAATTCAGGTGTCCAGTAGCAGCAAAAATGAATAATAAAATTGATCATTCTAAAACAGCCCTTCAGGTTGCAGCAGCACAGATGAAGTAGCCTCTGGGTGGAGCAGGACGGGTCACAGCCGCACAGATGGAGTAGCCTCTGGGTGGAGCTGGACGGGTCGCAGCAGCACAGATGGAGTAGCCTCTGGGTGGAGCTGGACGGGTCGCAGCCGCACAGATGGAGTAGCCTCTGGGTGGAGCTGGACGGGTCGCAGCAGCACAGATGGAGTAGCCTCTGGGTGGAGCTGGACGGGTCGCAGCAGCACAGATGAAGTAGCCTCTGGGTGGAGCAGGACGGGTCACAGCAGCACAGATGAAGTAGCCTCTGGGTGGAGCAGGACGGGTCACAGCAGCACAGATGGAGTAGCCTCTGGGTGGAGCTGGACGGGTCGCAGCAGCACAGATGGAGTAGCCTCTGGGTGGAGCAGGACGGGTCACAGCAGTAGAGGTCAAAAGGTGGAGTAGCCGCTTGGTTAGGACCATTTTCTCTGCTCTAGTCCAAAGTAAAATAAGCATTTTTTAAAAAGTTTGCATTTCTCCAGTGGATTTTTGGCTGATACGCTTGATTCGGACCATGAATCGTCTCCACTCTGGTCTGGACCAGTGCAAAACTACACACTGTACTGCAGCAACATCTCAGGCAGAAAAAAGCAATACAAATAAAAATTGTAAAGCAAAAAACAACTGTTTCAGAGCTACTTAGGACCTGCAGTCGTTTCCCAGCGCATCTTTCAAAGATAAAAATAAAATAACAACTCACTGTGTAGACGTCATTCAGAATGTTGAATTATGTTGAAAACTGCTATGGTCTTCTTGGCTAAAGCCACCACTCAAGGGTCATGATGGAGCAGCAGGTGAGATTAAAAATTCAAGTCCATGTTTAAAACTATTTTTAATATCAAATGAATAAAACAAGGGATTTGATATGATGTGTTTTATTGTCTTTGGATTACACTCAGAACAAAACTGGTGCTGACAGTCACAGTGTAAGCAGTGTCCAGGCTCCACACCAGGCCCCATGTGTATGCGCAGTTTGAGCTTCCAAGCTTGGAAGCAGCAGATCCACCTTTTCAGTTCAGTTAATTGTCTTTGAACTGTAAAACTGAATCACTTGACTGCATCATGTGACAAATTGGCATGATTTTTATTTCATTATCTGTTTAGTTGGACTCATAATTACTGAGTTGTACTTGAATTAAGTTTTAGCTGCAATTCTCTACTTGTTTCCTCAACAATTTGTCCATGCCACTCAGTTTACATAACATTTTATGTATACCATCTGTTATACCCCAAACAAAGCAATAATTATGTCACTCACCCAGAGATGTCTGGCTTCCTCCAAGCTTTTTAACTCTAAATGACCAGAGCAAGATGGAGAAATTCTCCCCTGTGGTCTTGTGTGAGCTGCGTGTTCAGTGATTGTAGGCTCAGCTTTAGACTGGTGTATGTCAAAACTTTGGGCTCTAGTAGAATTCCAGCTCCATTTACTAATGTGCTATTTCTCTGGTATTTTTCCATCCATATATGTTCCTTTGCTTTTCCATGGCTGGGTTGCAAAGGAAGCATTCGGGTCATAGATGCCTAGACGCTCGTCCGAGGCGTTCCCAGGCTAGCTGACATTGAGACATTGTCCCTTCAGTGTGTACTGGGTCTTCCCCGGGGCCTCCTCCTCCTCATTCAGCTGGGTCCTCTTGACGTGGACGAGTAGTGCCTGTACTCCGATATCCACTGTGCCATCCAGACAAAAAAGACATTTGTGCAAAATGTAAAACAAATTTTGCACCCTGATCTTCAATGAATATCCCAATTATTCTTTGTGGTTTGTCACGTGGATATGTGACTTTTACACTCAAGACATTCTGAGAGATTTTCAGACCAGGCTAAGATATGCATTCATTATTTCATTCTTTCATTCTTATTAGTTGCGACTCTGTCCATCTTGAATCACAGCTGCACATGTGTCTGTGAAGAGAGCAGCTCAGGATAGCTGATCACTAAAATAAAAACAGAGTTTGAACGTTTATATTTTAGAAAATGGAGCTGGAAATACGTCAGCTCTTGAACATTGCTATTAAGCAAATTCTGTTATTGATGGTAGAACGAGTCACAGCAGGGAAACATTCAAGAGGACATTCTACATAAACATCTATTAGTGTTAACATTTTTGGCTCATATCTGCGGTCAAATATTTTATCATAGTATATATATATATATATATATATATATATATATATATATATATATAAATTTTTTTACAAGCGTTACCAAATTAGATTTTGAGCAGCAGTGGAGCTGAATGCAAGTGCTACTTTATGTGCTGATCTAGGGAGAAACTTGTGTATTTTCTTATGTCCTTAGATGTAATAGTCCCATACGTTTGCCTATTGTGTTCGGCCTTTTTAAATATGCATTTATTTGTGCTGGAATAGAATAATTTAGTAGTAGTTACTTGGGAAGTGTACATTAGTTGATACCACCAGAACCACGTCGTACCCAGTGACTGCTATTTTCAAGAAACATCCAACTCCACGAATGCTGCTCCAATACTATGTACCGACATCACAAACACTGCATATTCACAACATTAGAAGTGTGCATGTTCAGGACACAAGTAAAAGTACAGGACTGGTTCTTGATCATCAAAAAGAGTTGCACGGTGTCGTCCAGACGGGAATGACTCTAGTGTGTGGTCTGTGTTGTGCTTTAAGGCTGCGTGTGTAAAAGGCTGTTGGATCTGTTCACTTATCAGAGCTTGTGATCGTTTTACTTCCTCATTGTGAGTCCTCATCACACCAGACTGCATTCACATTTGTGATTTCAAATGTCATGATACACTTCAAGACTTAAGAAGGATCTAAACATAATACCAGTTGATTGTTTTTTTAAGACATTTTTGTCCTGAAGTATACCAAGTATAGTCCCAGGAGCCTCACCTGACCACACTTGTAGAATCAGTAGACCAACTAAATCTAGTTGGACTATGGATCTAAAATTATGTCAATATCTTCAACATCCTGTCCCTCTAAAGATGTTAGAACTCCAGCTCAAAATAGTCATTAAGAAATACCATTGAGCTGATTCAAAATGGCGATAATTGAAGAAGAGTGTGTGTGTGTGTCTGTGTGTGTGCATGCGTGCGTGCACATAGGCGTGCACGTGTAGGCCTGTGTTCAAATGTGAAAACGGCTGATTGGGGTAAAATATATTGGTTTTGTTTTACTAAAACATGTATTATTGAGAAAAATCTTTTGAAATAAAAAACTCTGTATCATTATGCCACTTCAATGATTAACTTAGCTAATGAAAGTCTATCCTAATAATCCAAATATTATTGTTGGCATACATTAGTTCCAAAGTACCACCTGGTTACTAAGTAACAATCCTGGTGTGAAGACTACAATCAGGAAGTAAATGTGGAAAGAATTCTTGCAGCTTGCAAGTGTGATTCTTTCTTTAAGCGTTTGAAATTCCAAACTTGTGTCATCAAGTGAACAACTTTTCCAGATATCTGCGTTGCTAAGACTCTGCCTGTGCGGACAAACATTTGCTAATGATGAGAAACTGCCTGTATCTGTACTTTCACTTATGTTTCCTCCACCGCTGAGACATGACTTTTACGATTGTGTCTGAAATGTGCCAATACAAGACAACATAAGCACAGGCAGAAGGGGGGCCCGCTCCTCACTGGTTGGGGCTCTTGTGGCTCCCGTAGCAGGGCTCGGTGGACTCTTTGGTGGCCCCTCCGTACACGTCCACGTCCAGGTCTGTCCAGGGCGCAATGTTCCCTAGAGCGGGGGAGCTGCAGTCGGCCAGGGCAGACACCTCGGCTGGCTTCAGCACGCGATCCCACAGGTTAAACTGGGACAGCTCTCCCACCAGGGCCTGGGACGCGTCAAAGCGGCCCCCCACTGTGTCCTGCACAAAAATGAATCATATATAGATGTTTTCATTCAGTAATGTCTGTATTTAACACTTATATGAAATATCAGTTAGTTGTTTGGATTTTTAACTGCATGGGGAAGAAAGGAAAAGTCTAAAAAATAAAGAGTCCAAACAAACTTTGGACTTTCAGATAATAACAAACATAACTCATTATATCTTTTGTATCCGTCTGTCTGCACGTGGGCCAAGCCTCACGTGTGGTGGTGTTTATCCAGTAATTATCCCCTGGCCCCTGACTGCCTCTAGACATTCACAATCATCCCGTTTCTGAGAGGGTCCTCAAAATCAAATACAATAATAACAATACAGCAGCAACTGTCAAATATGTATAGAACAAAATATCCATCTTTCTGTCTGCAATGCCATGATGAGAAACAAGCATATTATTTTATCTAAAAAACAAAGGGTAAGGAGTGCTGCGTGGTACATGCGTGTAAAATTATTTAAAAGACCAGGTGCTCAATTGGAAGAGGGGTTTCATGAAGCTCCTCATAATTTGCCTTTACCTAAAAAGTCAACACTCCACATATTGTTTCCATTCATTCACCAATCTTCTAATAATAAAAATAATGCATCGGTTTTATATAGCGCTTTTTTGGACATTCAAAGACGCTTAACATGTCATTATTCATTCACTCCATACACAGTGGTGATAAACTACTACTGTAGCCACAGCTGCCCTGGGCCACACTGACAGAAGCGAGGCAACCAGTCTGTGCCATCGGCCCCTCCGACCACCACTAACCATTCACACACACACACCAGACTCATTCTAGGCAATGGGGGTGAAGTGTTTTGCCAAGGACACAACGGCAGCAGACAGTGGGAGTCGATGGTGAAGGACCCTCTGGCTCAAAGGCCAATGCTCTACCAACTGAGCTACTGTCGCCCATCTTCTTCCCCTTATGTTTGTCCCTATTTATTTATTAAGTACAATCTGCAGGAATGAAAAAAATGCCTGTGCAATCAGGAGGTACTATCCCTTATCTGGTCTTGTAAATAACAGAATAAATGTTGTTCAGAAAAATCCAAAATAAATGGTACATATAAATGGTCAATTTACTTCCATAATGCAAAAGCAAAAATAAAAACATAAAAAAAATAACCACCACAAATAACCATGAAAAAGACAAGCTATTAACAAAGAATAGCATTAGCCTTAGTGCGGAGGAGACTAATTTGAACATTCGCTAGCTAGAGCTAATTTCCATTTATTCCAAATAATTCCTTAAAAGAATGGTATAGCATATGCAGCTGATGGAAACGTGGTAGAGGTAGGATATCGAACAACATGAGTGAGGGGTGTAAATAGTATTATTGTTGTATTTGTCTGAATATAGTGGCTTGTTTGCGACAAATACAATACTATACATTCATTCAGAGTTCATACTAACCTGCTCCTGGCCCAGGATTAGCACTCCCCCAGGCTTGATAGGGTGCCAGGCTGCCAGCCCCTCTCCGCGGCCCTTCAGCTGGCCACCTTGGTAGGCCTTCCACACCCCGTCCCGCAGCGTCCAGCTCACACACACGTGCTGCCACTGGTCCTGGTGCAGGTCCAAGGGCAGCTGGGCCACCTGCACACACCGCCCAACAGAGGAAGGAATGAAGAACTTGATTTAAAAGAGAGTCTAATGCAATGAAAGTAATAAGTTATGAAATAGATACACATTGTGTTGGAAGATCAGGGAGCCCATATATAAATACATGAATAATGGTTATTCATTGAAGCAATTTTTTGTATCTTATTTCTAGACATCTATCATCTATATGGAGAATGACTGGAGCTCCATTTGACAGCAATAGAACCCTCACTTCTTTCTAAAATATAAAAAGCTAGAGAGATAACCTGTGATTGAACCTATTGACGTTGTGTGTGAGACAGGACTTGAGTGGAAGAAGCAGGAGCGATGGGGCACTATTTCTCTCTCTCGTACTTGACCCTGATTCACTTGTGAATGTGTGTGTGCGTGTGTAAAAACGCTTGTGGCCAACATATGTACTGTATGTGTGTGAATAGTAAAGGTTGCACTTCTTTCTTCCACTGCACAAGGTGGTTCTGGTGACGCTCATGGACAGGTCCCTCACCTTGTCGTTGATGAGCAGCTCCACAGGGTTGTGTGCTCCCTGTAGCAGAACCAGCTCGTTGGGCTGTCCTGGGACAGAGTAGGAGAAGGGTGTGCCAATGCCCCCCTCTGTGGGGCGGAGCCACAGGCAGGCAGTAAAGGCATACATCTCTGTGACCTCCCGCCGCACCACCCCGTACATGTAGTTAGTGCGCATGGGGAAGGACATCACAAATCCCTCTGGGAAAGACGCTTCTCCCAGACCTGCACAACAGCACACAGCTCAATTTATGATGTAGGACACAACACAGTATGAAATTCACTTTGAAACAGCTTGAATACCATATTTACATCAGAAACTCCTGACCTGACCTAACCTGAGTCCAAGTAAATGGTGAGAACTGACCGTTTTGCAGCGGGCTGACTGGGTCCCCTCCCGGGCTGCCTTTGTGCTGGGGGTCCTGAGTCTGCTTCCTCATGCTCTCCCTCTCCTTCTCCAGCTCCTTGATCTTCCTCTCCAGCTCTCCTTCCAGGTCCTCCACTCTCTTGGGGCCTTTGGGTCTGGCAGGGCCCTTAGAAGAAGGCTTGGCTGGGTGGACAGGTCTGTGTAGGCCTGGGGATCCAGCGGGGGGAGAAGGGGGGGTCACAGAGGGCTTCCCCTTTCTTGGACTGGCCCCAGGGAAGGAATCAGAGCTGGAGCGGTTCAGAGTTGGGGGCCCAATCTCTGCCTGGAACACACACAACAGGACTTCATGTGGTAAGGCAAACCGTTAGAACTTTAGAGATCAGGTCTGGTGAATAGGCCTGTGGTGACAGGGTTGGGAAGACCCAAAATACTTTGGTACAATTACTCCACTATTTGGTGATACTTAGAAGAATACACTTTACAAACTCAAAGACACAACAACATGATGCTGCACTGGTTAGGGGCTTACCTATCTGAGTGAAGGTTGGATGTTCTCCTTGTGTTTTTGTACATTCTAAAAACAGACTATAGATTAAACCATCTAGTTGGTAGTTGTGTACCCATTCAATCTTTAAATAAACAAATATTTTGGTTGAAGCAAAACATCTTTCTGTTTAAAAAAATACATTGTTTTCAACAAAAACTAGATTAGATCTCGGGTAGGAGGCGGTAAAAGCTCCATAGCACACATCCCCCCTGTCCTCTACTCCCACTCGCTTCCCATCCACTACAGAATTCAGGATAAATTCTGCCTGCTCACGCACCAGACCTCAAGAGCACGCCAGCCTCATCACAGAGCTGTGCACCCACCCGTCCAGGTCCAGGTGCTCCACCATGGGAGACATAGCGTTCCGGAGTGACCCTGGTGTACAAAGCACTACTATAATTACACCGTCTATTCAAATGGCCTAAATTCCATCTGTTGTTGTTATTATATATAATAACAAAACACTGATTGGAAAAAAAAAACATATCCATCTACTTGATTCTAGACAGGGATTTACCCATCTGTTGGTTGTGGACAAAATAATCTAAAAGGTTCAATGTAACAATCAACTCAACATGTTACATTTGTCTAATGTAGCACCACCTACAAGTGAAAGTCTGATCCTGTCTAACTACATAAGCCTGGTTAGTACTGTGATGGAGACCTTCGGAAACACCAGGCGCCACCAGTGTCATTGTGTCCTAAGACAAGACACTTCACCCATACTCCCCACAGCGTGCATGTGAAGTATTGATCATTCTTACTTTGCCCCAGTTGGTGTTGTGACCAATTTGTGTTGTGACCAAAACAACAGACCCACAACCATTATGTACTGGTTGTTTCGAACACATAACTACCAACTATACACATTATCTTATATTATTTGTTCAGTTCACCCTTCCCTGGTTTGGCAGGGTTCACTGTTGAGTAAAGCCTGGTGTCGTGAGCGTTAGTGTGGTTGACTGATAGGTGGAGAGCCCCAGCCCCACTATTTCTGTGTTACATCATGTCTATCTATCGATGAGGGGCCAACTTGAGGTAAACAATGTGCGCGCGGGGCCTGGCTGTGCGCGTGCACACAGGTGCATGGATTAATGGGACACGCGCATGTACACACAAGTCACGATGGTGAGATCGCGAATCCCCTACTTTCAAAAACACTGCGTACCTCCAGCTTCTCGATGCGGTCCTTCAGGTCCATGATGGCCCGGGCCAGCTCCTCCACAGCCCGGGCCGTCTGCAGCTGTGCGGCAGTAGAGCCCACCTCATCCCCTGCCATAATGCGGCGGTTCGCGCTCCACACGTCCACGCTGTGTTCGGGAGCAGGCTCTTCCAGGCCGCTCTCACACTCGCTGAGTTTTCCCGTGAGCTCCTGGATGGTCCGCTGGTCCATGAGGATCTGCTGGTTCTGCTGTCGGATGAGCTGCTGTAGCTCGTCCGCAGTGACGCGCAGGGAGCTCCAGTCCTCCTCCGGAGCCTGGTCTGCCTGGAGGCTGTCCCGTGGGCCGCAGTCTGTTAGCGGCAGCGGCGTGCACACTAGGCGGCTGAAGCTGAGTGGGGGAGTCTGGCCCAACTCATTGAGACTGGGCAGGTCCAGCCCTAGAGCGTTACCGCTGTCATAAGACGAGCCCCCATGCAGAGCGCCCAGGGGCCCCGCCTGAGCCACGGCCTCTGCTTCCAAGGGCCTCAACAGGCCCTCCGAGGAGGTACTGTTGTCCGAGTCAACCACGCTCCTTTTCCGTGGATAAACACTGGCGATGATGCAGATGACTGCCCCGAGGAAGGCGAGCGCACCAGCGCCCACCAGCACCACCATGAACTTCATGTCTGTCCCAGTGCAGTGTGGATCAGCTCTGGATCAAGTCTGGATCTGCCTCTGAGTCTGCCTCTGGGTCTGCGAGAGATAAGAGAGACTGACGGCTCCCTCCTCTGTTTCCATGGAGATCGTGAGGCCGTGCGCATGCGCTGTACATCAGACTCTATAGGAGGCTGCTGTCGAGTGAGTGAAAAAGGCCAAGGTGCTTATTCACGAGCACGATGATGAGAGATGACGAGGAGAAACATACTCCCACTGTCGTTCAGCAGCAGGCTCTGAGCAGGGGAGTATTTGCTCTGTAACACAGTGCATTAAACACACTCACTCAAGTGTATCTGCCCTAACTTATAATATATATTATTTAATCTGTGGTGTCGTATTTATCCTTCTGCATTGAAATGTAGCAAACCCTATGGTCCAAACCAAATCTCTTCTAGAGGAGACAAAAAAACAACAATCTTCAATCTTGTTGGTTATGGGCCAACCAAAATAATTGGTTAAACCGAGTTTATGTCACGTGGTGGGAAGGAAGAGGACTCAAAATGCGAGAATAAAAAAAAAATGATTTAATGACAATGATAAAAATAATGTCCAAGGTAAAAACGAAATCAAAATCCAAAACAAACACAGAAACCAGGACACAGACAAAGATCGAAACAATACAATGGACCAGCAACAAGGGGAGAGAAGCACAGGGTACATATAGACACAGAGACACAGGTGAAACACATCAGGGGCAGACAATCAAGACAGGGGAACAAGACAGGAAGTACAACTAGAACCAAAAGCACAGATAACCAATTTTAAAATAAAACAAAAATACAAAAATAAAATCCACACTATGACAGTTTAGTCAGAAGACAGGCTTACATTGGTTGACACTACTCAAATTGCTTGAAAACACAACTATTCAGACTTTGGTTGTTTTTGCCAAAGACTAGATCAGATAAGGTTAAAACAACAAAAATAACTATAACAAAAAGCATTTAAATCCAGAGACTCTTGTTCTCCATCAGCATCACATGTCTCCAAGTGCAGCAGGGGTCTTCCACTGCAGGAGCTCATTAGGACTGCTGCATAATGGAACAGGCAATCAGGATGTGACTGAGAAACAGCAGACGAGACAAGTAACAGAGCAGTTCTTCCTGCCATCTTAGATATCTCAGTAATTGCTCATCATTTAGTAATACACATGTTAGAATTCTATATATGAGCTACAATAATATACAGATGTATTTGTATATCTGTAGAAATATGTGTCTCCTGGGTGATTTTCTCAACCCTCTGCACATGTGTGTCTTTGTCAATGCAGCACATCCTCTGAATCACTTTTCAATGACGAGCTATCCGAGGCCCTGAGCCTGATCCTACAATGAGAGTTAGTGTAACTCATTGAAGGTGCTTGTGGTTAAATGACTACACCTAATGTACTTATGTTTGTGTAAGCTCTCAGTCGTACAGGGATTAGTCAAAACCAAGAATGGTTTCTCACCCATCATCTGTAATTATAAGCTGTCTTTTTTCTTCTCCAAAAAACGTTTTCAAGGGAATGGGAGTTGGAGATTCAAAACCTGTGGGTGTGGTTAAACCTACGTATTCCTTGTTCCCCCACACTACACTGCACGTCTGCATCTATCAGCACAGACTGAGCCACACCACACCCTTTTAGGTAGAACTATAAGCTTCATTCTTCTTGAGGGAATAACCAAGAAACTCAGATAATAACAATATTTTTTTTTAAAGTTCATTCATTTCTTTAATGTTAAACTAATAAATAATAAGTACACATGCTATGCAAAGTGACATGTAGTTCATTTGTTTGAAAAACCCCAAATTTAAAATCTCAGACTTTATTGTGGGCTTTGTGTTGCCCTAACATCAGAGAATTGAGCCAAACACCTGCAGAGGGCGCTGAGACTTTAAAAGGTCTCAGTCTGGTTCAGTGGAGTTCAGTGTCAGGGCGAAGTGCTGACAGTTGTGCAAAAAAAAAAACCCATCATTGACAGCCTCAAAAGGTAAAGGCAAACAAAGCTTGGTGTTCTCAAAGTGCTGTATCAAACCACATTTATAGAAAGCTAAAAGGAATAAAAAAGGCAACAGGGATGAGCATCTTTTTTTTTTTTAAATAGTTTTTTTTATTGAATTTATCTTATATTCTAGTCTTGTGATTTGGATTTTCTTTTTGTACCAACTACATGCCATACTCATTAAAAATCACACAACATCACCAAACAAAGGATCAACATATGTCACTTTGCACTCATATATTAGATCAAAGTTTTAGGTTATACGGCGGAAATAAAAGGCTTACAAAAATAAATAGATCATGTGTCCTTTGAGAGCCTTCACTCCAGAGTCCTGTGGTACAAAACTGAAATACTCGTTTAATAAATACTCCCACTTGGCCACAGTAGTGACAGAGCCTGTGTGTTACAGCTTATGGTTAATGCATTCTTAGTTGTGAAAAAGATTACATCCATAAATGTAAATGGGATAAAAGAGATAATGTATAAATGAAGATATAAATGGAATGGAAAAATACTTATTATGCATGATACAAGATGGAAAAGCAACGAGAACCATGATCTACCTGGGTGGCTTAGTAGATAGGTCCTAGGTTTGAATCCTGGTCGGAAAAGGGCATCTCTGAGTGGGAGTTTGCATGTTTGCATTGAGGTGAGAGATGATTGGCTGATGCTGATGTGGAGCAGCAGCAGTCGGAGGACAGAGAGCAGTGATCTTGTGAATGTGTAGCTTGCAGTCTTCTAGTCTGATGTTCAGCTTCTTGTAGAGCTTGTGGCCTTTACTCAGCAGATCACCATACAGCCATGAGCCATCCTAGATCCATGGCCATCACCCCGTTATTATAATAGATCCATGCATCACCCAAACAAATCCATGCATCACCAAAACAAGTAACCTGGTGAATTTTACTTCCTGTACCGGGAAGCTCCGCCCACTTCGCAGCGTACGTGCATTTTTTTATTCGTGTCCGGGAACTTCGTTGCTCTATACATTTTCAATCATTACATATCAGTAACTATTGAAATGTTTACACTATAATGTTTTTGTCCAAGTTGTGTCCTTTTTATGACATTTTTTCCGAGTATAGCCGCATTTTTTTCTCTTTCTGAAGTGCCGACAACAGTGGGCGGGGTGTGTTGGTTGCCATGGCAGCAGTCGCGGTGTTGGTGAAAAGACAGAGACGTTGATTTACCCGCAGGTGATAAACAGTAGTTCTGTAAAGTTTGAGTCTTGAGTCCAGACAAACATTTGTTTTCTCAATGTTGTAAAAGTGCTTTTGGAGACACGTGACGTCACAGTTCGCCTGCAGTTTGTGAATCTCCATGGTCGCCCCGCTGATGTAGGAGTGGACCTAAAGCCGAGCTCAAATGCCTCCAGTGCAGCCAAAGACCCGGGCACACGCACCTCTGCCCCCGGTGTCCCAGCCTGTCTTCAGCCAGCCTGTCTTCAGCCAGCCTGTCTTCAGCCAGCCCGAGTCCAGCTCTGTGCTGCAGCTGCCCCGCCTCATCGCTGTGGTGGGCCCCCGGACTGCTCTCTTGCAGCGGAGGTGGAGCCAGGGGCCTCAGCTCGTCACTTCAGCGCTGGGCACGGAGCTCCCGGGGACGTCCACACAGAACAGGTAAGACCTGTGCTACTGTCACAGAAGCAGGAGCTGAAGAGGGACTCGGGAGCAACACACTTTGAAACCTCTAGAAATAGTCTGAATATGTAATACAGTTACATCTATGGCTAACTAGCTTATGTTGCTAGTTTGGTTTCTGTGTCATCTTTAGATCAGGACCTCAACCCCAAGAGTGACTCACAAGCATCTTTCCAGTTCAAGTAAAAGTGTTTTTAAGTTTGCCTCTTTGTATTTTTTTTCTGGATTTTTTGTATTTTTACTCATCCCTTGGAACATGTATAATTCTTTTTTGTTACTTGTCTCAAAGCTTCTGTTTCTTTTTATATTGTTTGCAGTTTTTTGTTCTTGTTGTTCTGTCTAGGTGTTTTGGAAGGATTTGGGAGGACGTAAATTGCTTTTGTGTGTGACTGTCCTAATGTATAAAAAAAACAAAGCAAGGTTGGTCACCCAACAGCTGTACTTCAGTAGCAGGTTTTCCCGATGTGACAGGTTGTCCAGATGTATCTTTTTTTGTATATCGTTCTGGGATTTGTTCATTGTAATTAGTGTTTATTCCTATTAGTGTTTATTCCCTTCCAAAACGAGATGGCACATCTCAAGAGGCATTCAATTAATACACATAAAAAAAAGATAAAAACCAAGAATTTAAGCAAGACGAAGATGACGACAGCCTGTTCTGGTTTTTCTTTTGTTAAAATTGTACTACATATAAAATAATATGATCTATCTTACAAAAAGTGTACCGTGGGCCTTAAACAGTGGCTTTTTTAATGGAACAAATTTGAATCTTGATTCAAATGTGTTGCTCAGTTGGTAGAGCACTGGTCTTTGAACCTAATGGTCGTGGTTTGATCCCACTATGACCCATGTCATCTGCTCCCTCTAATGTCACTGTCGTTGCGTTCCATGGGTAAGACGCAACCCCACATTTCCTGAAGCTCCCGCTGAAAGACTATGTCATCAATGACAGAGTCCTGTGGACCCACCACCTGCAGGAGGATCAGCGAGGGACTGGTGGCAGCTTTGATAGCCCCCTCCTTCATCCAGAAAGGGATTAATGAAGGGGATGAAAATAACATGACATGACATGACAAATTTGAATCTCTCAACCCCTAAAAATGAGATGTACAACTTATATTCATGCAAAATTGTTTGAAGCTCAATTCATCTGAATGTTTGCTATTGTAGGTCCACTCGGCCAATTCAATATAATATCTGCGAGAAGAAGCAATGTGTTAAAAATGGATTGATGCACCTTTGCTGAATGCAGTGTTCCGGGTTTATTTTTGCATGACGCCTGTCGCAAAGATGGCATCTGGCTACATTCAGATTGTTGTCTTCCCTCCCATTAGCCAGAGTTGACTGGAGTCTTGTTGACGTCTCGGCTATTCCTGTTTTAGTTTTGGAACTGAGTGGAAGGATGGCCAAAACACAGCTACAAACTCCACACAACACATAATCATTATTCCTGAACTTACAGAGATGCTCGTCTGTGAGCAGTTGTTGTCATGATGTTGTCATCTTATTATTTCTTTAGAAGGAGAGGCGAGGAGTGCCCAGGGGCACTTGGATGCAAAAAATTCTGGTTTTAATTTACCAACACGTTTCAACAAACAGTTTTCATCAGGGCTTATGAAGAATGCCCAGGTGCATGAAGAAAATTAGAAATAAAGGCCGCAGAGGAGACAGACTAAAAACAGAGCCTCAGAGCCGACCGGGTCCGTGTACGTCGCGGCCATTTACACAAGAAACACCAACATCGAAAAACCACGGCAAAAATTTGATTTTCCATTCTTGATCTTATTTTGAAGCTGACCCGGAAGCTGTTGAGGCTTTCCCGCACAGTCAGAGTTTTCCAGTTTTTTGAATGATAATGGAGATACCAGAGTTGGAGAAAACTTTTGTTTTGTATCGAGACAGCAAACGGGTTACTTTAAAAGATGTCGACATGACAGTGGATAAGATTGGCACCATTTTCCAGGTAAGTTTATAAATTTAAATAGCAAAACCTACTGTGTTTATGCTAGTGAACGGTTAGCCATCTAAAAAGGCTAATGGTGTTTCTTGTGTAAATGTGTAATGGAAAAACGGATTATGACCTGTTTTTCGTTATCCGTTTTTTAATTTTAAAACACAAAATCGAAAAACGGATTAAATTCTCGTTTTCTACATTTTATTTTGAAAACGGAAAACGGGAAACGGCCAATATTCGTTTTTTGTATTTTCTTTCCTAATCAAAAATAGAATGGCCGCGACGTACACGGACCCACCAGGGTCCGTGTACGTGCACGTGGGCGTTCTTCACAAGCCCTGATGAAAACTGTACATTGAAATGCGTTGGTAAATTACAGAATTATCTGCATCCTATTGCCTCTGACTTATTCTCTGAGACTAAGTCATATTAGTTCTTTATTTAAAGGTATAAAGAAGGATTTCCCCAAATTTTAGGAAAGAACTGCCCTTTCCTCTTTTTGAAAAAACTTTTCAACGCAACAAGTAATCCAATATGGCAGCGTGATTTGATGCCCACCTTTTTGAGAAAACTACCCACAATGCCGTACGGTCGAGCCGGAAGCTTGGAACTCTTGATGCATGTACACCTTTAACAGTTAAACTTGGCAGCATCAGAAGGACAGAGGTCTGATACAAACACAGCCAAACATATCAAACCCAAACTCACCTTTATAAGGAATTTTTTAACTTGTGGCTCAATACCTTCCACTGCAAGACCAGCATAATTAAAAACATGACTGTCCGGCACGGTGGCTGAGTGGATAGCACTCTCGCCTCTCAGCAAGAAGGTCCTGGGTTCGAATCCCGGTTGGACCAGGGCCTTTCTGAGTGGAGTTTGCATGTTCTCCCCGTGTCTGCGTAGGTTTCCTCCGGGTGCTCCGGTTTCCCCTACCACTAAAAATATGTACAATAGGTCTGGCATGTGCCTCCTGTACTGGCACCCCCACCCAACAATTGTAAACCGCTTTGAGACTCCAATGTGCAGTGAAAAGGCGGTATATAAATAAAGCTTACTACTTACTTACTTACTGTCCAGTTCCACAGGAATCCAGTTTCTGTCTCAAAGTGAGGGGAAAAAGCTCATATCTCCATAAACAAAGACATTATAGCAATTTAAACACTAGGATGACAGAGAGCATCCTGTCATCCTTAGCCATATTATTTAAGGCTAAAAATGGTGAGTGTGACACAAACAGTTTCTGAGTTAGAGAAGTTTACTTTTTCATGTAAGTCAATTGGAGCCAGAGAAAGTTGGCGCAAAACTTTCCCCTTGAGCACTTCCCTTTTGGGCTTTGTTGAGCTATCGAGTTTGTATTGTCCATCTATATAGTCTATTGTTTTTATTGTGATCTGTCAAATTGAATGTTATATTGTACATGAAATCTGTACCATTGTTTTTCTTTTTATGAAAATGGGCCTTATACTGATATAATAATTAATTAATGACTGTTTTTGATCGGAGGATTTTCTGATAACTCAAATGTCTCTTACTTTACTGTATTTTTTTACATGTGTTTCACTAACAAACCACCAGTGGACTCTGCAACTGTTCGAAGAAGACACATAAATGAAAATACAAGTGAACTATTTATGGGAATGATAAACTTTGAGAATGCATCATATTCTACTGTAGATGAACTGTTTAACTCTGTCACCTCTAGTGTTTTGAATGTTCTGGATACCGTTGCCCCTGTGAAGGTTAAAATAGTGAAAAATAAGCAGAAGGCGCCGTGGGCTAAAGCAGACTCGGTCAGGGCACAAAAGAGAAAGTGCCGGAGGGCCGAGCGGAAGTGGTGCAAGTCCAACCTCCAGGTTGATTACAGGATATTCAAGGATAAGTTGTGCGAGTTTAACTGGGTGCTACGTAGTACGAGAGAAAGGTATTTTTCTGAAATGATTGAAGGCTGCAGCAACAATCTGCGTGTTCTGTTCTCAACATTTAATGAGTTTAATAACATTTAAACTCATTGCATTTACTTCCAAACGTAAATGCAACAATGTTTTGCAAATGTTTTCAATGACAAGGTTCAAGGCATCAAAAACGCCATTGTCTCCAATCCACAGATAACAATCCAACAGCCAGAAAGGCTCTTTGAGCTAACTCACTTTGCACCTGTAGATGATAAAAATGTCCAAGAGATAATCTCCAGTCTGAGCTCCTCCACATGCAGCCTGGATGTACTACCCACTAGATTTCTGACGTCTGTTCTGAGCAGTCTGTTACCTTCACTCACACAGATAGTAAACATGTCCCTTCATTCTGGAATATTCCCAAAGGCCCTGAAAACTGCAGTCATCAGGCCCCTTCTAAAAAAGAGCAGTCTGGATGCTACGGTACTTAACAACTATCGTCCCATCTCAAATCTGCCATTTATGGGGAAAGTCCTTGAGAAAGTTGTCTACCTACAGCTTACTAGATTTCTTATAATCAACAACTCATTTGATATGTTTCAGTCCGGCTTTAGACCCCACCACAGCACTGAGGCCCTGTTTATACTGAGATGCTGCGCAGACGTTTCCAGGCTATTAACAGAAACGACCTGGCTCCTAATGCAAATTTCTCAGCGTTCACATGAGGTTGAAAAACGATGTAGTTCTAGCGCCCGGCCAGTAGTGGGCAGAGAAACTTTACAACACGACACACGACCCCGAGCCCCGTGCCAAGCCCCCCTCTCGGCAGTATACTCACTTCCTGTACCAGACCCTCAGAACGCACCAACATCATTCTGCATTTTAACAGCAGCTGTGAAAATGGAAACTGAACCTAGAGCTTCGCGTGGTCTCGTTTGGACGAACGAAGGAGTAGAATTATCCTCTGTCCCGCGCTGGAAGCCCACGAAGCTAGTTTGTGCGGGCATTGCCATTGTTGTTGATGTTTGTTCTCCGCTACTGCGCATGTACAAATTTACGTGCGGGGAGCAGCGCGGAGGTGGGGGTCAGAGCAGAGGGGGATTTCACACCTTTCTCCCTCTCGCGGGTGTGAAAAAGCTCCCTGCTGTGCAGCGTATCTGAGTTGTCCCACTCTGCAGGCTGGATCTGAACACTTACGTTTTCACCCCCCTGGAACACAGTCTTCGTATGAACGGTTGGTAGCAACCGACATCCAACTATACCGTTTTACTGCCACATTGTCTCCGTGTAAACTCAGCCTGAGACTGCTCTCGTCAAGGTTACAAATAATATCCGGCTAAACACTGACGCAGGCAAAGTCTTAATCTTAATCTTGTTAGATATAAGTGCTGCCTTTGACACTGTCGACCATGAGATCCTCTTACAGAGATTAGAGGACTGTGTTGGCGTCGCTGGCACCGCCCTAAGTTGGTTTAGGTCTTACCTTGAAGACAGGAAGTACTTTGTGGAGATTGAAAACTGTGTCTCAGATCATATGGCCCTGACCTGTGGAGTCCCACAGGGGTCGATCCTGGGACCTCTTCTGTTCAATCTCTACATGCTGCCGTTAGGTCAGTTAATACGCAGAAACGAAGTGTCCTATCACAACTATGCAGACGACACTCAGATCTATGTCTCACTGACTGCAGGAGAACATGGACCAGTGGACTCACTCCTTCACTGTATCCAACAGATCAGTGAGTGGATGCAAAACAACTTCCTTCAGCTAAACGCAGACAAAACTGAAATGATTGTTTTTGGTCCCCAGAAACAAAGAGAGAGCGTCATCTGTCACCTATAGTCTTTCTCCCTAAAACCTTCAAACAAGGTCAGAAATCTAGGGGTAATACTGGACTCAGACTTAACATTTAATAGCCACATTAAATCAGTAACATCAGCAGCTTTTTACCACCTAAAAAACATTGCCAGGATCAAAAACATAGTGTCTAGGGCAGACTTGGAGATTCTTATCCATGCATTTGTCTCCAGTAGGTTAGACTACTGCAATGGCCTGCTCACAGGTCTGTCCAAACAGGCTGTAAAACAGCTGCAGTACATTCAAAATGCAGCAGCTCGAGTCCTGACTAGAACCAGGAAGTACGACCACATTAATCCAGTTCTCAGGTCTCTGCACTGGCTTCCTGTGGCTCAGAGAATAGACTTTAAAACAGCTCTGCTTGTGTTCAAGTCTCTCCATGGCCTCGCACCAAAATATATTAGTGACATGTTAGTCCCATATGAACCAGCCCGGACTCTGAGGTGCACAGGGACTGGACTCCTGTTAGTGCCCAGAGTCAGGACTAAATATGGGGAGGCTGCTTTTCAGATTCATGCTGCTAAAATCTGGAACAGTCTTCCTGAAGATGTGAGACAGGCCTCCTCTCTGACAATGTTTAAAACCAGGTTAAAAACAATTCTGTTTAGCTGTGCATACAACTGAGGGATTTTATATTTTTATCTTTCTTTTTAATGTACTGTGATTATTTATGATTTTAACGCTTTCTTGTTTTGTTCAGCACTTTGAGTTGCCTTGTGTATGAATTGTGCTATACAAATAAACTTGCCTTGCCTTGCCTTTCAGCCTCCCAGAGCCAGAGCAGACAAAGCTGCCTCAGGACAGGCCGTCCCGTTGCACACAGTCCCCAGCCCTGCAGCGTCCTCTGAAGGTGTCAGAGGTGCTGCAGCTGCTCTGCACTGGAGGCCCCTCCCAAGTGTTCTATCTGAAAGAGGCCCCGGGGCCCGTTCGCAGGTGAGCAATGCATCAATAGCAATGGTGTAGGTTTGGTTCCAATCTTGGTGGGGACATTCACTACGACCTGAGTCTACACCCATTGACACGGGGTCCAGAGTTTCTCTCCCAGAATTTGTTGTGTAATCACACACTATATTTGCAATAGTGTGTTGCCTTCTATACTAAACTCAGCTGTAGACTGAATGAGAAGCAGAGTTTCCTATGTATGTTAACAGAAGATTAATCATCACAATTCATAATTTGCTATTACTTGTTCTCTTACTTACTTTCCAACTGTTAAAAAAGCTCCTGATATCTTTTATCTTTTTTTGTGGAGGTGCCATTTTTTCTAAATTATATAAGAAGGTATAGACAATCAAAAACACACATTCATATACATGAACTGCAGAATCATTTATATAACTTGGCCAATGTCAAAAGTTACATAGTATTTCTCAATACAATGAGTTAACAAGAGTTTGGCAATAAGTAACAGTGTGGATTTTTCTATATTTTCTTTTTTTTTATTCCATTCTCAACCCAAAAAGGCAAGTAATGACTCACAGGGCTCTCAAGTATGCAAAATAAAAACTTAAATGACCTGGTGTGGTGTGTTTTGCGCACAACCAGCATGCATCGTTAACGCAATGGAAAATTTAGGTATCCGAGCTTTAATTTCGGGAGCGCTGGTTGCGCTTTGGGAAGAGTCAGGGGAGAGACATGTCAGAGACACAGGGGAGAAACGGGGGAGATACGAGGGAGACATGGTTCTGTCCGCATATGGTCCGAGCTCGGTACCATGTTAGAGCTGTGCTTTCACTGAGCGCCGCGGCTGTCATTACAAAGCGGCAGCAGCTGCACCAGGACGTGCACATTCGAGTGCATCGCTTGAATGTGCTTAGAGCAGGGGTGCTCAATACGTCGATCGCGATCTACCAGTCGATCGCAAAGGTAGTATTGGTAGATCGCATTAAATAAATAAAAAATTACAAATTCTAAACTAATATATACAAAAAACTCCGGGCAAAGTGGAGATTTTTGAAAACTCCGTTAATGCATTTGTGTGTAGACAGAGATAACCAGAGTTTTGCGTTCTCGCACGCCACAGTACCCCCCTAAATTCCTCTGATCACTGAAGCATGGATCATACTACCTTAAAAACTGTTCGCTGTGAGATGCTCGCAGCAGCGAACATCCTCGCTCCACATCAGAGAGCAGCAAAGTGATCGCGGGGACTCACGCTCGAAAACAACCAAACCAGGACTAAACCAGGACTAAACCAGGACTAAACCAGGGCTGAGGACGGGGTCAGTGCTTGTAAACATACGTCTTTACTCTGAGTGTCTTCTATGACTGTAAAAGTGCCGTTACCGGCGGCTGCATCAAAGCTCCGCCCACTTCCGTGTTTTTCCCCAACGCAGGACAGGACGTAAGAGACGCACATGTTTGGAATGTTACGAATGTGATTGATAACGCAGATGTGTGGATGCAAATTATTTTATAAACTGAGGAGGGGAAATATTTGTATTTAAAAAAAAACAGGCATGGCACATGGACATGGCACCACAGTCAAATGACATCTGTGTTTTACTCAGTAATGTTTTACTGACACTTAGGTGACTGCACATGCGCAAACAACCGCGCTCAGTGCAGGAAAGCTAAACCACGACAAACTTGTCAGCGAGTTACCACCTATTTTCCGGACTATGCATCCCTGGCCGATTCAATTCAGTGAAAGTCATCAGAGTAAACTCGGGTAATGACAAAAAATGTACATAGGTAATTGTGTTGTGTTGTGCTATATTGGCTCATGCGGTTTTGCATGTACATAAACATACATTGTAGATATAAAGAATATTTTTTGAAATAAATATATGATTTGCATTTTTGTAGTAGGTAGATCATTTTGACTTGATCCTTTTATAAGTAGCTCGCATGCTGAAAAAGTGTGAGCACCCCTGGCTTAGAGCCAATAACAGCAAGTGCCCGCTGTCACACATTTCACAGAAATTACATTATCAGCAGATAAAGGTTGTAAATCGTGGATCCGTGGAATATTTTCATCCCTAGTTTATCCTGATTCACACAACACACCCACTTATACATTTTGGATAGTAAGAGCACAATAAGTATTTTTTCAGCCTTTCAACCAACCTGTTTCTTTATTGGAGCCAGTTCTGTTCTGTCTCTGTGCCGTGTGAGCTCCTCGGAACATTAAACAGTGCGCTGACAGATTAGAAATAACGTAAGTACTTTGAATGGTAATAGATCTACAGTACTTTCCTCTGATTACTCACGTGCTACAACGCTCAGGGAACGAAAAAAACGCTGGCTTCACGCTGGCTAACTTTTAAAAATTAAACAGTTGCTCAGTGCTTCATTTTGGCGCTGAAGAAGACAGCCAATCACTGCAGAGAACGGAACGGGTCACGTGCTGCTGCTGCTGCTGTTGCTCTGGAGGCGAGGAGGAGGCGCGACGTATGCACAAAAGGAAGACATGTGTCCCGGACCGTCCGGGTCACGGGACATCATGTCATTTTGGTGGGGACTTTTTAGTCCTCACCAAATATTGGTGGGGACATGTCCCCATGGTCCCCACGCAAACCTACGCCCTTGATCAATAGTAATAGTGAATGTTGTAAAGCAGCAGTATTTATATAGCTGAAAAATACTCAAAATCAAAGAGTATAATGCGTTAAGTCTGGCCCCTGAACATAATCCTTAGATTTGGTCATTTTGCATTCTATATTCTACATTATTCTATAATGTGAAATCATTCTTAATGTTAGGATTCTGCATTATTGTGACTGGGCTGAGCCTAGAAACTTGGAGTTCACAGAAAACAAGAAAACCAGGAAAAACTTCAGAGCTCCATGTTTAGGAGCTTTGAGGAAATATTCAAATTCATGCTAAAAACGAGGTTTGAAAAAAATTAGGGCTGTCAAACGATGAATTTTTTCTTGTTGATTAATCGCACAGTAATGGTGAGTTAACTCACGATTAATCACATTTTTAACATTCTATTTCAAATCCACTTCAATTGAAGTTAAATGAGATTATCAAATGTAATGACACATTGTCATTCAGACCAAATGTACCTAAATCTGTTAGATTTGCTCACAACATTTTGCTTTTGGGCACAACCAAAATGAGCTGTTAATGAAAGGGGGAAATTTACGTACCAAAGCTTATATTCAGCGAGCTTAGTTTAGTTTAGTTTCAGGAAAAGACAGGGACACTTTCGCGCTGTATTTGCGTGCACAGGTTGCAAAGAAACGAACACAACATGCAGAGAATAGTTCAGTGGCGTGTATGGTCTTATATGACCATGTTACCGCAGCGGCAACCAGAGTTCACAACAAACAACAGCCCCGCGGTGACGCGCATATTATTTTAAAACATGAATTCCCAGAGGGCCTACCTGCTCTGATGCATCTCACACGCAGCATTCTGAGTGATATTATGGATAAATGGGCGGGTCATTTGGGCATGCGTTAATGCGTTAAAAAAAATGTAACACGTTAATGAAAAATGTAGTTAACGTGAGTTAATGCGATAATTTTGACATCCCTAAAAAAAATACGATTTTTCCCGAGGGCTTGGCTAACTTTTCTAACGAACACCAAATTAGCGCACATCAGAAAAGTATGTGTCATGCATCACAGTGTAATATGCATGGAATGACAGGAAACAGCATTTTATACTTTTACTTCCATTATGATAATCATAATCTGTCCTGTCATAATCTTAACACTAGGGGGAGACAAATGGCAAGGAAGATGTGAAATTTGTCCTTCATTCTGGCTTAACTTTTCCTCAGCAATAATTTTACTGATCTCCAAAGGGGGCAGAGGTCAGGGGAGCGTGCTGCTGGTGGGTGCTTAACTACTTTATTGTCTTCTTTTCCTGCCATAAACCTGGTTAATGCTTCTTAAACTAAAGTATACACCTCAATTTGGTGTTTTGACAGATTCCTAAAGTTCAGTTAAGGTTGAACAGGTCCACTTCAACCCCCTACACCGATCTGGGGGCTCCTAGGACGTTGTGATACTGTTTAGTGACCAATAAACTTTGCAAAATGTGTGCCTTCAGCAGTCATGAGGACATTTAATCCACTCAGTGAAGTATGCATCACTGGTTTGCACATAATTATATATATATATAATTATATATATATATATATATATATATATACCTGGTGTCACTTTACCTACCTACTTATTATCCTGCACTATTTAACTGTACAGTATATAACTGCACTATACTACATATATATTTTGACTGGTATTGAAGCATTTTCAGCATCTACAGCTAGTTATGTTAGCTAAGAAACATAGCTACTACTTAATTGTATATATTGTGTGTGCTCCCTGTGTGCTCTTACTACTGTCCTATATGTGCGCTGCAACATCGAAATTTCCCCACTGTGGGACAAATAAAGGAATTCTTATCTTATTTTTGGCCTCTGTCAGTATTAGGGGTGTGACAATACTTCCTCCCGCGATTCGATTATTGATATGCATTTGCCAAGTATCGATATACATTTTGAAAAAAAAAATATATATATTTTTTTTTAAATTTTTTTTTTCAATTAGTATCAATACTTAATATATGGCTACATTATGGATCTCCATTCCATTTATCATAAAATAAAGTGTATTTTTTCACTTAACATTTTTCTTTTCTTTATGCCATAAATTGGCATATGGTATATTCTGACCAACATATCGATAATCGTCATATCGTGATAAAATTGTTATCGTGATATTATTGTTATCATGAGCTTTGTATCGTGTATCGTATCATATCGTGAGGTACCCTTAGGTTCCCACCCCTAGTCAGTATGCTTTCTATTCACTGTTGTCTATTAATTCATTGTGGTCTTTCAGTAAATAATCTTAAATAAAATGGTTATGTTTGGTCGTAACAGGACCAAATGTGCAAAACTTTATGCTGTATTATAACTTTGCAAGCCACTGTGAAAAGTCTATGATGACTTTTTTCAGACCGTACGAGCTGCAAGTGGTGGCGCCCTCAGAGGCTGGGGAGGAGCACTACATCTTCTGCCGCAGTGGTGTGATCCACATGACGCTTAGTGGATATGGCGGGATGAGCAGTCTCTCCCAGTGGTACAACGAGGCCGCCTCCTGGACCATCCTGCAGAACATCCCCTTTTTCAGACTCTTCAGGCTCAGGAAGGCCTTCTGCTGGTGAGGAGCTGCTGAACACCTGTCTTCAATAGATTTAGCACAAACCTGAATTAGATCTATTTTTACCTGCTGAAACTTCTGCAAATACACAGTTTAAATGTAATACTGCTTTAGACCTACTACAGAAACAGACCTGTTACAGACATACAGACTTGGTTTAGACCTACTATATAAGCCACGTTTTCAGTTTAATGTAGAAAAGTCTGATGACTGTAACTTTAGCTTGAGTGGTATATAATTCCACAGATGTGGGGGCTATACTGAGGCTCTTTTTCTCTCTGCAGCTTCAACTGACTGCAGCTTGAATTAGCACATTCTGTCCTTTTTTTTCACGTTTGAAATATCAATTTATCCCTTCATTTTCTTCCGCTCAATCCATTGCGGGGTCAGCAGGGCAGCAGTCTAAGCAGACTGCCCAGACTTCCTTCTCTGCACACTATTCCCCTTGCGCATCCGGGGAATCCAAGCCCCGCTTAGAGACTTAAAATTCTAAGCAATAAATGTAACAATGTAAAATAGAGATACAATTACTATTTACAACACATACAATTACTATTTACAACACAATACAGTGCAAATGGTGCACACAATGTAAGGTGACAGCAGTACAATGAGGTAAAGTGACGTACGATCAGCAGTAAAGTGACATTATGAAGGGCAGTATGAAGAGCAGTAGGGGGCTTCTAGAGGGCGGGGAGGTTAAGAGGTTTTCAAGAGTCCAACAGCAGAGGGGAAGAAACTGTTCTTGTGGCGGGAGGTTCTAGTCCTGATGGACCGCAGTCTCCTGCCTGAGGGGAGTGGTTGGAATAGTCCATGTGCAGGATGAGAGGGATCGGCTGTGATAGGACCAGCCCGGCCTCGAGCTCGGGCGACGTACAGGTCCTGCAGCGATGGAAGGCTGCGGCCGATCACTTCCTCTGCAGAGCGCACGATGCGCTGTAGTCTCTGTTTTTCCCTGACTGTGGCTCCAGCGAACCACACGGTGACGGAGGAGGTGAGGATGGACTCGATGATGGCCGTGTAGAACTGCACCAACATCTGTGCAGGCAGCTTGGCTTTCCTGAGCTGCCGCAGGAAGTACATCCTCTGCTGGGCCTTCTTGATGAGGGAGTTGATGGTCGGCTCCCACTTGAGGTCCTGGGTGATGGTGGTGCCCAGGAAACGGAATGACTCCACAGAAGTGATGGGGGAGTCCATCACGGAGGGTGGGGGCGGGGGGACAGAGCTCTTCCTGAAGTCCACAATCATCTCCACTGTCTTCCGGGCGTTCAGCTCCAGGTTGTTACCACTGCACCAGGACACCAGTCGGTCCACCTCCCTCCTGTAGGCGGACTCATCGTTGTTGGAGATGAGTCCAATGAGGGTGGTGTCGTCCGCGAACTTGATCAGCTTCACGGAGTTGTGGCTGGAGGTGCAGTGGTTGGTGTACAGGGAGAAGAGCAGGGGAGAGAGAACACAGCCCTGTGGGGCTCCTGTATTTATAATCCGAGACATTCTTCCCCAGACGCACTCGCTGCTTCCTGTCCGTCAGGAAGTCAGTGATCCACCTGCAGGTGGAGTCGGGCACGTTGAGCTGGGAGAGCTTGTCCTGGAGCAGGGATGGCAGGATGGTGTTGAAGGCAGAGCTGAAGTCCACGAACAGGACCCTGGCGTAGGTCCCCGGGGAGTCCAGGTGCTGTAGGATGTGGTGGAGGGCCAGGTTAATGGCGTCGTCTACACATCTGTTGGCTCTGTAGGCGAACTGCAGGGGGTCCAGGAGGGGGGAGGTGAGGGACTTGAGATGGGAGAGGATGGATGAACGAAGGAGTAGAACTGCTCCACGGTATTGCGCTCGACCAAGTTCTGATGATCCAAGATGGTACATTATTCAAATCAGTAGTGCATGTGCCACCATGGGCACTGAAAGATTAGTGGAACACCCAAATTTGGGTCCTCTCGGTTTTGCGCAGTGGACGAGATCCCATGATTCTTTGCGCCAAATACCCGTGTGTGGCTCTCATGCATGGCATGGCATGTCCTGACCAATCAGGTGTTGCTGATCAGAGCGGAGCTAGAGCGGGAGACAAACGAGCAGAGTTTGTGACACTAAAGTGTGGATTTTGTAAAAACACAAAGGATTTAAGAAGAGAAAAAGTCATCGCTTGGGCATTCGAAACAAATGCACAAGCCACTTCAACTGGCTCCTCTCAAAGTGGAGAAGCAACAGCTCTACTCCGAGCTCCTCCTCCTGATGTAACATAGGCTATTAAATCAATTTAATTTAATTCAAGAAATTTGCATGTATCTGTCTGTGTGTGTCTGTGAGTGTGTCAGGTGGAGGGCACGTGTGCGCTACTGCCGTTTCCTCCAGCTCAGTGAACACTTACAGAGCCTTCTGCTGACAGACAGCGCCCTCTATAGAGCAGCTCAGGCAGCACATGCCAGGTGAGTCCTGACACTGCACATGTACTCATGCTCTGACTCCACGTCTGGGAGTCTGTCTTATCTTTCAATATCCACTCATGCTTTTTGTCTCATGCAATATGAGATTTTCGATGTATTTCATATTTTGAGGCAAGCCATAATTTTCCGCTTTTCTGAAACATAATAATACCCAAGTGTATGCGTCATGTTAGTAACAGGAATATAGAAATATCTATTAAACACACATTCATTATTTATTAATATGTCTGGCCTGTTTTCTTTTTTCACTTTTTCACAGAGCTTGATCACCATATTTTCATCAAGCTCCGGTCAGAGTATTCTATTGTTTACTCACTTTTATCCCAGTGGGTTTTCAGAGTTTTCCTTGCCAATGCAGGAGGTTCTAAGAACAGTGATGATCCAGGAGACTTGACATTCAACAGCATTTATGGACATTCATAAATGGACAAATGTGTTTTTAAAAACAATTTGAATTTCTTTGGTTTGAATTGTTTGATCTGATCTGTGTTGGTGAATTCAAATGTTTACTACTGTTGTATACAAGAATAAATTTAATTTGATTGAAAAAATCTAACTCAGGAGTTATCTATCTCAACACAGTGAGTGCAAACACATCCTGACATCAGAAAGGACATATACTTGATTCATTTAAAACCTTAAAATTAATAATCTTTACCTATGTTTGTTTCACAATTCTCGCACTAATTTTGGTCTGTGAAATCAAACCACAATTTTCCATCAGTGAATTCTCACTGATAGCAAATTGTGGATATGCAGCGAAAATGTTTTGGCTGCCAATTCATCTATAGATGTTTGTAAAATCTATTTAATTGACCATGGGGAAAATTATTATTACAATAGACTTTAGATTGCATGTCTGAAAATCCTTCTGCAAGCATTTTCTAAACCTTTGTAATGCTTGATCAACATGTGATTCCAGGACTCTGGAGGAAGTCCAAGCCACTCCCTGGCTTCCACAGTCTGGGGCGTACAATCTGACTGGACTCATTGAAGCTCAACAGAATCACAGGGAACAATTTCAGCGTAAACTACGAGATTTATCCCAATCCTGCAGAGAAGTCCTTCAAACGGTACTCTACAACTATATAACTATACAACTATATTAAACTATAATAATCAATTCATCAACTTCTGTTTTGTGATTTCTTTTCCAAAAAGATATGCATTTTTTTTAATATTTAAATTATAACTTAATTGTCCTCGTAGTGAAATGTGTCCTCTGCATTTGACCCGGGAATAAAACAGCTCTCAAGTTGTGAGACTTGGATGCTTTTATACCACAGGCGCTGAAAGACGTCATGCTGCACTCCAGAGCCAATGGAGAGGCCAGGCACCGAATTCTAATGTAGTTCCACCAATAATGTAGGGAGGGCGCCACACAGGCAAAATCTAATTTGCACTTAAATGTAAAAAAAATAATGACCAGGACAAGTAGAGAGCACTATAAAAAACATATCTATAAAGTTTATGAGTTAAAAAAAGTGGATATTGTGTTCAGTTGTTTAAAATGGTTAAACTGTGGATAGCATTTACCAGGCCTGGTACAAAAATAACTGCTTGGTTTGTTTTTTAACCTTATGTATGTCATTAAAATGCGAGTTATAATGTTATGTAGGGCGACAGTAGCTCAGTTGGTAGAGCATTGGCCTTTAGGCCTGAAGGTCGTGGGTTTGATCCCATCTCGACACCTTCTCCACCGACTCCCACTGATGTCTGCTGTCGTTGTGTCCTTGGGCAAGACACTTAACCCCACTTTGCCTGAAGCCCCCGCTGAAAGATCAAGGCTATGCTCACACTTACAGAGTAGCCGTCCTCCTGTGGACTCACCCCCTGCAGGAGGATCAGTGAGGGGCTAGTGCTATGTGACTTAGATAGCATCTCTGACTGCCACCCCCCGACCCAGAAATGGATTAAGGGTGGATGGATGGATGATGTTAAGTTGTGTAGTTTATTAGTTTGGTGCTTATGCTTATTAGTTTGGTTCTGTGGCCTTGCTCTGTGAGGATTGATGCTCGAGTGCAGTATATGACTCCTCAGGGCTCAGACACTGGTGGTGGTAACAGGGCAAGGTGGGTGTGATCGTGCGATAGAATCCTAAGGCAGAGGTGGGGAAGAGGTGGTAGCGACTTGAAAGGCTGTTTGGTAAGCGATGTCCTGCTTTTAAGCGCTGGCTTGGTTGGCACGGCTGGCAGGGAGTTGATGAAGCTGATGTGAGGCTGAGGAAGAAAGGGGCCAGACTGGTGTGATGACGTGCGTGGGTAGTCTACCAGTCTGAAGTCCTGCTTCAGATGCATCAGACTTGCAAACTTCACACAGAAAGGCATGGAGGTTGAATCGAACCCAGGACCTTCTTGCTGTGCACCTTTCCATTCAATCTAACTGAAGTGCGCCACAGTGGCTGAGTGGACACTGGATAGCACTCTCACTTCTCAACAAGAAGGTCTTGGGTTTGAATTGCGGTCAGAACAGGGCCTTTTTGAGTGGAATTTGCATGTTTTCCCCGTGTCTGCGTGGTTTTCTCCAGGTGCTCCAGTTTTTTTTATCACTAAAAAACATGAACAATATATCTGGCATGCGCGAGTGGGAAACAGATGCCCACGATTGTAAACCGCTTTGTGACTCTGGTCTGTGAAAGCCGGTATACAAATAAAGATTACTTACTTACTAAGTGTTGTACATTTGTTAGTTTCACCAGCCTCATTATCAACCTAGGAACATGTTACTTATGTTCGTTTCTATTTTGTGTGAACATGCCCAAAATAATTATGAACTTGGAAAGGTTCTGACAGTGCCTATCGCTTCAGTTCAGTTCAAGTTGTTTTGTGTGTGTTTGCAGGTACAGCAGCAGAGCATGCAGTCCCTCCAACATCTGAAGCACCACATCCATCTGTCAGAGCAGGCCAGGTGTTTCAGTGGGCCCATGCACCTGCAGTGGAGGCACCAGAAGCAGCTCAGGAGAGAGCGCGCCCGAGCCCAGCGGGACGTCACCAGGCTCAGCTCTTTAGCCCGCCTGCTGCACTACATGACTGTGGAGACGCTGCTCTGTGTGCTCCAGACACACGTCCACACCTTTGCCCTGAGTGTAGTGCAGGTGACCACACCCTTTTTATAATTGACATTTGTCTTACTGTATGTAAGATGTACGTGATGATTCAAATCTATAGAAGTAATCCCCCCTTGTCCAAATCATTGCCAACTGGCAACATAAACAACAGTGCGCAATCGGGGCGCATGAATGGTTCTTAGCACAATGATTGACAACGAGATGTACACCAAGGAAATAACACAATATAATTCACAGTGTAAACAGAAGAAAAAATGAATAATGTTAGAATAATTAACTTTCAATATATAAAAGATTCAATGTTTTCTAAAAAATAAAGACAGAAAGCAGTGGTTCATTCAAAAAGTTGTTTTTACTAGACTATTTCTGTTGGGACAAACAAATGTAAAAAATCCATTAACTTAATGGCCTAGTGACTTGTGACTAGCATCTCGATGTAAAAAGTGGATGTTTTTGGTATTACAGCCTTAAAACAACTTCAGCAGACTCGGAATAGATGCTGAAGAGGTGTCTATACCTCGGCGGATGCAATAAGCCACATTACTGTTACCATCGACACATTTTGTGGCAGTTACTGCTTCCACACCTGTTAGAAGAACTGGAGAAGGGACTGTTTAAAGGGAAGTTTGTTGCTAAGTTCCTCTGCCACAGCAGTGATGCATCATTATTATTACAGCTGGGATTGTGTCACAGCAGAAGACATTTTTTTGTTAGTAAAAAGACACAACCAGGGTTTTGCAGCAGGCACATGGCTTTATAGCAGAAAAAACAGACACTCAGCATCTGCGATGGTGCCAATAGTTATGTTACCTTCGGCCTTGAGATAACCCAAACATTAAATGGATAATCACTGACTTTCATGTATTTTTCATTTACATATTAATTCCAAAAACCAGCATTAACAATTTACACCAGATTAATATAATAAATTCACAATGTTTGGAAAGGGGGTTGGCTGAAGCAAATGCTTGTATATTTCCAACCCCTCCATTGCACTCCAAACTCATTCAGACAGGACATATTTAAACACACACACACACACGTTTTCGTTACCTGGTGGGTCCCTTTGACAGGGCCGTTCAGAATGGGATCCATAGACATAATCTTTTTTACTGGGACTACTTTAAGTAATACAAAACAGTCAATGGAAACAAACAACTCTTTTAAAGGAATTTTATTTTTTATTTATTTTTCGAATTGCAGTGATTCTATTTTTGACATAGAATTTAATGCCACTCCATGTCCGATGTCTAAGGTCATCTGGTGAGGCATTAATGCAGGCCAGGCAGTGAGACTTCCCAGGGACTTTTCCAGTCTGTATGAAAGGTCTTCTCCACAGCCTTCACCTCAGATGCAGACCATGGCTTTCTTACACGTTCTAGGGAGAGAAATAAAAATATATTAGCAATATACACTCCCAGGGTTAGGACCAAGCAGCCTGGCTGTAATCCCCCACCTGGTACACTTACCAGAAGGGGCACTGCCACTACCATGGGGTGCATCTGGATGAATGGTTGAAGGTTGTCCGCTTGAAGTTTCTTTTAGCCCGTCCGTTTGTGAGAGGATCTCTACTGCTCTCCCTGTAGCACAGAAAATAAAAATACAAGTGGCCTTTAGGGGAAAAATAATAATACATATTTTAATAATATCAAGAATTACCTTCAGGCTCAATTTGTTTCTGGTCGAGGGTCTTTCCTTTGAATTCCGTCACTCTTCCCTGCTCCATGGCCATTAACACTTTGCTGATTTTGGCCAGCTCCAGTGTCCCCTCTGGTAGTCTGTAATATTGTCTGTGGATGCGAATATCATGGCCGAGGAAGTTGGCTAGTATGTCCATTTCATTCTCTTTCATATTGAGAACTGAAGACATAGTAGCTATGTGCTTTCTAAGTTTGGTTGAGGATAGCATCTCTGGATGCACCGCACCACATTCTTTGGCTACCTGCCGTAGGGAGTCTGATCCCCTGATGTGGGTGTCTGCGCCCGGGCGGGAGAAGAAGTATGGGTTATGGTCAGAGATGGAACAGGCCCTTCTGTTCTCCACCAGCACCTCCATCGAAGCAATCATTTCAGGAGTCAAAAGAACAGGCACTTTCCGACTTCTTTTCCCTTTAATTTCAATGCGTTGAAAATGCTGACACAGATTTTTCTCAAGTTCGGACAGTCCCAGAGCAATGTCAGAATGGATCCCAGTCTTACTTCTTAAGGTAAAGGCTGTCAGTGGCATCTTTGAAACCTCACCTTCCCTTCTTCGATTGAAAATAATGACCTCACAAAGAGTCAAAACTGCCAGTTTAGACCAATGCTTAGACGTTGGCTCACTTATTAGGGTTTGCACATATTCAGGTCGACATACCTCAATATGTGCATGCATGGCTCTAACGTCCTCAGTCAGAGGGAGCAGGTCCGGAGTGTTCCACTTGGCTTGCCGGAGGGTCTGTAGGGCAGCAGAAGAAACACAGACGTCCCAACTCTTCTCAAAAAGCAGCCGGCTTCGTTGGAGGTTTTTAATAAATAGTTCATCATCACAATGCTCCATTTTTGAGTCACATTCAAGAATATCTGCTAGCTTTCTGAGGCTATGGCCGAGTTTGAGGGCCAAAGATGGAGTCTTGTATTGATTTGTTTCCTCATCATATCCAGCCACAGACCTGACTGCGTCAATCACATGGTTAAAGTTGGAAGGAATAAAGAAATCCTTAATTGTTTTCAGTTTCCCTGCCGTTTTTGCTTCGTTAATTAACCTACCCACTTCTCTGATTTTCTGCCTAATGTAATCATGCTTAGTCTTATCATGCCAGTTAAATCCAGTGCAAAAACTCACTGGATTTAACTGGGGAATTTGGCTGTTTTGCTGGGACTAAAGTTCCAATGCCGGCCTTTAAAACCTCAAAATTGTGCTCACGGTTTCCACTATTCCTGATCAAATCAAACGGAAGTTTACGTGCTTTAGATTTCACAGGTAGAGCCAATGCTCTGGCTACGTCACTTTCATTTCCATGTTTTCTAGACAAATGACGGGACATTTTGTGGCAGGACATTGAACAGTAGAGGCAGAAGTGCCTCTTGCTGTAAACTCTCCCCCCATTTTTCTTCTTTTGCAGCTGCATGATAACAATCTTATTTGCCTTTGGTTCGTCACTTTCCGAGTCTTGAAGAAAAGTGTTTTTGATTTTTCTTTTACATACTTTTTTACAGGTTTCTTCTTGACAGTTAAATCGTCAGAATCTGAGTCGACTTCATCAATTAGGGACTCTTGACTAAGCTGCACAAACAACAAATAATTTGTAATAATTCAATATAACAATTTGAAGTCATGACTTGTAGTCAGCACTTACCAGTGGTTTGTAAGCGTGCGCTTCAGTGTGCTCCTCCATGATTTCTTGCAGCCTAATGAACCACACACTTGCACCTTTTCTAGCCTGACACCTGACTTCCTCTGTTGTGCTGCTCCATGATTGGCTCCAGCCTGCTGGACTGAAATTGCCCCACCCCTCCTTGATATCCGCAACCACCACAGGGTTTCCGACACATAACACACTTTTTTCAGGAAAGTAAACCTCCAGGGGTCCTTTCCATATTTTTGCAGAGACTGCATAAGGACCGTTAGAAAAGCATTACCCATTGATTATTAAGCTTGGACCAGTGGGGTCCGGTGTTCGGGCCCCACCACGTAAAACCAGTCCCCATGACGTGAGCGGAATCTCAGGTTATGGATTGGAACCCACCAGGAGTTGAAAACAAGTGCGCACACACACACACACACACACACACACACACACACACACACACACACACACACACACACACACACACACAAAATCCTCACTCCACAAATTATCTGAGCCAAATTGGGTCATACAGTTTGAGTTTTTGATTTGCAATGAACATGGGAATAGAAGGGTGTCTGTACTGGACGTTAGACACAATCCTCAGGGCTTTCTTTTGCAAAACAACTAAGGGCTGCAAGTGAGATTTATAACAATTCCCCCACACCTCAACACAATAGTTAAAACAAGACATAATGAATGAGCATTGGTATTGTGGTAAATAATTTAACTGGGTTTCCCTCCCGCACAAACCAGTGATTAGTTAATGGAAGCTCAGACTCTACTTAGATAAAAAAGAAGGTTTAAAGCTGGACTAACTGACTTTATTTTTGTATTCATTACGAAAGTGCTATCCATGTCCATGTAGTGCATTGGGTTGTACGTCCTTTTGAAGAAAAAGTAGCGCAGATTTGTGCTGGCGTGACATTATATTTTAGATCGAGTTTTGATGATGGAAGGGATGTGTTTCGGGTTGCAGATTGTGACCAATCACAGTGGACCACAGGCCCCCACTTTCGTGAGAAATCTACAGGTCCCTGTTAGCATAGACAGCTGAGTTAGCACAACAAGCCGAGGAGCTAACCTGAAACTTCGTGTGTCTTCGTCACCGGTTACTGCTTACACAGCAAAACAGCCATCCAAAAGAAAGTCCCGTTCCTCTGCGCTTCCCGGTTCTATCGTTCTATGGTCACGCCATCCAAGTGCAAATCCATGTCCATGTATTATCCATATTGGGAGAGGCTAGTTCCGTCCCAACAGTGGGTGTGTGTGGGGGGAGATAGCTTCGTGGGTGCAGGGAGGGGAGCAGAGAGAGAGAGGCCAGTGGGTCCGCGGCTTCAAAATCCCAAAGTCAGTTAGTGCAGCTTTGATGTATATAAGCAGAATACAGAAAAATTACAGACTAACCTAGCCTGGGTCCTGCTAAATGGAATTGCAGAAAAGACCAAGAATGAAGCAGATGCTGCTCCTTATAGTAATAGAGGAGTGTCATGGGTTGGTCAAGTCACTGGATGTCATAAACAGATGTCATTCAATAATCTTGTTGACTAGTCCTGGTTAAACTCCATATGTCTGAGTCTGTCTTCCCTGAGAGTCTCTCTACAGGCTCTTCTTGTCCTTCCAGATGACCCCAGAGAAGAGTCAGTAGAGTCAGCTGTCTCTGCAATTGGGCCCATGTCCCCAACACAATTTTATACATATGAAGATACATAAATATAATAGAAGTTATAATAGCAGACACGACAGTATTAATATACAGTAAATGGCTTAATCTTGTCAACATTCCAACACAGACTTCAGCAGACTGTCATAGATACAAGTTCAGCTTTAACCAGAGTTGTATCTAAATAGTCATTAAAGATCTGTCTAAGGTCATCTAGAATGTATAAATAAAGTGAGGTAAACCAGCTGAAACATATACTTTTAAACACGGTCCCTGTTGTTCTTCGCAGACGCAGTCCCTGGTCTTCCACACACAGCTGAGCGTCAGGACACATGGGCATCTGCGAGTGGAGCCAGAACTGCACTGCTTCTCTCAGCTCCTCAGAGATCTGCTAAGCCCCACTTACTTCCACCAACAGGCATGAGTCCGGCACACACACGAAACTACACTATTTTGTGATTATGGCATGTATAACCAAAAAATCATCAGAATATTTTCATCCTTATTAAAGTCACAAAACATGCCGAAAATATTACATAATCAATCTTTTAAAGTGTGTGATTTTGTTGCAGGTGTGTGACACGTGCGGCATCTTTGATGAGACCTCAGCCCAGGACCGGTTCTCCAGCAAAGCCTTAGACCTCAGCAAACTGTCCACCACGTGTAAGCTCAAGTGTTAAATTATGGCCCACGGGTTTTAAATTCTAGGCTGATTCTGTAAAATTGCCTTGTTTATCAGTTTTGTGCTATCAGTTTGGCCCACATTCTCATATCCTGATTGGACCTTTCAGCCGCTGTAATATATTAACTGTTGCAACTATTTACTGGCTAAAATTGACCCTGAACACAAATTGTATTCAAAAAAGTTGTTCGAAAGTTACCTCCATGATAATTAACAGTAAAACACACAACTGAAACCATTTTGTTATAAAGTAGCTGAGAATTGAGTGGGAAATATTTTCAAACAAATCATCAAAGTGAGCTCTTTGAGATTCTCTTATACATTTCTTGATACAGAAAATTAAAACCGTGGTATAGTTTAAGTATAGATGTGAAAGGGTGTAAAAAATAAAGGACATCTATCTCTGCATAGCGAAAGGTTAGATGATTAGACATATGGCTGGTCTATTAGGTGCACAGACATGTATATACTGTATATATATGATTGTATGTATTTTTCCTCCCATCCAGTCAGCCCAGAAAGTATGCGCCACTCTGTTCAGGAGTTCTGCTGCTGTCAGTTAGTCCAGCGCCAGCAGAGCCCTGATTTGATGCAGCAGTTTCAGACCACAGGAAATCCTGGGGCCTGTGGATTGCCTGAGGCCCCCGGGCAGATCCAGAGCTTGAACAGAGAGCTGCTAGAGTGGACTCTGAGCATGTGTGACCTGTCCAAGGCTGTGGGGGCAGCTGAACGGTTCATGCAGGTAACAAATGCAACTTGTATTCATATAATAATCATGACCGGCCTTAACCATTTATTGGTTTCCTCAACTATTTGGTAGATCACTTTTGAGTCATTTTATCTACTGATATATACCTCTTTGGGGCATCTGACTTGGTTTAGGCACTTTTACCATCAAACTGCATCTTAACGGTTTGGTAAAAAAAACAAAAATCAAATTATTTGTGTTACTAGTGCACCTACAGCTTAGAGGGGAAAAAAACATTGCTTTCTTCAAAAACTGAAGTTTTCTTCTCTTATCTCCAGGTTTGTGGTAGAGTGCATGCACACAGAGTATGTAGTGAACACAGCCTCTCAACTAACAACACAGTTTAACTGCCATAACTTTCTCCACATAACTTTTCCTCAGTTATGAACAATGACCTTGTAAGTAAGTAAGTAATGTATATTTATATAGCACATTTTACAGACCAAGGTCAGCCAAAGCGCAGAGTTCAGATATTGTTTCATTCATTCCACAGAAGCGAATCACCGAACACACTAGACCATCAGCTCCAATCAACACCATCCATTCACTCTCGTTTACATTCATACCTATTGTGCATGTTTTTAGTGGTAGAGGAAACCGGAGCACCCGGAGGAAACCTACACAGACACGGGGAGAACATGCAAACTCCACTCAGAAAGGCCTTTTTCCGACCGGGTTGCGAACCCAGGACCTTCTTGCTGAGAAGTGAGAGTGCTATCCACTCAGCTACCGTGCCGAGTGGATAGCACTAAACCGAACAGCACCTTAACATTGGAGATGAATAGAACGGTCAATGGTCTTCATTTAACTTGAGCACAAAACAGAATAATGCTGCAAGTGAATGAAAGGTAACACATTCACAAAAGGAGCGGCAGTATATGACCTGTTACTTTCTTTTAGTCATCATATGTGAGTACTCTCATAGACACGGAATAAACAGTGTAAGACTGTTTTTGCACCTGCTAATTCATCTCTGACAGAAATTTTGCAACAGAAATAATGCTCATAATGCTAAAGTTTAAGTTTAATTTAGGGCTGGGCGATATGGCAAAAAAGTAAAATCTCGATTTTATTTCCTGCTTTGGAAGATTTCGATTTTAAATCAATTTTCATTAAAGTCACTCAAGACAAACTTTGCCCTTAAAATATTTTATCTTCCAGCTCAATATTCAAGTTTCAAAACAATTTTTTATTTGTTTCCTCCAATACATATGATAAAAGTCTTGTACAGACTGTGCTGATATTGCAAGTATAATTGATGTGCTGCTGGAACTCTCACAATATCCTTCATTCGATTTAACAATTTTCACATTTTTCACGAATTCAATTTTTTCAAAAGCCGATTAATTGCCAACATTTGATTTATTGCCCAGGCCTAGTTTAATTTAGTAAGAACAATGTGCAGTTGCATTAAAAAAGATGGCTACACCACATTTAGCACCATGCTACTTCCTATGGTCCTTGACGATACAATTACATCACTTTCGAAGTGCAAAGTGTGTGTATAAAGGATCCTCTCAAGTATTTATTTATTCACTAATTTTTTATAGTATTTCAGTGCAATGAAAACACTTGTATTTAAGAGATCCTTTATTCTACATTTCTCCACTGTAGGGAAATGTCAGTGTGGCTTCACCAGTTAAGGACCATTTGGAATGAGGAGCACCAATAACTCAATACTAAAATGAACTTAAATCTTCAACTTTATCTTAACAAAAAAGCTAGGATTTAGTATAAAATAATAATAATAAAAAACATTTATAGTTTGCCCTAGTAGTTTAGCCAGTGGGGAATTACTTTGAGTAGATCTGACTCCAACTGTTCTCTATTGCTGTTTTGTCCATGCCCTGTAGGAGGAGTCGGACCTGGATTGGCTCTATGATAAGTATTCCTGGCTGCTGAAGGTGCGTGAGTTTGTGGAGAGCTGGGGCCCAGCGCTGAGTGTGGATCCCAGGGGCCCGTGTGTCGGGGCTTATGAGGAGCACATTGTTAAAGTCCAAAAGTGGCTCAGCTGGCTCCGCTCTGTTCCCCCGTCTGTGAGCAGCACCAGGCAGCTGTTTGTCATCTGCTGTACAGAAGTCACACAGGAGCTCGGTACACCTCTTTTATCACTGATTAGGGCGGCGTACATAATAGAGTATTGTTATCATTAGCAGCTATGCTTGTGTACAAGTCTCTCCATGGCCTCGCAAACTGAAGCACATTGGTGACGTGACTAGCCTCCTGCTGGGACTCTGAGTAGCACAGGGACTGGTCTCCTGCTGATGCCCGGAGTCAGGACGAATCATGGCGAGGCAGCATTTCACAATTATGCAGCAAAAAGAAAATCATAACCGCAGTTGTATATACAATCAATACTTTTACTGTATAGAGCTCAAAAGGAGCAAGCAGAAGTAAAGAAATACTTACAGGTGCTTGCCCCATAATTACCAAAAAAACAACTGCTGATTACATTAATAAACATGAATCATACTGAATCATAGATAACAGTTCATAGAATAAATCAATAACAGCAATAATTTACAAGTATCAATCAAGTTTCATTCTTTGATGCATATTTTTCTGTGCACACTCGCATACACACCTCATGTGTGCTTGTGCCTGCACATAGACTCTGTGTGTGTGTTAAAACAGTTCTGCTTGTATCTTCACTCTTTTAATGTACTGTGATTATTTATGGTTTTAATGCCTTGTTTTCTTGTTTTATTAATCACTTTGTTAAACACTTTGTATTTGCCAAAATAAACTCAAAACGTGCGTCATCGTTTGTTCTGTACTTTCTCCCTCTCTTTCAGAAGAACGGCTCAAAGTTATATCTGAAGAGCTTTTAATAAATGCGGTGGAACAAGTGCGAGTGTCTTCAGAGACGCTGCTATCGGAGCTGGAGCGGCTTGTCGCAGACCTGCTTCCCACTCCCCAGGACTTTACATGCTACACTGTCAAGGTACGAAAAAACAAGGGGAAGGACCAGGCTTCACGTAACAGCACCACATGTTGGAAAGCGAATGCTCTTGATCACTCTAGTCTCAGTATACATGCAGACTCAGACCACTCTTGTCTCAGTATACATGCAGACTCAGACCACTCTAGTCTCAGTATACATGCAGACTCAGACCACTCTAGTCTCAGTATACATGCAGACTCAGACCACTCTAGTCTCAGTATACATGCAGACTCAGACCACTCTAGTCTCAGTATACATGCAGACTCAGACCACTCTAGTCTCAGTATACATGCAGACTCAGACCACTCTAGTCTCAGTATACATGCAGACTCAGACCACTCTAGTCTCAGTATACATGCAGACTCGGACCACCCTTGTCTCAGTATACATGCAGACTCGGACCACCCTTGTCTCAGTATACATGCAGACTCGGACCACTCTAGTCTCAGTATACATGCAGACTCAGACCACTCTAGTCTCAGTATACATGCAGACTCAGACCACTCTAGTCTCAGTATACATGCAGACTCAGACCACTCTAGTCTCAGTATACATGCAGACTCGGACCACCCTTGTCTCAGTATACATGCAGACTCGGACCACCCTTGTCTCAGTATACATGCAGACTCGGACCACTCTAGTCTCAGTATACATGCAGACTCAGACCAGTCTAGTCTCAGTATACATGCAGACTCAGACCACTCTAGTCTCAGTATACATGCAGACTCAGACCACTCTAGTCTCAGTATACATGCAGACTCGGACCACTCTAGTCTCAGTATACATGCAGACTCAGACCACTCTAGTCTCAGTATACATGCAGACTCGGACCACCCTTGTCTCAGTATACATGCAGACTCGGACCACCCTTGTCTCAGTATACATGCAGACTCGGACCACTCTAGTCTCAGTATACATGCAGACTCAGACCACTCTAGTCTCAGTATACATGCAGACTCAGACCACTCTAGTCTCAGTATACATGCAGACTCAGACCACTCTAGTCTCAGTATACATGCAGACTCGGACCACCCTTGTCTCAGTATACATGCAGACTCGGACCACCCTTGTCTCAGTATACATGCAGACTCGGACCACTCTAGTCTCAGTATACATGCAGACTCAGACCAGTCTAGTCTCAGTATACATGCAGACTCAGACCACTCTAGTCTCAGTATACATGCAGACTCAGACCACTCTAGTCTCAGTATACATGCAGACTCAGACCATTCGCTCTCCAACTTTGAATCTGTACTTTCAAATAAAGCCTTCCATCCATCCATTTTCTTCCCCTTTATCCATTACGGGATGGGGGGCTAGCAATCAGCTCCCTCCCAATTCACAAAGCACCAGCCCCTCATTGTCCCCCCTGCAGGTGGTGAGTCCACAGGAGGGTGGCTTCTCTGTCTGTGAGAGAATATAGCCTTTATCTATCAGCGGGGGCTTAAGGCAAAGTGGGGTTAAATGTCTTGCCCATGGACACTACGACAGCAGACATCAGTGGGAGTTGGTGGAGAAGGTCTTGTGGTGGGCTCAACCCACAACCTTCGAGCTCAAAGGCCAATGCTCTACCAACTGAGCCATTGTCAAATAAAAATATAATTCTACAAAGGAGAGATAAAAACACGGTTGAAATGATCACGATGGTTGTTTTAGAATGTGTGTGTGTGTGTGTGTGTGTGTGTGTGTGTGTGTGTGTGGCCGCTCAGGTAAAGCAGGGGTTTTCCCTTTGGCCTGACCTGAAGCAGAGGCTGGAGGACACACGCTCCGTCCAGAACATCATAGTGATCCACTACCGAGACGTGACCGCAGAGGAACACAAGCTGAGTGAGCAGGTCAGGTCAAACACAGTTTACTTGATACTAACTCGACATATTGTGCTACTATCTGCTGTAAAGTTGATAATGGGACACCTATATTAATATTTATTTATATAACATTTGAAATCTGAACATTGACCTAAAACTATGTAGTAAAAGAAATGAGTCTGCACATTCAATCTTGTTTGCATTGGGCTTTGCTCCTCTACTAAACATTTAAAAGTTTTTTGGTGTTCACTGTCAAATCATCACTGTATAACAGATTCAGAAATATAATGTTTTTTTGTGCCATATTCTAATTGTTTTTTGCGATTTTGTAACAATGGATCATTGTTTTTTCAATTTACCACTTAATTTAAAGACACTGTAAATACTATGAACTTCAAGTAATTTATAACTGATATGTTTTTGACAGTGAATTTGTCTTCTGTTTTTGAAATGTTCTTTGCTCCAAAAATATTTTTGTTCTAGTTTTCACACTTTTATGTTTGGCCTCTGTTACATCGTTGGATCAGCTTTTTCAGACAGATACTGCAAATTAAAAATCCAGGACTTGCGTCACTCAACCAATCAGCTCTCAGCCCAAAGAGTCAAATTGTGACTCAAAGTGCTCTTGAAATGAGTATAAGTTGACATATAAGGTGTTCAATAAGGTGAAGACAGCATGTCATGGTCTTATTGTTTAAGGCACCCCTTCTTCATGACCTCGTCTGTCCTCTCTGTTTCCTCACATGACTTTGACATTGTCCTCTGGTGCAGATGGAGCGTGTATGGAGTCGATTCCTGGAGCTCCTGCAGCAGGCTGAAGACGCAGTGTGTCGGGGTCTTCCTGTCCACGCCCACACTCTGAATCTGGTCTTCTCGTTCTGCTACTCGGACCTCGCTCGCATGGTGTCCCGGCTCTCAGATGGAGTCTTCCTGGAGCCCACCCAGGACCCTGCTGAGATATGCTCCACGCTGAAGGTGCTGTGGAGGCACGTGCAGATGCGACGGGGCAGACTGGAGCAGCTTACGGCCAAATGTGACCTCCTCCAAGGTGAAGCTTCTCTCGGGCTGCCAGAATCTTTATGGATAATTTTCTCATTAGGGGCACATAATTAGATTTCTGACGTCCATGGCCACATTCTCCAGTTTAATGCAGCTGATTTCTGGATTCTATCACAAGTCTATACTGATTATCAATTAGAAAATACTCTGCTAACAACTTCTCTAGCACTTTCCCTATTGAACAATTTTGGAACTGGAGAGAAAGGTCATGGTCAAAATATTGTTGTTTGACCTTGTTGACCGTTTAACATCCTTTTTACGGTTATTTATACGGTATGCGGAAGCACTAACTGTAGAGAATCAGGATGCATGCAGTTTCAGCAATAAAGGTAAGGCGCAATAGTCTACTGTACATTACAAGAGAGTAATAAATATGTTTCGGCGACATGGTGGCTGTGAGTGAATAGCATTCTCACTTCTCAGCAAGACGGTCCTGGGTTCGAATCCCCGCCTTTCTGAGTGGAGTTTTCATGTATTCCCTGTGTCTGCTCCGGTTTCCTCCGGGTGCTCCGGTTTCCACTACCACTAAAACCATGCACAATCGGAGGTGTTGATTGGAGGCTTTGATGCACCAGTGTGTTCGGCGCCTCGCAGACCGGCCCTTCGGGCATTGCCCGGTACGCCCAATGGCCAGTCCAGCCTTGGGCATAGTTGAGATTAAAGAGGCTCTTTTGACTTTCACAGTATCATGACAACACTAATCATTCTAAATAGTACTATATTTGTGGCCATACTTGCATGCGGAATCCAGATCCAATCAGACCTCTGATGCAAAAACTGTCGTTCTGTCCTTAGGCAAGACACTTCACCCACATTGCCTAGAATGAGTCTGGTGTGGGTCAGAGGGGCCAATGGCACATACTGGTTGCCTTGCTTCTGTTAGTGTGGCCCAGGGCAGCTGTGGCTACAGTAGTAGTTTATCACCACTATGTATAGAGTGATAAATAATGACATGTGAAGCGTCTTTGAGTGTCCTGAAAAGCGCTATATGAAAACTCATATATATTATTTAAGGATTTTTTTTTATTCCAAATGTTAGCGCAATAAGTATCACGATTGGTAGAATACAGGTGATTTGCTTACGCACCAGTGACATTAAAAAAGCTCTTGTTGTTTCAGCAGAGACGCCCAAAGATCTGAGCCTCCTGATCCTAGAGATCCAGCAGGCTGAAGCCAGGAAGCAGGTGTGGGAAACCCTGGCTGCTTGTGCAGAATGGAGGGAAGTGTGTTCCACTGTGCTCTTTTCTGAGGTAAGAATATTCAACATCTAACTAGCAGTGTTGGTCAAGTTTCAAAAAAGTAATATTTTCCCCATGGACTCAACTCTACACTTTTTTTTTTTAATCTGTAAATCTCTACAGTTACAGCAGTGCTTCTCAGTTATTTTCTGCCATGAGTTTATTTGTCTCTGAGCCTGAATTTCAAAGCCACAGTGCATTGAATCACCAATCATCAGAAATATGGTCAATATAAAGTGACTGTTTACTGTGTAAATGAGGAGATTCTCCTGGTTTCTTTCCTGGTTGGAGCGTTCTGAACTATGGGGGTTGATCTGACAAACGCAGGCAGACAAGATGATATCCACAGCACACTTTCAGAGGTCATGCAAAAGTGCGAGTGGTGGATCTGGGACTGACCTGAGCAGAACTCACACTGAGGATGTGCAATCCTGTTCTAGAGGGTCTACCCCACTATTTTAGAAGGACTGGTTGCCAAGCTTTGCTTCTCCACGCACACTTCCTCCTGCTCATCTTGAAGTGATCCCAGGCCAGCGCAGAGCAATGTCCCTCCAGCCTGTCTTCCCCAGAGCCTCCTCCCAGTGGGACATCCTATACAGTTTCTTCCTCTCACCACCTCAGCTGGCTTCTCTTATGTGGGGCAACAGAAGCTCTTGTTTAATCTCCTGTTTGACAGAGCTTCTCTGCCTCTCTCATCTCTCTAGGAGCAATACCATTTCTCAAATCTCTATTTCTCTATTTCTCTCTATTCCGAAGCGCATTTCTTTTTAACATTCATGTTGAGATGATAAATAAATGTATAACATTTTACATTTATATTAATATGTGTACAATAAACCCTGATTAATTGTTTTCCCAACTATTGAATATAAATTATGTCATGTCTGTCAGTTGAATGCACTATGTAAGTTAAGATGAGAAATGAGTGAATTGAATAAAACATGTTTGTACTCATCAGCAATGCTCCCATTGAGTTTGGACGCTCCCACCATCTGAAAAGTATGACCTTATTCAATCCCAGAGTCTACAGTTTCCTTTGGTCTGTGCAGATGGATGTGGTCCAGACCCAGAGGGTGCTAGAGGAGCAGAGTGGAGCTGTCCAGTATGCACACCATGAACTGCCTCTGGCTGACAGTGTTCTACAAAGGGCTGTCAATGAGCTCCAACAACAGCGCCACCAACTGGAGGTCCTGAGCACACTGAAGAATTCCCACCTCAAGTACAAGCACTGGAAGGCCGTCCTGCGAGGTTCAGCAGAGTGCACTTTATGGCTGCATCCCAATATCCACACTATTCCTATTGAGCTATTAGGGTCACACCATTTTAGAAATGACTAAATTATAGAGAAGCATAGGGAGTGCGGCATGGATGTAAACATGTGAGATTGAAGCCAGCCAGTTGCTCCTCAGAGGTGGTTTTTTTTTTTTTTATTTAACCTTTATTTAACCAGGAAAGTCCCATTGAGATTAAAAACCTCTTTTTCAAGGGAGTCCTGGCCAAGAGGCAGCAAAATATACAGTTTAAGAATTACATACACATTACATACTCATTATAAAAAACATTTACAAGAGGTTGACTCAAGTGCTCTCACTTTGGACTTAAATTTGTTCAATGGAATAAGATCATTTATTTTCCAGTCTTTTTGCAACGTGTTCCATGTAGAAGGAGCAGAGTGAACAAATGCCCTTTTTCCCAGTTCTGAACGGGCAAATGGAACAGTGAGCAACAAATGATCATTTGAACGCAAACTATAAGAGCCAACGCTCCTCCGTGAGATTGAGGTGGTGGGTGAAGCAGAAGGAATTGCATTTACATTGAAGATTTAACCCACAATAACTAACAAAATAATCTATAACCAGTTTGTCCGACCACAAAAAACTCCTTCCTTGTCCTTAATGGTCCTTATGGTTGACCTTGACCTAGGAGATATGATCTGTTTAACTTTGGAGAGAACCCCCTTGTCGTTCATTAGGACTTCAGACTTTGCTACTCAGGCGAAGAGTGCACAATTCTCCCCTCCGGCAATGGTAACACTGTCCCCAGTTTCCTTAGTTTCAGATTTTAGTTTGATTCTTCATGATACTCTGATGATCTGAGTTCAGATGTAATATTATACATGGTCTTGACCCTAACACACTGCAGAAATGTATCAAGGGCAAGTTCTCAAGATGTTTTTTTCTTTGTGCGTAAATACAAAATGTATGCCCCCCTTCACCATGGAACAATGGATGGAAATTAGTCTATATCTATAATCTAGTATGTTCATGTGTGGCACTGACACGCACTGCCCCATCCTAATAAGCCAATAAAGAAAAGTTTTTGTCGTTCCTGGTTTCAACGCGTAGTAGAAGGACAGTATGAATGTATGGAACACTGAAATTAGCTATAAAAGAATAAGTCAAATATATTTGTTGTACTTATACTATTTATTTTTCTAGTAAACTAATATTCTGTGTGTGTGTGTCTGTTGTCTGGGCAGCTGTAGATCTGAGCCATGTTCCTGTGGCTGATGTGATGGTGGGCCAGCTGCTGTCCCAGAGCCTGGAGCAGAAGCAGTGCATCCTGGAGAAGGTGACATGTACATTCACTCTGAGTGTCAGTACAGAAGTCAGTGCAGAACTAATAACAGCTCAAATGGAGTAGGTTCAAGAAAGAAAGCGCCTACACCATATTCTCAAGTGCATGGTTACTTTTTCATGTTCCTTTTTTTTTTATTTTGTATTATCCTTTCTATACAAATAGCTCCTAAAGAGCTCTTAGCTTTGAACATAATTATGCAGGATAATAACAGTATATACTAGCAGCCTCTTGTGTTCCAAAAAATATCAAAAAGTCAGTAGGCAATACACATTTATGCGCACATAAGACACATAAACATGCATGTGTATATGTATGTAAACAGCTGTGTCGACCTGTACCAAGTGAGGTTTTCAAATTACAAGTAACTAAATGAAGATGGCTGCTGAAAAAGTCAGATTACTTAGAAAGACATGATTTTCATGTGTTCTAAAAATTAGATTAAGATGTTATTTTTAATAAAAATGGCCCTAATAAGCGGACCCACTCTGCTCTGAACCATCAACTAGAACCTGTTGTCCACGGGAGACTCTACCATGGGCATAGAGCCCTATAATCGTCTGCTCATACCTCTCCACCACATTTCCAGCCACTCTCAGTGAAGGTGGAAAGCTCGAGGCTTGTCAGAAATCTCATCTGATCTTCTTCCTTGAGACCAAGGTTCCATCAGGAAATCAAGATCAAGATGGCTCAGCTTTGGTTCATTCTATCTCACTAAAAAGGAAAGATCATTGGCGATTTTGCAACTTTGGACTTCTTGCCATCAGTGCACATGTACAAGACAAGACAAGTACAAGACAGCGCACCATGTATTTAACGTATACAATCCATCCAGACTCAATGCAGAAGCCAAGTTCCAATGTTGCCGTAAGCTGACCAGAATTAACAGCATCCATCGGAAAGCAAATACTAGAAACTTAAGGACCACAAATGAGAGTTGTCCCAATTCCTTCTTAACACGGTTGGGTCTGCACCAAATTTGGTGATTGTAACAAAGGGACCTGCTGTCACTGGCACATTAAATTGATCTTCAAGGGAAGGATACAGGGACACTTCCAAAGCTATTATAGTTAAATTAAATGACACAGCTGGTGTTAGCATGTTCTTCTATCCCAATACCTTTTAGTTATTTTGTGCATAATGCAGTTTGACTCTGATCCATCTAATGCCATTATTTTAAAGTTTTTCATGATCCGGTGTCAGATGCTTTCTGGTCTATGCACATACCCAAAGAATACAGTTTATTAACAACATCTGTGTTAGAAGTGTTCACCAAATAAACAATACAAAAATAATACTTGTGTGTCATTCATGTAAGTATAGCAGACAAACACACAATGTCTAAAAGTTAGTTGTAGCTATATTTATTCGCGGTTAGTGTTATTTCAAAGAGTAATATGCCTATTTTTACTGTAAATGTCAGAGTGGCGCTGTGAAAAGATCGTAGGGGTGAGCAATGGATTTCTATTTAGTCATTGGAGCAAATGTTTCATATTCAAGTAACAATGAGACAAGTTATGAATGAATGAAAGAGTCTTTATTTATTTATATTTTGATAATACAATTTTAATGGACAATTTTTTGAAAACCTGGTTGATTACAGATTGTCTGGGATGCCAAAGCAGAGCGCCAAATGGAGTGTGATTTTCTAAAGCTCCAGAAGCAGTGGTCAGAGAAGCTTGTGACATTGCAGCGTTTTCCCATCTCCACAGAAGAACCATGGATAGAGTCCATAGAGCAGCGCACCTGGACGGTCACAGGTCAGCCAACTCTACATAACATCACAACATGACCAGTTCATTGTTGACAAAACCTTGTAATACTTTGTAGTTGTTCGAGTTGAGGCTAAAAAATGCACTGCAATTTGAGGATGTTTTTCAGAGAACCAATGTCAAAATGAAACCAAATACAGACTATAATCCACACCATGACAAATGTATATTACAATCTCATCCTCTGCAGCAGCATTCTTTCCCTGTCTAGCTAAATGATCTCAACCACACCTTTAAAGGGCCGTTTCCACAGGCCCGCTCTACTCGACTCAACTTGACTCTCCCCGGTTGCAGGCGTTTCCACCGTCTCGCATTAGCCGCTACCCGGTACACTTTTAGTAACAGCTTGGCCCTGGTTCTAGCCGGCCCGAGTAGATACCAAAACAATCTGACGTCGACGAACGTCAATTCTGATTGTTCAAGTGCGCTGTCAATCACTGCGGAGGACACAAGCGTGAGCTTGATGATGGCACCCGAAACCAGAGTGTCATATACCCGAGTGCTTTCAAGCCCTAACTAGGGCTTTTACAAGTCTCAACTAAGTGTCATTGAACCATGAATCCATTATTCACTCTCTAACTACGTATAGTAAAAGACATAGCTATACATAGTTAGAAATGGCACATACTGTAACATCAACACCACTTAAGCTGTTTTAAGACTTCAGAACCACAGACACACGTTCAGTATAAGAGCAGATTCTTTTGCATTTGATTGAAGACGCAAGATTCTCTCACACTCAACATCTGAGGCTTCTCTTCCAGTGTAGATGGTGGTAGCGTGTTAGCTGGTGTTAGCTGATGTCCGTAAATAAAATAATAATAATACAAATATAAAATAAATATTATAATTTGGTCAAACCACCTCCAAAATTTTCGGTTCTGTCCACTTTTGCTGTTGTGATCTTTCATTTCACGGTTGTCACTTTTGAGCTTCTTAACTCTTCTCCGCTCTGTGATGGTGTCTGTGGATATCCATTCTCATCCATCCTTTGCGCTTCCTCCACAAACACTTTCTCATTTCTAGTGGAACCATTGAGCTCATGGTGTCTTCTCCTCAAACTGAGGAAGGTGTTGACTGCATCCAGCGACCAAGGAATTGTTTTCCGCACGGATGTCTATATAGTTTTAAGATAAGATAAGATAAGATGTACTTTATTAATCTCACACAGGAGAAATGTACATGTCACATTGGCAAGGATAGGAACACTCAAGAATAGTGCAAAAAGTAGAAATGTGCAAACATGTTAATGCAGGATATATTATGTACAAAAAAGTGGCGTTTAGAAAGTGGCAACCAAGAAAGAAGTGTCAACAGTAGTGCAGGTTTCTTTTCAGTCATAGTGCAGTGACTTAAAGTTTCAGCTGGAAACTTGTTATGTTTTTTTGCAACAGCTGAAGAGGGATTGACAGCACATCTGACCAATCAGAATTGACGTTCACAAACGTCGGATTGTTTTGGTATCTACTCGGCCCGGGTCGTACCAGGGCTAAGCTGTTACTTTTTTAGTAACGGGTAGCGGCAGAAGCGAGCCGGTGGAAACAGCCGCAAACCGAGGAGAGTCAAATCGAGTAGAGTGGACTCGAGTTGAGTCGGGCCTGTGGAAACAGGACTATAGAGGCTGATATTTCCTTTCAAGTGACAAACATGGGAAACCTTTCTGGTACCGTTACATCATTCATAGTTTTGAATTGGAGTTTCTCTTTTCATCCAGTGTACATTGATACTTCTGGAGATGATGGCCCTCTATTATGAAATTTGCGTACGGCCAAATCAGGGTGTTGATGAGGCTTACGGTTTTTTTTTTACACTTTTTGGTCTTCCTGGCCGTCTTCCATTCAGCTATGTCGCAAAAACGGAGTGTGAAACAGGCAGTTGCTGCGTATTATCGGCTTGACTTTCACAAATACGTTCATTTTCAGCCGCCACATTCATCAACAGCCGCAGGTGCTTACGCTCGGATCTTGCTTATTCGGAATATACACCCAAAATTTACACTTTCATAAATGAGGGCCAATGTGTTGAAAAATCTGCGACCAAGCCAGCCCCCCTTCCGTTTTTTAAGTAAAGTTCGGTGCATGGTGTGCGTGTGGGTGTGCGTATTCATATTGTTCCTTTTGATAATACTTCTATCAGCCTTTAGGGACACAAATTATGCTTAATTGTCAGAATGTGTGAACATATAAACAAAATATGATTCACATTGACTAGATTTAATGTGGCTTTACTTTTCCTTATCTGGTCCTCACAAAGTCTTGCTTGATTCAGATGTGGATGTCCACCTGTCTCAGATTCACTTGGATGTCACCATGTTGTCCTACATGCTCACGTCTCCATACAGTGAGGACTTCAGACCAGAGTTGGATCACTGGCTGCACCTAATGAATGACCTGGGTAAGCCCCTTCAAAGCCATATGGAGACATTTTAATACAATGAATAATATTAATTATGCTTTCTTGTGCAAAGAAAACACTCTGCATATTTTCAAACGATTCCAGCAAATGTGGATCTTTTTGACCAAGGTGCTGAGCAGTTGGTCTGTGAGCAGATGTGTTGACGTGGTATGTTTCTCAACTGTATATTATTGCATCTCCACTCAAACACTGACACATGTCAGCTGCTTTCCAACCCTCTTGGTTTGACTTGGAGTAATTTTGGAGTATTCAAAAGAAATGCAATAAAAGGAAAGGAAATATGGATTTCACCACAATTACACCACAAGCATGACCTTAATGGTCTGGGCTTATATATAATAATACAATCTGATAGAATGAATTATATATGTGTTAACCATACATTATAGCTTTGCACCAATAAAGTTACAGAGAAGCTATAAACATATTGTATATGAAGAGGAGCAGGAGTCTAAAAAGGATGACTGTGTTTGGTAGATTCCATATTTGGTTTTGTTAACAAAACTACATTTTTTTTTAGTTTTGGACAAGTTTATTATTCATTAATTATTGAATTGGTGCAACCAAAAAGTGACCCTTTTTAACCTAAAGATACTATGACATTTGGAAGCAGAGCAAAAAGTTATTTTAATTACAATTAGCAACACACAATCATTGTGTCAATTTATAAAACAAATGTCACATTGTCTATGTGATTAATTGTGTTTGTTTATTTTGTAGAAAACCCTGTTTAAACCTGCGGATGCAGAATTTCGACAAGTGATGGATAATATCTCCAGGGACAGTCATGCTCTGATCTTTCTTGAACATTTCCACTCTTTCACTTCGGGGCTGTCTGCGATGGATGCCATTACCACCCAGACGAGGGAGATATTTGATTTTATCCAGAGCCAGTGCTCAAGACTGAGGTTTTTAAGTGACAGAGAACTCATTCTGCTATTTTCTTCATCTCCCAACCCTTCCACCATGCTACCAGCAGTGCGCAAGCTCTTTAGAGGGGTACTGGAACTTGATGTTTGTGTGGAAAGTCAAGCCACACTGGGAGTTGTTGGTAGCCTTCAGGAACATCTTACATTTGCTTCGCCAGTAAAAGTCTCCATAAAGGCAACAGAGTGGTTCTCTAATTTTGACAAGCAGCTGCACTTGTCCATGGTAGCCCACATGAAGGACTTGTTTATTCTTAAAGAGCAGCTTGGACCTCCTTTGCTAGTTATGTGTGACGGTGGAAGATTAGAGAAAACGAATCTTACAAATGGCTTGATCAAACAGGTTGCACATATTGTGGAGCTGCTAGCGACACACCCGAGCCAGTGTCTGTTAGTTGCAGAAGAGGCTGAGTGGTTGGGAGTCATAGAGAAAGCTTTACCACATCCCATAAAAGTGAACAACGTCAACTTCTTCCTGAGCAGTAGGGTCGAAGTGCTGGGTCACTACATACAAGATAGAGTACCGTTAATGCTGCCGGATCTTAGCTGCACCACTTCAGCTTCTGTGCGGCATTTCCTGCGAGCATTGGTGCAAATGACAATGAATCATTCTGAGAAATTAAGTCAGCTCCGGAGAGTCGAGGGACCACTCCATTCATCTTTTGAGTGGCTGAGTTTGTTCAAGTACCACCTTAGTGTTCAAAGCAGCCAAGAACCTCTATGTTACGTTGACGTATTGAACCAGCGACTACAATACGGTTTTGAGTATGTTGGCTCAGGTGACTGGGTAATCCCATTCACTCCTTCAACAGAACGTGCTAAATTGGGGATTGTTTTGGCGCTCGCTAACTTTTGGGGTGGCCTTGTTAATGGTCCTTGTAAGACATCAAAGGAAAATCTGGTTGTCCAGTTAGGTATGGCTTTGGGAAGGATGGTCTTTGTCTTTGAGTGCGATCCAAGCGTCAAGCTTGTTACAGTGGAAAATTTGTTGCTAGGTTCCCTTCAGACTGGGGCTTGGCTTTTTTTTATTTCTGCAGATTTATTGTCAGCCAAAGTTTCAGCCACTCTTGAGCATTTATTAATGAATATTCATGAGTTTTCTAAAATGGAGGAGGGCAAAGTATCCACAAATCTGACTCCCATGTGCAAAATCGCAGAGAAAGAAGTCCCTGCTTCTTACGACTATGGCTGCCTTATGATTTTATCAAGAACACAAACATGCAGCATTCCAGAAAATCTTTTAACAGCTTTCAGGCCAATTGCCTTAACCCATCCAGATTACAAGTTCATTGCTGAAATCATGCTCACGTCCATGGGTTTTGTAGATGCTAAGTACCTGAGTCAACGTCTAGTCTCCCTCATCCAATTTTCAACAGATTGTTCATTTTTACCTTGCTGCAAATCTAAAAGCAATAGCTGCTTTTTCAGCATTTTACAAAATGTAATTGATTTATCTGAAAGATATTTGGAACACTGTGGGAGGCAGAGAAACTTATTTGAAAAGAAGCAATCAGTGTTCATAGTTGTGCAGAGTTTAATTGAAGAAGCGGCTGTTTGTAACTCCATTCTTTCTGTCCTTCTTCCATGGACTCATGAGCTGAACAAGGCCCAAGAGTTTCATCAACTTTTGAAGGAGATATTTCCGGCCATTTGTCAGTTTCAACCAATAGAACATTACCTTGAGGAGCATGAAAAATCTGAAGTAGAAGCTGCAATTTTGGAAGTATTGCGGATTAATGACTTACAGCCGGATGGAGAAATGATTAGCAATGCTTTAACACTTTATCAACATCTGAAAATAGGTAAAGCAGTGATACTCAGTGGTCCCAGTGGCAGCGGAAAAACCAGCTGCTACTCCATTCTGGCTCAAGCTCTAAATTTCTTGGCCACCCAATCAGAAAAACGGAACAAAGCATTCGTGAGGCCTGTTGTCCTGTTTCCAAATTCAATGTCTCACAAAGAGCTACTCGGGTATGACTGCGATCACAAAGGCTGGCAAGATGGTGCTCTCTCAACTTTCCTGAGAAACTGTGGAGATGTGAAGGGCGTGGAGAACTGGCTGGTTCTGGATGGCGAAGAACCAAGCAGCCGAGCAGAGGAACCAAGTTGGATGGACATTGCAGGTGCGCTGTTTCACTCTCCTGGTCCTTTCATGTGTCTGGCTTCTGGGATGCCGATCATACCACCTCAGGAACATCTCCGGGTCATCCTTGAAGTGACCGATTTGAGTGCTGCCAGCCCAGGAGCCTTGACTGCATGTAACCTCATCAACTTCACAGGTTGTGATCTGTGGAGAGCTGTTTGGAAGAGCGCAATGGGCTCAGTCTTACAAAAATACCAGAGTAAAGCTTTGGAAGATCTATGGGAGACACTGGCTGAAGAGCTTTTCCCTGCAACACTGCAGTCGCTTGATCAAAATTGTGCGTCACCTGCCAACTACTCGGAGTCAGCGTCATCTCAGAGGCCTCCCATCGGATTACAAGAAATCATGTCATTTTTCCGCATCTTTAGTGCACTGGTAGAGCACTTTGAAGTTTGCCTGAACATCCACAATGCTCAAGATAAGGGAGATGGGACAGAGAGCAGAGGTACAGTTTCTTCTTTTTCTGTCAGTTGTAATTCTATTGTTAATCAACTTTAATGTACACTTTAGGTGTGTCTCAGTATCAGTCCGACACTACTGGAGCCGGTTTAAGAGATGATGCTACAAAGATGACGCTAGCACAAAGCTGTTTTCTGATGGCCTATGTCTGGGGCTTTGGTGGACATCTTCATCCAAGGTGAAGATATAGATATCAAAAATTAGACAAAAGTTTCAAAATTAGGATAGCTCTTACCTTGTAACTGTTTGCGTAAATGTTGGGAAGTAAAATGTAATGTTGTAGTTGTTAATGTAATTATAATAAAGCCCAAAAATAACAATTGTAAACCGCTTTTTGACTCTGGTCTGTGAAAGGCGGTATATAAATAAAGATTACTTACTTACTTATAATACAACATTATTAATGAATAAAATATAGAATGGTCAAAGATTGAAATATATTGACAAGCGCTGTCAAATATACAACAAATTTAACAACAATTTTATATATATTATGATATTGATATTTTGCAGTATTTTGATAATGTATCAGTTGATCCAAGTTGGGGTAAACATACTACTTAAAGACCTTATGCCGGGTTTGATTTATTTAGAAATACAGTTTTAATACCATTTTATATTAGAAGAGAACTACTAAAGGTTTCAAAATCAGTTGTTGTTTTTTTTGTCTGATCCCCCCAAATCGAAATAACCCCATAGCAACGCCCTTAGAGACTAAAAAACTTCACAGCCCTTGGTGACGTCAGAGTGGTTACGTTTCAACGCTGTAAGTTGTTCACAATTTGGTATTCATTCTTTTTTCGCGGATATTCAAGATGACAAGGCTGTGTACAGCGAGTCTGACATAAGTACTAGATTGTATTATTTTGTTGGTACTGAGATAGTCCAGTGGTTGTGTCGACGCATTGCCAATCCAGATACTGGGGTTCAAATCCCACCTCAGACACTTTTTTACTCTCAAAACGGCAATTTGTGTGTAGTGAGCAATTGTCACCTGTAGAGTGCAGTATTGTGTTGGGCATCAGTGGAGAGAAGAGAGAAAAGGCAGTCCTGTGGCATAGATCCATGGTTTTCAATGCATGGGCTTTACCCGCTGTGACGTCACACACAGGTTAGAACATAGACAACTTAAATTCATGAAAAACACGTTCTTTTTATAAAATATAGGATTTTTTTTGCCGGAATCTCTTTCAGATTGACATTGTCATGCAATTTTGATATCCACAATTAAAAAAAAAAAAACCCGGCATAAGGTCTTTAAGTGCACTGTTTGGAAATAACCTGACTATTCACATTGTGTACTCTTTAGTGCGTGGCCTCGTTTCCAGTGCATAGCTCGCAAAGTGTTGTCTAATAGCCGCTACAAGATCCAGGTTCCAGAAGGAGAAAGTTTGTTTGAATACTTTGCCACCTCCGATAGACGTGTGTGTCTGCAGACTGCCGCGCTTACAAGCCCCAAGGTAGGACCCACCCTGTCCTAAGTGTTTGTGGTCAAAATCAATGTTGCTTTTTTCAGCTGTCTTGGACATTTTGGACAATTTTTTTAACAATGCAAGTCTATTTAGATCAGGGGTCTCAAACCGGTGCTCAAAGGGCCAGTGTGGCTTCAGGTTGTATTTCCAACCTGAACAGGATCCCAGCAGACTCCACCCATTTCCTCGAGTGAGTCCAGTTTTAACCAGAAGATTTTAGGAAATGGTGAATTTCTCTTTTCGATAGAACACAAATCAGGAGCGCATTCTTATGGTAAATGCTCATTTGACCAAAGTTCAGACAAAAACACACCTTCCGGATAATGCATAATTTATTGTTTTACATGGTTTCCCAAGTATGGCAAGGGTATCCAAGATCATGGTCCGCACTAAACTTCTGGGTTTGTGACTATCGCTGTTGATCCCTCACCAAATCTGTTTTGAGTGTGAAAGCAGCAGATAGAAAATGCTCACACTATGACATCATCCATGAACAGAATACAGCTCGTATTCTGCCTTTGAAACCAAACACTTTGCCTGCAGATTAGATTTGGGAATTTCTTCAGTTAAATAGCAAATATATTCCCATCCATCCATCCATCCATTTTCTTCCCCTTCATCCATTTCTGGGTTGGGGGGGTGACCAGAGATGCCACCCAGTACACAGAGCACCAGCCCCTCAATGATCCTCCTGCAGGTGGTGAGTCCACAGGAGGATGGCCGCTCTATGGCATAGCCTTGAATTATATTCCCATCCATATATTTTCTACATGAGAAATTATTTACATTCTCAAATGTAACACACATTTGTTTTCTTCTCAGTATGGCATCTACACACATCTTATGAGCATCATGTTGGAGGCCAAGCGGCCGGTTCTGCTGGTGGGAGAGCCTGCTTCAGGAAAGACTACTGTGTGCCAGGGTTTGCTGGGTTACAAAAGTCCTTGTGTGAGGCTGTGTGGCAGTGCCGTCATGGGGCCCTTAGACCTGCTCTGTGTATTTCGGAACACTTCGCGAGCCTCCCAGCTGCTGCTGTTTGTGGACGACCTACACGCGACATCTCCTGGTACGTTCTTCTCTTGTGCTTGTAAACGTCAGATATAGTTCTATAAAAAAACACTACACTCATTTACTCTTGCGGGCAACAAAAACAACAGTTGTGTCGAAGGACTTAACGAGAAAGATGATTTACCAATAAGAAAAGGAGAAAATCAAACAATGAAATCAGTCACTCATTGGTCAATGAAGATGAATAGATTACCCAGTGTTTATAGGGATCTGGCAGAACCACTCCCAAGAACCACTCCCATGGACTGAACCAGGACTGATATACATTTGATAGAGCTACCCACAGTTATATCCTGGACTGATTCATGGTGGATAGACAGTCCACTCACCAATCAAAGCTAATTATAGGGGGAGGGCATGGAATATGTTCAAAATTATACATAGGACAACCCCTGGTTAATGTTTTGAAAGTTCACCCATATTTCAAACCAGGGAAAGCGGCACCTTAAAGCTGCTTTTATTTTCAAATCCCAAATTATGCAACTATTATAACCATATTTGACTATTTAATAGTGTTACAATCCAGCTAACTATTTCCTGGCTCAAAACAGCTTGCTTCTATCACTAGTTTTAACTTCAGTGTATTTTTGGCCCCTGTCACATTTTTAAAGCTTCATGAAGTGACTTACAAGTTTGTAAAAGACAGTGGTGTTTGGTTACTTTTACAAGACTATCAGAGCTGTCCCTGAACTGTATTTATCTGTCACTTGCTGCCCTCCAGGATTCACAGATACATCTCCAGCTCTAGAGGTTCTGAGGCAGAGCATGTCCACTGGGGGTGTGACAGTGTTTGCCGACTCCTCCCTCCGCTCCCTGACCACCGGGACAGTGTCCTACATGTGCACCAGCAGCACCCCCAGCCCCCTGTCCCCCCGCCTCACCCGTCTCTTCTCCATCTTCACACTGCCCGTTCTGACTCCAGACCTCATCTTCTCTCTGCATGCACACGATCTAAAGCTGTGGACGCAAACGCTGCTCCCAAACACTACAGAAATGGCACGCAGTTTTGTGTCTGCCACTCACAGCTTGTATTTAGCTTTGCAGGAGAAATACGCACACGCAGTGGACGGTTGTGGCTTCTCCATTTATGACGTGCAAAAAGTTTTCCAAGGCATGACTCTTTGGCAAATCAACGGTTCCATTACTAAAAGCGACCCGAGCAACATCCTCATTGATATAGTTAAACTTTGGCTTCACGAATGTACACATATCTTTATTGACAGAGTGACAGAAGAAGGACAACGGTCAAATCTGGAAAGAATTCTGATTGATATTAGTGCCGATCATTTTGGGTCCATATTTGAAGAATCGAAAGTGTTTGAAAATCCTGAAAGCAGTCGCTCTCCTGAAAAAGATCCAAACACAAGCAATGTAAGAATTCGAATTTCAGAGTTCGTCCAAAATGTAGACGTAGTTTATTGTCCAGAAGTGCCTGCCTTTCTCAGAACACTGCATAATCATAGTGATTGTCAACAGATTGCGTACATACCGTACAAGCTTGACGTCCTTACAGAGACCTTGAGAAGCTCCTTGCAGAAACACAGTTACCCTGATCACGAGGCGGGCTTTCTCCGTGCATACATGCTGCACCGGCAGAGGGCGCGGCAACTAGCACACATCTTTCGTGTGTTGCTCATACCTGGGGCTCACGCGGTTCTCCTGGCTTCCCACGCGGGCACCGGGCGTAGATCCACCGTTCGTTGCGCCATGCAGCTCACAGGGGCCGATCTGCTGGAAGTCCATTTGGGCAATGAGGAAGAGCTGTCCATGGTGCTGAAAGAGGCCAGCAACCGCTGCCGGGTGAAGGGGGCCAGAGTGGTGCTCTTGGTGCATGCCGATGTCAGCGCAGCCATAAGGGAACACCTCCTGCTGGTCATGGCTGGTCACACTGGGCGGGGCTTGCACACGCAGGAGGAGATAGAGAAGCACGTCGTCACAGTGACCTCAAACCACCTCTCGCAGCGCTATCACCGGGACCAGTGGATGTTAGACAGGTAAGACGGGTTTGAAATGAGATATACTAAACAGCCTGCATTTTGGCAGGGTGTTTAGTACCATGGTGAATGTGGATGACCCCTAGCTAGGCCTGCCACGTTAACATAAATGGTGGACAATAATGTTTGTCTGTGATGCAATAATATTTTACTATTTACTATTGACTTCCACAATTGTATAATTATGCCACACCTTACCCCAAATCATTCTTACATTCTTTTGGAATTTAAACAAACTTGCTAAGTAAAGAGAGAGATAGCATGCGTACACTGATTTGACTATCAAGCATCTTAAATTAGCTTAAATATAAAAACTATAATATTGTACTGAAAACAAATTTTATATTTCATACTGTATATAGTCTATGGCTTAGAATGCATTTCAGTAATAGTTGTTTGAATAGAATACACACAATAATTTCTTTGTGTTGAGCAAAATTACACTGTTCAGAGTTGGTACATGAGGCTGTTTGGAGGCTAACCCAATGCTTGCTAAATTATTAGCCCGTAGACACTAGCCGGTTATGGCAAAATAAGTAATTTGTGACCAAACAGGGTTTAATAAAATCAGGAACTGCTGTCGACAACATGAGAAAGTCGTTGCATGTAATGGAAGTCGTCCACAGCAATTTCACTACAGTTTCTGTCAAGCTCCTACCTCACATACAGACTGTAAGCACTGTGTTTAATGTCATGTGTCATATGAAACAAAGCTCAGTTGATGGATGTTTCTATGCAATTGTTCAGTTAGATCTAGTTTGCTTTAGTAAAAGAATAGAATTTTATGTTCAATTATTATTATGTCTTTCCCAGAGTTTGTTTTCTCTCTGTTAGTTTGCATCGTAACTAAAGAAGTGATGGGCAGTTTTTTAAGACCGTATGAAATGGGACAAGGAACAAATGAGTCCATGTTAGAGGTGATCTAGCCTGGCCTTTGCCATCCGTAAACTCCGGTCAAATCTTTTTTCCCGGGATGTACGAACAAGTACGAGGGTATGGTAAAACCAGGCTAGAGGTGATCAGAATCTGAAATTCGGCTGGAGGTCATTTCTTATGTAGGTCTTAAGACATACCATACACATGATAAATGTCTCACTCTGTACTCCTCTTTCTGCTTCCTGAAGGCTCCTGAGCCAAAGCCACAAGAACATCCACATTGTCATGTTGATGCCACACAGCAGCCCAGAGGTCAGTGCAGAGGTCAGCCCAGAGCTCTGCACACAGTGGACTGTAAGTACATTATTATTGGAATATTTGTGAAGCACCATGGCACCTGGCTGCTCCATCCTCTAACTAATATTAGGACATATCCTGAATGAATGAATGCCTTTAATGTTGCATGTGGGGAAATTTCAGAAATCGTAACATTTTAACCTCATGAAGTTATTTTCTCCATCCACGCTAATATGGCACAAACCCACTAAACATCCGACGTCCACTCAACCTCCAGATCACGTCAATATCGCGTCGGTCGGTCGTGACCTTTTATTTACGTCCAAACGACGTCTGTGCAAGGTGCGCATCTGGACGTAAAACAATGACCTCCCATATACGTGGATATGACGTTCAATCCCGACCTCCCTTAGACGTCGAAAACAGGTCATCGGCTGACCGACGCAGTACGTCTTGATCTAGCAATACAATATATAGGCTGTGAAGCGATCTCAGTGTACCTGACGGTAGTGTAGTGGTTAAGCAAATGTGTGCAGCCTTGGTTACGTGAGTTCGAGCCCACGTGTGTGTATTATTATCTTTACATATTTGTTTTGATTTTTAACGAACAATTTTTTTCTGTTTGGTTAAAGACTAATAAACACTCAACATAGGATTACGTAGTGGCTAATAATAAAACGTGTGAATGTATGCATTTGTTGTGCTAACAATCTCAAGTTTGCAAATAAGGGGTGAGCACTTGAGATTGTATGCAAATGCATGGGTTCACAAGTTTTATTATTAGCCACTACATAATCTTATGTTGAGTGTTTATTCGTTTTTAACCAAACAGAAAAATTGTTCGCTAAAAAGTCAAAAGTCAAAAGTTTTCCGACGGGGATTTGAACCTGCGTCGTTGGGACTGAAGTCTCATTACGCAACCGCTACACCACGGCCAGGCATTTATCCAGACTACTGTGACAAAATAATACATAACACCCTAAACAACCGACGCACACTTATGCGCCGCGTGAGTATAACTTAGGCTTTACAGCCTGACACGTGAGTCGCTCGGTCGAGGACCTGTTTTCCACGTCTAAACGACGTAAGGTGTGAATCTGGACGTAAAGTAATGCCTTCCCAGACGTTGATATGACGTTGAATCTGTACCTCTGTCGCTGCCCTGCTTTATTTACTTGGAATCATCCTCTCTAGTACAGTTTTTAGATATAGATGTATCATTTCCACATTGTACACAGTCTGCACAGTCTCACACAATAAGAAAGGAAAACGTAGGAACAACGGTTTTACAATTTTTTAGGCCACCAAAATGGATACAACATCAGGGAGCGCAAGTGTCTGACCTGACGAAGAGACGCCGGATGGCTTGGTTGGCTGCAATAAGAAGAAAGGACCTTACTTTCGATCTCACCCCCAGTCGATGAGAGTGTGTTCTCTGCATTTTCACTCGGGTACGTCCTAAAATGTCTTTATGTTGTTTTTTTAAAGTTAAGAAGTGTAGGTTACCTAGCTGTTAATGTTGCAAACACTGAAGTGCATCTTAAGTTAGCTGCCTAGCTAACTATCTAACAAACTGTTGCCTCTATGAAAATGCTTAATGGCCAACCATTAATGTTAACTAAGAATATTTAAGTTTCTGCTCATTATCCTACCTTGTTGGTGGAATATGGGCACTCAAAGTGCGTTTGTCTCTGTCTCTTATGTTCTCTAAACCAGTGGTGCCCAAACTTTTTTTTTGTCTTGTGTTTCCACTACCCCCTGAGCCCTTTTATGAAACCATGAATAGCGTTACCTTCTTGTTTAATATTTCTTTAGATTCCAGATTGTTTAATAATCTTATTAATCTGATGTAAGTAAACCATTATATGAGATTGCTAAAAATAGTTGAGATTCTGTTCATGACATTATGCTACCTTGTTGCCAGTTTAAAGCATTGACTACATACATTATTCTGTTCTAGGTAAACCATCATATGAGATGTTGGAGAATCACCCTGACTGGACACCATCCTTGCGGTTAGGCCACAATAATGTTAAAGAAACAGATGGAGCGCGATATCAGCGGCAAGTAAAGCGCAGTACCCAGCATCTGGAGCAGTCATCACTCCCAGCCCAAGCCCAGCAGCCTCCATCGCCAGCCCAAGCCCAGCAGCCTCCATCGCCAGCCCAAGCCCAGCAGCCTCCATCGCCAGCCCAAGCCCAGCAGCCCCCAGCGCCGCCCCCAAGGAAGGATGAGGAAGCTCTCACCCTTCCAGCTTGTCCTATTGACTGTAATGCGCCTCAGATTAGACCTTCCATCTCAGAATTCACGTTGAGAGGGTGATTGGTGTTGTGCGCAACAAATTCAAATTCTTACATTCAACTGTACCTGTGCATATGCTTCTCAAATGTGAGGGTGAAAACCTAATGCCTTTAGATAAGATTGTCACTGTTTGCTGTGCCTTAACGAACATGTGCAAAAGTGTTGTTTGAGTGCCTTGTTCATAACTTATGAACCAACCAGAACCCCTCATGTCATCTGGATCCGAGTCCAGAGTCAGAACCAGACACGGAGAAGCTGCATTCAGCTTCTATGCTCCACATGTCTGGAACAAACTCCCAGAAAGCCTCAGATCAGCTGAAACACTCAGTTTGTTTACATCCAGGTTAAAGACCCACCTGTTCTCAGCTGCTTTTGAATATTTTTTATTCTAATGTACAAATCTGCACGGCTTCTTTTAATCTGGAATTACTTATCTGTTATCTTTTTTCCTATGATTTTTGTTTTTTAAGTTAAAGTTTAAAATATGATATTGTTTTTCATATTTCAAACTATTTTTAACACATTAGAATTCTTAGGTTAGACTGTCCAACAAACTATGTGTTAAAAAAGGTTAAGATTCTTGAGTTTTAAAATAATAATTCAATTCTAAAATGTAAAGTTACTGTATATTTCACAATGGTTTATAAACTGCAAAAAGACAACAGTACTTAGTAAACTAAGTTTAAAAACAGGGAGATCAGCTTTAATATTTGGGACACTCCCATCATTTAGACACCTGTGATGTCATCAGTTGGAGTTGAGTTCAGGTGTGGGACCATGTGGGACCATAGGAGCACACAGATGTTACCTGCTGCAGAAAGAGAGTTTAATGTTCATGTATTGCTTTGTTTAATAAATGGATTTAATGTCTTCCCAGGTCTTCAATGTCAGAGACTTTCACTTCTTCTCACTGTGGCTGTTTAAATGAGCCACTACAGTCGTTATTTTGTTATTGTTAGCTGCAAATATTAAATATCCATTCATCTGCTGGTAGCAAGCTAACTAGCGCTTGCAACTCTATTCAATTTCTTACTTTTTCTTATAAACATTAAAACCAGCCATATGATAATTAAAATACATTTACCTTTGCTAATGTAGTCAATTTTTTGTGAAATCCATAGAGTATAATTTCATGATTGTTGCAATAACTAATGTTCTATGTGTATTCCTAATGTGTCATGTGTGTTTGAGTCTTACAGGTGTCAGACTGTGTTGAAGGTGTTCAAAGGTAAGAATCACACTCTCACACATTGATTGTTGTTCTGTATTCAATATGTTGTTTTTAGAATAAACCATTATTTGGTGTAATTCTCTTTGAAAACATCTATCTTTTTCTCAGATTGTTCAGCAACTCACTCATGATGAGGGAAAAGAGCAACAAGGGGAAAAAGGGAGCGACAAGGGGAATGTCGCCCGCATGTCGCATCTCCGGAAATGCGACATGTGTAGAGTAATACAGGGTAAGTAGCTTTCAGGGCTCATTTGTCCATGTGCAAAACAAATGCACATTTGCAATTGTTTTTTACATGGAATTACTCCAATGACCAAAGCCTTATCCCAAGTTTCTCAGACGGAGTGTCTTCCAGTGTCTCGAGCTAGTGCAGTGCCAAGGTTTGTATCACATGGTGATGGATCGAGTGGTTTGAGGCATTAATAGAAAGTTATGTGTTGTTATATCACTTTGCCACATTATGTTGAAACTAAACATGTTCCACATTTCCAGGTGCTGTGCTTGGACCTTGTGATGAGAGACTGAAGACCAAGAGAGGACACATGTTGGAACATCAACATTCAATAAATGCATTCTTCTGCCTTTCAGATTGTGTTTTTACATCTGGGAACCTAGAGTGTAGCTTGTGCCTGTTTTAATACTGATCCAAACATAGGCGCTACAATCATGTTTTTTTACTTTGGCATGAACTGTTCAGTACAGTAGTGTTCATAACACTGTGCCCTGTGTGCTTTAACTTTTACTTTGATGTAGAGAAACATGATTTTTAATGCAGCTCCATTTGCAATAATGACTGATATCCTTCTACTACAGTTGTTCTAATGATTTTTGAATGCTGTGTTTATCGTTTATTGCCCAGAGTCAGAACTAAACATGATATAGCTGCATTTCAGATTCACAAGGCTAAAATCTGGAACGGTCTTCCTGGAAATGTGAGACAGGCTTCTTCTTTGACAATGTTAAAATCCAGGTTTAAAACACTTCTGTTTCTGCTTCAACTGAGAGATTTTTTGAGAGATTTTATTTGTATCTTTTTAATTTACTGTCAATATTTATAATTGTAATGCCTTGTTTGATTGTTTCTATCTTTTGTTCAGTGCTTTGAGTTTCCTTTTGTTTTGACTGTGCTATACAAATAAACTTGCCTTGCCTATTGCAAAAAGTATGTCTCGACTAGTAAGTGATTCTGCAGAGGTTAAGTAGGTCAATAGGACTGTAAATGGACGTCATATAAACGTCAATATTTTGGTCATATAAGACGTCGAGAGGACGTCGGACCCGACTGGTTCTGTACCACATTACAACCTTGAATGAACGTCCAGATGACGTTGGAATTACGTTGTTTTGACATCTGCTTGCTTAGTGGGAACGACTGAAAACGAACGTCATATAAACGTCAATATTTTGGTCATATAAGACGTCGAGAGGACGTCGGACCCGACCGGTTCTGTACCACATTGCAACCTTGAATGAACGTCCAGATGACGTTGGAATTACGTTGTTTTGACATCTGCTTGCTTAGTGGGAACGACTGAAAACGAACGTCATATAAACGTCAATATTTTGGTCATATGAGACGTTGATAGGACGTCAGACCCGACCGGTTCCGTACCACATTCAAACCTTGAATTGACGTGCCATCAACGTAACATTTGGAGGTTGAGGTGACGTCGGGAAACGACGTCGAGAAAACTTTCATTCTGCACCCACCAGTGACCTATATTCTACGTCGGACAACGACGTTCAAATTACGTTGATTCAACGTCGGCTTGCTTAGTGGGTAAAAATACTAAAACCCAAGGCCAGGAGATGCCTCTAAGTCTATCACAGATGCGTCCTATTGATCCTTTTCAATTGGCTCTCCATAAGATACAGAACTATTTTCAGAGTGAACAATAGTTTGATGAATTGTACTATATAGTCGCATTGTCTGTAGATTGTTATGTTCCCCAGCTTTAAGAAATTATTCTTACATTGTTAAGGATCAGTCATGACACGCCTCACATAAAACATTTCCCTTATCTGCTTTTGTCTCTGTTATGCAGGAGCAGGGGTCTGTCCTCGGGGCCATCGCAGACCTGGAGCTGCAGCTGGAGGAATCCCAGAACATTATTGTTCGGGAGCAGACACGACTCACAGAGCTGGAGAAGCAGCTGCAGGAGACACAGCAGGAGGTACAGAGCATGGCTGAGGAGGCTCCATAGGGTCCAGCAACTATATGTAGATATATAGATTGGCAGTATATATCTAATGTGTGCGTGTGCGTGCGTGCGTGTATTCTCCTGTCTGTGCTGTAGGTGCAGGCCGCTCTGGAGGCTAGGATCAGAAAAGTGAGCTGCCTGGAACTGAGTGCCCTGGAGGAGGTACGAGGGTACAGGGACCCCCCGGAGCCCGTCACCATGGTGATGGATGCAGTGTGCCTGCTCTTCCACCACCCCCCGGGCTGGGACAGTGCTAAACACCTGCTCAGCCTCAACAGCTTCTTCCAGGTCTGTGGCTGACACCTCATGTTTCTCTTGACAGAAAGAACATTTGTTGAATAATCAGATCAACACATGCTGTCGAGAGAAGAAACTCCAAAAATATCTCAAAAAAGCTTATTTCTTTAACACATCCTAAAACATGTAACAAATATATTATATTGACTCATGGCAAAGTGACACATATTAATTTTGATTATTAACATATGCTTGTAAAAAATAGAATAACATTTTATGTAGTCTCACAAGATTAGAATTAACTCAATAAAACATGTACTTCATTCTTGGCTTAGGCCTTTCCCTTGAATCCCTGCCATAATACTGCGTTGCATTGATGCTCTCAGCTTGTGGCTCTGCTGAGGTGTAATGCAGACCAGGAAGCTTCAATAGCAGCTTTCAGCTTTCCTGCAGTGTTCACTCTCATATCTCTCTTGACTTGTTTCAAATCTCCAAGGGGGATTGATCAAGGTGAAATGATCAAGCAAAATGTCAATCACATTCTTGTACAATACAATACAATACAATTTCTTCTTGTATAGCCCTAGGTCACAACAGAAGTCATCTCAGAGGACTTAACAAAACCATTGAAATCACCAACACAGATCAGAGAATCAACAGTTAACACATGAAGAATATAAAGCACACACAGAAGAAAATGTCCATACATGTTGTAGAATGCTAAAGTGTCCTGATCATCACCAATCCTTTCTGTTGGACACTAACTACCCAACAAGACCCTCCTGCATCGACAAGGAAAAACTCTTAAAAAACCCAGTGGGAAAAAGTGAGAAACCTTGGGGAGAACTAGGGAAACCCACAGGGAGGGAGACCCATATGAGAAAGGGATCCGCTCCTCCGGACGGACAGGCTAATGATCTAGGACCTAAGCTAGCTACGTGGACCAGTGGCCGCTGAACGTGGACAGGTCCGGTGCAGGACCGAAGCACTCCCAGGCGGGTCGGGCAGGGCAGTCCGCACGTGTAGATGGAGGAGGCCAGGCTCAGAGATCCCGTCATCGTACCATGAAACAGACAATGGGACAACGGGTGTGAATAGCAATGAACAAACTACAGTCAAAATCCTAATAATGCTAAACAGATAAAGTAGGAAGGAGGAGAGGATAGTGCTCAAGTTACCATAGTTCTCCAGCAGGGGGCTCCCTATGCAGCTTGACTGACAGTCTGAGGAGTTTAGCCTTCCCTGAGTCTTACCTTCCTAGCCATATGCTAAACTAAAGAGGACTGTTTTAAACCTAGCCTTGAATAAAGAGAGCGTATCTGGAAGGAGGTGAGACAGCAGCAGCCACGGCTAGGCTAGTCTAGGTTACAGCACCAAGATTCATGGATTGCACACCAGGTGTGCAAACCGATCCAAGCAAACCTAATTATATATTACATATCATATACATCATATATACCATACATACCATATATATCATATATAATACACAACATAACATACAGCATAATATATAACATAATATACAACATATATATTGTATATATGTTGCCACATGTGGGCCACAGTAGCTCAGTTGGTTCAGCATTGGCCTTTGGGCCTGAAGGTCGTGGGTTCAAGTCCACCATAAGACCTACTTCACGACTCCCACTGATAACTACTGTCGTTGTGTCCTTAGGCAAGACACTTAACCCCACTTTGCCTGAAGCTCCCACTGAAAGATCTCAGCTCCTGTGGACTCACCACCTGCAGGAGGATCAGTGAGGGGCTGGTGCTAAGTGTACTGGGTGCAGCTCTGACTGCCACCCCCCTGACCCAGAAATGGATTAAGGGGAAGAAGATGGATGGATGGATGGATAATATACAACATAACACAATACATAACATAATACATATATTGTATAATATATAACATAATACAGCATATATATATATATATATATATATAATATATACACCACCATTATATATTACCTAATTATATGCTAAATTAAAGTAGAGTGCTTTAAGCCTGGCCTTGAATGTGGAGACCGTATCTGCTTCCTTAACATAAATGGGAAGCTGATTCCACAGTAAAGGAGCTTGGTAGCTAAATGCTCTGCCGCCAACAGTGATTTTTGAGACCTTACAGTAGGAACCACCAGACGTCTGGCGTTTTGTGAGCGCAACGCTCGACTTGGTTGATACGACACTAACGTGTCTTGGAGATAAGAAGGAGCCAAGCCATTTATGGCTTTGTATGTTAAGAGAAGGATTTTAAACTTTATTCTGTACTCCACAGGAAGCCAGTGGAGTGATTTTAACACCGGAGTTATGTGCTCCCTCCTTTTGGTACCTGTTAAGATCCTAGCTGCTGTATTCTGAACGAGCTGGAAGCTCTTCAAAGAGGCTTTAGGGCACGCTGCCAGTAAAGCGTTACAGTAGTCGAGCCTTGAGGTGACAAACGCGTGAATAAGTTTTTCCGCGTCACTTTTAGGAAGGAAATTCCTAATTTTAGCAATGTTCCGTAAGTGGAAGTACGCCATTTTAGTTGCTTGCCTTATATAAGCCTTGAAGGAGAGTTCTTGGTCAAAAATGACTCCAAGATTCCTCACAGTGTTACTGGGTATAATACTGACATTATCGAGAGTGATTATCTGGTTAGTGAGGGAGTCACACAGGCGCGTTGGACCGAGTAGGATCACTTCTGTCTTCTCCGGGTTGAGAAGTAGGAAGTTAAGAGTCATCCACATTTTAAGGTCCTTTATGCAGGCACTGAGCTTTTCTAGCTGATCTGTCTGATTTGGCTTCATCGACAGATAAAGCTGTGTGTCATCTGGATAGCAGTGGAAATTAATTCCATGCTTTTTAATAATGTTTCCTAACGGCAGCATGTAGAGAGTGAAAAGAATCGGTCCGAGTACCGAACCCTGCGGCACACCGAATTCTACTCCAGAATAAGGTGACGAGTTCTGATTTACGTTGACGAAGTGATACCGATCTGATAAATAGGATTTAAACCAGCCAAGGGCTGTTCCTCTAAGACCTATAGCACATTCTAGCCTCTGCAGTAGAATGCTGTGGTCTATTGTGTCAAATGCAGCATTAAGGTCCAGTAGGACCAGCACTGACACTTGTCCATTATCAGCAGCTAGTAGTAAGTCATTTGTGACTTTGACTAGTGCCGTTTCAGTGCTATGATGGGCTCTGAATCCTGATTGAAAGACTTCAAACATATTATTTTCCTGCAGGTGGCAGCGAAGCTGCTCAGCTATAAATTTTTCCAGGATTTTAGATATGAAAGTGAGGTTTGAGATCGGTCTGTAGTTTGTAAGTATTTCTGGGTCCAGGTTTGTTTTCTTCAGAAGGGGTTTGATTACCGCGGTTTTAAAAGCTTGTGGGACATAGCCACATTGTATGGATGCGTTTATTATATTTACGATAGGCTCAATTATCAAAGGAAGTATGTCTTTGAAGAGCCATGTCGGGATTGCGTCTAACATGCAAGTTGAGGCTTTTGAGGATGTGACCACAGAGATCACCTCTGCTTGGCTCACAGCCATGAATTTATTGAGGCCCACTGAAGAGTCTAAGTGGGAAGTCACGTATGCCGCTTCAGCCTGTCCACTACCAACAGCAGGAGTAACCTCCTCCAGTTTGTCACGGATGGATGTAATTTTATTATTAAAGAAGTGGAGAAAGTCGACACTGCTCAGTGAGCTTGGAATTTTAGGCTCGATTGCGCTATGGCAGTTTGTGAGTTTAGCGACGGTGCTAAACAAAAATCTACTATTATTTTTATTCGCTTCTATTAAAGTTGAATAGTATTGAGTTTCGAGCCCTGCGAAGGGCATTCTTGTAGTTTCGGAGACCTGCTTTCCACTCCCTGTGGACAGGCTCCGAGTGGGAGTGGTGATATAGCCTCTCCAATTTTCTGACGTCCTGTTTTAAAGTGTGGAGTTGAACACTGTACCAGGGCGACGATGATCTAATCCTAATAGTTTTCTGTTTTAAAGGAGCTGCTGCATTTAATGCAGATTTTAAAGACTCCATAGTGTTGTCCACCGTTTGGTCAATGACTGAGGGACTGCAGCAGCTGTGAACAGGTTCACCTGCAGCAGTATTCAACATTGGCTGTATTAGTTCTTTGAACCTTGTGATAGATTTATCATTTAAGGTTCTTTTCATTATGGTTTTATCTTGCGGGACAGGAAAGTCCTCCAAATCGAGATCAAACGTGATCAAGAAATGGTCAGACAGCAACGAGCTTTGACGCTGGATGTCAACATTGGAGACATCACAGCCGTAGGTCAGGACAAGGTCCAAGGTGTGGTTATGAATGTCAACATTCTGAGTAAAACCAACACCATCTAGTACGGCGCTGAAAGCTTTATTTAAGCTGTCAGTGCTGTCGTCCACATGTATATTGAAGTCTCCAGTTATAACTATGTTTTCCCATTCCAAAACTAGGTTTGAAATGAAGTCAGAGAATTCTGTTAGGAACTCGCTGTAAGGACCAGGAGGTCGGTATAAAACTATAAATAGCACCGCTTTTTGTTTTCTCCACCCAGGACAGGTGATTGAAAGTGTTAAGTTTTCAAACGAGTGAAAAGCATTGTTGGTTTTGGGACTAAGAACCAAGTTGGTGTGTGATATAATCGCAACACCACCGCCGCGACCTGTAGTTCTCGCTTTCTGGTAGTTAACATGCGTCGGAGGAGTGCACTCATTCAATCTAACGTAGTCGTTCTGTTGGAGCCAAGTCTCAGAGAGCGCAAACAAATCCAAGCCCTTGTCTATAATAAGTTCGTTTATGAGAAGCGATTTAGACGAGATTGATCTGACGTTCATTAAACCACATTTAACAACCCTACTGTTAGAACTTTTTCTGTCTGTCTGAACTTTCTTGTGAGTACACATCTTACAGTACAAGGTTACCAAATGCTAATGTCAGGACCTGTTGCAGGAGCTGGAGTTCTTTGACCATCGGCGCGTTTCCACACAGCAGTTGCAGGAGCTGGCCACACTGGTGCACAGTCCTGCGTTTGACCCAGAGGTGGTGGCCGAGGCGTCCCAGGCCTGTGCCCAGCTGTGCCACTGGGTGCTGGCTGTGTATGAGTGCTGCAAGCTGCACCCGTATGTGAAGTCCAGCCGCCGCATTGAGACAGAGGCTGCAGCCGCTCTTAAGCACCTCCAGCTGGCCCGCAGGCTCAAGGAGGAGCAGAGCAGGCAGCTCAAAATACTCACACACCAACTGGAAAGTGTGCGAGAGCAGCTCTGGCAGCATACGGAGGAGCTCCTGCAGGCTGAGCGAGTGCACAGAGAGGCCACCTGCACTGTGGACGAGCTTGGCACAAGTGTGTCTGTGTGGAAAAGAGATGTCCAGGTACAAGCACCGCCCACAGCACAATTTCTGCATTACTTACACACATGCATGCACACACACACTATTGCTGCACTGTTTAGTGATACAGGAGCGTGCCCCTCTCTGGAAGAAAAGCTCAGGGCGACTTCCACATGTTTACACTTGTGCTGTCCTGTTGAAGGAGCGTTGACATCACTCTAGTCCTGTATTCGTTTCTCAGTGATGAAATGTCAGTGTCATTGTGCACATTACAGCAGAATAAAATGAAAAGTAAGAGCACTCAGGTTATGCACACATCAAACAAAATCTAATATTTAAGGTCATAGATCATAAAATTATGAAGAAAATAATAACAATTTAAAGCTATGTCTATATGTTTACACTTCCTGTGTGATGTAGAGGGCAGTCACAGCCATGGAGACCCTTCCTGGGGACACTCTGCTCACTGCAGCCATCATCTCATACCTGGGCCCGTTTGGAGCGGACACCCGCTGTGAGCTGCTGGCAAAGTGGAGAGGACTGTGTATGACAGGCCGCCTGTGCCCTGCCCCAGAGTGCTCTCAGTGTGGCTCTCTCGCTGCTCCTCTTGTGCCTGTATCATCCCTTCCACATGGGCCACTGTGTCAGGCCCTGGGTGTGAGTGAGAGGCCACTCCAGGCAGAGGCCCTCTCAGACCTCCTGCTCTCTGTTCTGCTGAGCAGCTGCAGCCACAACTGTGTGCAACGCTGCCCTCTGCTGGTGGACCCTGAGCATCGCTTAGACCCACACCAACCTCACAGCTGCTTCAGAGGTACAAGTATCGTATCCTGACAGTTTTCTAAACATGTGCTATTTCTTATCCAGTATTAAATAACAAACAACATTTCTGTAAGAGTAATGAATGAGGGACAGTAGTACATGTACTGCTATATGAAAAAACACTGTACAAATGCTCTTCAGCGTCAATAAATGCAGCAAAAGGCTCTTGCTTCCTCTATCCTCCATAATGTGTAACAACAGTTTGTTTAGTGCAGCTTTGTTTATAAAACCATGCTGATCCAGTGTGTGTTTGACCATAGGAGACCACATTATGGCTTTGAAGGATTTTGACGTTGATCTTTGTGCGGATGACCCACACTTACTGGACAAATTAGAAGAGGCCGTGCGCACAGGTACTTACAGTATATTCTACATGTTATTCTTTCAATTTACACACACTGGGGATTATTGTCGATAAAACCATTTGTTCAGACCATTTGTACAAACAGCTGTTTAATCTTGGCCAGTGGCCGTCTTTGCGCTGGAGCCGGTTTCCTCCTCTGATAAAGTGTGGGCCCCTGTTTTAGACACTGTATAAAGCCATAACAAACACAGAGACTGAGAAGCCTATATTAGATAATCCAAATAATGTCTTTTTGGAGTGGATCATATTAATTATGGCTTTTTGCTTCAAGCACTAAGGCTTCTGTGGAGAGTTAACATGGAAAGCGAATGAAAGAATATCTGTACTTTAAAACATTAACAAGCACTTTGGGGTGACCTTGGTCTGTGAAAAGTGCTAGATAAATAAAAATGACTTACTTACTTAATAGCGGGTTGCGAGATTTTTTTTTACCTTCTCAGATGTCAGTCTGTTCATCTCAATGGGAAATTACATTGTTTGAATGACCAAATGACCACTAGAACAAGTGACACGTTTAAACATAAAAGCCAAATAGTACTTTTTTTCTCTGAGTGACTGAAGTAAGAATATAGGTGATAGTTACTCACGGAATACTGTAGTTGAAAATACACCAATATATTCGCCCCCCTTGAACCTTTCAACATTTCGCCACATTTCAGGCTTCAAACATAAAGATATAAAATTTTAATCATTTTTCATGAATCAACAACAAGTGGGACACAGTCGTGAAGTGGAACAAAATTAATTAGATAATTTAAACTTTTTTAACAAATAAAAAACTGAAAAGTGGGGCGTGCAATATTATTCGGCCCCTTTACTTTCAGTGCAGCACTCTCACTTCAGAAGTTCAGTGAGGATCTTTGAATGATCCAATGTTGTCCTAAATGACTGATGATGATAAATAGAATGCACCTGTGTGTAATCAAGTCTCCGTATAAATGCACCTGCTCTTTGATAGTCTTAGGGTTCTGTTTAAAGCGCAGAGAGAACCATGAAGACAAAGGAACACACCAGGCAGGTCCGAGATACTGTTGTGGAGAAGTTTAAAGCCGCATTTGGATACAAAAAGATTGCCCAAGCTTTAAACATCTCAAGGAGCACTGTGCAAGCAATTATATTGAAATGCAAATCTACCAAGACTCGGCCGTCCCTCCAAACTTTCATCTCAAACAAGGAGAAGACTGATCAGAGATGCAGCCAAGAGGCCCATGATCACTCTGGATCTGGATGAACTGCAGATAACTACAGCTGAGGTGGGAGAGTCTGTCCATAGGACAACAATCAGTCGTGCACTGCACAAATCTGGCCTTTATGGAAGAGTGGCAAGAAGAAAGCCATTTCTAAAAAGATATCCATATAAAGTCTCGTTTAAAGTTTGCCACAAGCCACCTGGGAGACACACCAAACATGTGGAAGAAGGTGCTCTGGTCAGATGAAACCAAAATCGAACTTTTTGGCCACAATGCAAAACGATATGTTTGGCGTAAAAGCAACACAGCTCATCACCCTGAACACACCATCCCCACTGTCAAACATGGTGGTGGCAGCATCATGGTTTGGGCCTGCTTTTCTTCAGCAGGGACAGGGAAGATGGCTAAAATTGATGGGAAGATGGATGGAGCCAAATACAGGACCATTCTGGAAGAAAACCTGTTGGCGTCTGCAAAAGACCTGAGACTGGGACGGAGATTTATCTACCAACAGGACAATGATCCAAAACATAAAGCCAAATCTACAATGGAATGGTTCACAAATAGACGTATCCAGGTGTTAGAATGGCCAAGTCAAAGTCCAGACCTGAATCCAATCGAGAATCTGTGGAAAGAGCTGAAGACTGCTGTTCACAAACGCTCTCCATCCAACCTCACTGAGCTCGAGCTGTTTTGCAAGGAAGAATGTGCAAGAATTCCAGTCTCTCGATGTGCAAAACTGATAGAGACATACCCCAAGCGACTTGCAGCTGTAATTGCAGCAAAAGGTGGCGCTACAAAGTATTAGCGCAAGGGGGCCGAATAATATTGCACGCCCCACTTTTTAGTTTTTTATTTGTTAAAAAAGTTTAAATTATCCAATAAATTTTGTTCCACTTCACGATTGTGTCCCACTTGTTGTTGATTCTTGACAAAAAATTTAAATGTAATATCTTTTATGTTTGAAGCCTGAAATGTGGCGAAATGCTAAAAGGTTCAAGGGGGCCGAATACTTTCGCAAGGCACTGTAGGCACATAGACTGAAAGTGATTTTGCATGATACTAACTGCTCACTAATAGTGAAATAAAGAGTTGTGTCAGTGCCCTTAGAAGTCAGCCCTGACCGTGTTGACATTATGGCACCGTATATGACGGCGTATTTCACTACCGGTCATCGTCCCCAACCCTACAGGGATGTGGTCCAGGCTGAGCCTGTCTCTGCTCTGCACAGGAGCCCTGGTCTTTGTACGGGCCGCTGAGAGGAGCCCGTCCTGCCCACGCCTCCTCTCCATAGTGTCTCAGGCCTACTTCAGTCTGACTTTCTACACAACGCTACCTGCTCACATGCTGACCACTGGTAAGACATGGCAAAGAGGAGACCAGCTAAGAGTTTAGAAAATGCAGTAACTCTGGGCTACATGTAAATGTGTGGTTCATATGCTCATGCCCAGTAAGAAGACCTGTGTTTTTTTATGCCACATACGATGCTGAGCAGACAGATTTCATTATGTGTTGTTTTATGGCTGTCCATTTTTATCATGGGGTGATGAAATAAACATGGGATAACCCTTGAGTATACTTATGCGTAGAGATGGCAGGGCCCCTCCTGTGCAGGCTCCATGTGGTGGACCTGTCCCTCAGCACACTGGAGGTGGAAAGGTGCCTGCAGTCCCAGCTCTTGCCACCAGATGGCAGACTTATCCTGAGCCAACAGAAGAGACTGGAACAGAGCAGGCAACTCCTTATAGAAAAGCTGAGTTCCATTGAGCGGTGAGTGGCCTGTGTGTGTGTGTGTGTGTGTGTGTGTGTGTGTGTGTGTGTGTGTGTCACATACATGCACAAACACACACACACAGTAAATACATACATGCACAAACACACACACACATACAGTACATACAGTATAAATGTTCTTTTACTCTCACTAAATACAGTTGTGTGTAACTTGACTGTAGTTTTCAGCTGTACAGTGCTCACCAAGATCAGATTTTTTGCTTTGAAAACACAGAGAGTAAAGTGTCACAATGAAAACGTGACGAAGTCATTTGACTGTGTTGTTCATACTCCATGTTGTTAAGACTTATTATTTTGAGACAGACAGTTTCCTCGACATGAAGACTTGCTTTTGAGGAATAAACTTTTCATTTTGAGAAGGTGATGCACTTTTGCAGGTTATCCCCAAGGTTTTGCAGTTTGTACTAATTGTTCTGAGAAATGCACTAACTGTCGTGCAAATGTGAAGAATAATGTGATAAATGCACCAAAGACACTGAGAAAAACTGTAAGTAGCATATTTATTTTGTAAACAATGTAAATTTATACATTGAATGATGTTGCTCGTTTGTTTTCTTTCAATTCACTTTAGTTAAAAAATAATAATGAAAATAATAAAGTCAGCATGACACTAGATTTAACTCATTTTAACTAATCAGATCCTCCCTCTCCCGAAGAAGACAAAGTAAAGTGGTTGAGCAACTTCAGCTCAGCCTGTGATAATGGCCTTATTTACATAACAAAGTTGGCCGTTCACAGGTGATGTAGGCCCTGTTTATACTGAGACGCTGCGCAGACGTTTCCAGGCTATTAACAGAAACGACCTGGCTCCTAATGCAAATTTCTCAGCGTTCACATGAGGTTGAAAAACGATGTAGTTCTAGCGCCCGGCCAGTAGTGGGCAGATAAACTTTACAACACGACACACGACCCCGAGCCCCGTGCCCAGCCCCCCTCTCGGCAGTATACTCACTTCCTGTGCCAGACCCTCAGAGAGTACCAACATCATTCTGCATTTTAACAGCAGCTGTGAACATGGGAACTGAACCTAGAGCTTCGCGTGGTCTCGTTTGGACGAACGAAGGAGTAGAGTTATCCTCTGTCCCGCGCTGGAAGCCCACGTAGCTAGTTTGTGTGGGCGGCGCCATTATTGTTGATGTTTGTTCTCCGCTACTGCGCATGTCCAAATTTACGTGCGGGGAGCAGCGCGGAGGCGGGGGTCAGAGCAGAGGGGGACTTCACACCTATTCCCCTCTCACGGGTGTGAAAGAGCTCCCTGCTGTGCAGCGTTTCTGAGTTGTCCCACTCTGCAGGCTGGATCTGAACACTTACGTTTTCACCCCCCTGGAACACTGTCTTCGTATGAACGGTTGGTAGCAACCGACATCCAACTATACCGTTTTACTGCCACATTGTCTCCGTGTAAACTCAGCCTTAGTTTGTTAGCTAAAATCCAAATGGCACCTCCATGGGTTTGCTAGTGTTAAAATGTGAAGCGCTTTGTGATCCTGGACAGTGAAAGGCTCTATATAAATACACTTTACGCAACAGGGATGTGTGACCCGTCTATTGCTGTGGCAGGCTCTGCGCTGCGTAATTACGCACGGCTATTTGTATTCCTCATTCACATCTGGTAAAGCAATGTGTTATTTCATTAGATTTGTGTAAGCCTCACACAGACACACACCCCAATAACGCATCGATGGTATTGCTCACTCAAACGTCTCACTGCCCTGTCCAGAGTGCGCAGCGAGTGCCGTGAGAGGTCGCGCCACATGTGCAGAAGTTTTGGCTCCAGAGTTTCTTTGTGAAATCTGGACCGCAAACGCTCTCTGAAGTGTACAGCGCTTCAATGCGCACTTCTACCCCGAGCCAGGCTGCGTCCAAGACGCTGCAGACGCTTCATTCATGAGAGCCACCGCTGCATAATATATATGAATTAATTAATTAATTCAATCAATCTATATTTATTCACTTCTACAATTCAAGAAGGATTTTTCTAATGTATCAAAACATTTTGGCAAGTTGCGTAAATGGAATATACACCCAAAATGTACACCTTTTTCAACGCAAGTTTCATAAATGAGCTTGTGTGTATGTGCGCGCGTGAGTGCGTGTGCGTGCGTGTGTGCGTTTGAACCATATTCTTTGAAACCCCAATTCCAGTTAGCCCTTGTAGTTTGCAAGCGAATTTGGCCTACTTACTAATCTGCAGGCCTACCCAAAATTGCAAACCTGGCGCCGATACTGTTGTGAGGATGAACGGAGGGAGATATGTTTCCAAAAAGAAAAGGTGGTGGAGCTAATTTTACTTTTCTTATCTGCAACACGTTCTTATTCTGAGGTGGTAGGTTGGAAAAATGTAGTTGGCTACTACAATGCGAGATCTACAAGGCTTATAATATAAAGTATTCAGTAGCCCTAGACTAGTTATGAGCGAAAGCCGCTTGTTGCTCCATTATCCGCGCGCAGCAATAACATGTCTATGAGCGAGGCCCGCAGTCGGGGAACACCGGGCCCTCCGGCGTTTGGAAGGTCCGATGTTCCCCGGGTCCGTCCCCGGGTCCGGTGTTCCCCGCCCCGGGGAACTCCGGACCCGGGGAACACCGGACCCGGGGAACATCGGACCCGGGGAACATCGGGCCGACCCCATCTGCATCACCAGGTAAGAAAAACAGAACATTCACTCACGCTGCTTATACATTATTCTGGCGATCGTTTTGTGGGGATTCTGTGTGTGTTTTATTTGATGCTTGTCCCTGAATAAGTTTAGTTGAAACTTGTGACAGTAATTGGACTTCGCTCGGATCGGGTCAGAACATCCTGAGACTGTGTTGCAGATTCTGCCTCGTACTTATTGTCAGTGTGAAAAAGTTACGTAATGTGCACGTGTGAGTCTGTTGTGTACAAACTCCACGATGTGCCTCCTGTTGTGTTAACGCTGTCTTTGAGTGTGTTGTTTGCGATGTTGACACTTTGCTGCTATGACGCTGGACTTCTGCATAATTATTATTCTAAAAGATTGATAACTGTGGTCCTCTGTGGTTCTTTTATATAACTGTGGTCCTCCATGGTTCCTCCTTCCAAATTGTGAATGCACGGTGAAATCAATATCAGTAGCTTATGTGAAGCTTATCGCTTTTTATCCTTATCCACCACCGGTTTTCAAGATGGCGCATATTCATGGGGAGCACTCCTCTCTCATGGACATTTATAAGTTAAATTCTAAGCCTATGAATACAATTTAAAAAAACATGGAGGTAAATATTCTTATAAAGGTCACATTTGTTACATGTAACATGTTTTTTCACATGGAGTAGCTGTAAAAATTACACAGGGTGGCTTTAAGCCCGCACTGATAGGCTCACTGTCCATGCCATTGGCTGGAACAAAAGGAAGGCAGAAAAGTCTCTTAGGGAAAGACACCAAAAAGTATGAATAAATGTCTATTATTATTATTAATTCTATTAATGATAATAAAGAGAACTATGAATTCTCAAAGACATCACTGAAGACAAAAGTAGCTTCTGAGGATCTCAGCAAGCTGGCTCAAGAACATGGTCTAACTGAGGATACCATAGCCCAATGGGTATCTGACGTCCAGCAGTGGAGTACAGGTAATATACATTTTCAATGAATTTGATAGTTTAATCTTTTAGAAATAATGAAAGACATCAGACTAACATCTCAAAGAGGCAAGTTCAAACCTCAACAAGCTCCTATCCACCATTCAGGCACTGTATCTCAGCATCAAGCAGAGAAAATATTATTTATATCGCCAGAGGAGTAAGATGGCTACCTGGCTATTCGCTTGGTGTGAAGGTATCCATTGTATATGAAGATTTTTTTTCTAGCTGGAAACAAACGCCGTCAGAAACAGAGGAGAAAGATAGCCCAGGAGAAGGTTCAGCTGGAGGAGTCCATTGATCAAATGATAAATGTTGGTCATGTTTTAATTCCCACCCTCGCAGGAAATGGTGTAGTTACGTGACTCCCATGGAATAATATAAAACAAATCTGTAAGAGTACCACAGTTACAGTGCACTGTGGAATTCTTACAGTTTGGGGATGGACCAATGACGAGTGACCCCGGCATCAGAACTGTAACAACACATTTTCAGACGGAAAGGATCAATTACAATCGATGATTTACATGTTTTTAAATGTATGCGATGGAAGGTAACCACGCACAAGCATACTGTACCGGGGTGGTGAAATGGTCAAATTTGAAATCGCAATTGTTTTGGGGGCGATTATCTATGGGTTATTATGGCAAACTGTAGCAATAACACATTTTTAGGGGACCAAAAAAAGATCGACCAATTTCATAAATGAAGCCATTAGGAACCATTTTATTTAAAAATAACAAAATACAAGTGCCTGTTTCTCGCTCAAAATAGTGAAAAAAGTTGAATATAGTCTCTAGATAATGCTATAAATCACAGTTTTGGACTATAATTATGAGAAATGTCGGCCATTTTTATTTCCACCCTGGCAGGAAACTGTTTGGTCACCTGACTCCCATAGAATAACATTATAATTAAAAAAAAGAGTGCAACAGTTTCAGAGCCCAAACTGTAGTGTTCTCACAGTTTAAGAGGTGGACCAAAAAGTGGGTTGGAGTAACTGGTGAAAGATGCCAATGACTTAGCCTGGTCGTACCACACCATAGTACAAATGACATTTGTACTAAGGTCTGGAGGTGCTCCATTGAGCTCCGTTTACAGGTGCAAGGGGTTAACTCCTTTTGCAGATTGAAACGATTGGATCTGAGTTTACCGTGACTTACGTATTGCGCCCGAGTCTGTTGTTAGCTTTAGCCTAGCCGTCTCCTTTGCCAGTAACGGAGCCCGTGGGGAGTAGTGAATCCGTGTATTGTTGTATTAAATATAGACTAAAAGGCGATGTGAATTAGATTGACCTGAAATTGAACTCTGTCTGTTTCCAAGCAAAAAGAAAGACCTTGTATTGCCCCACTCCCCTGGTCCCATTTTGTCCAAA